ACTGGCTTTATTACGCCGGTGAATTCCACACCTCGTGCGTAAATGCATTTCCCAACGTTAAAAAAAATGATATGCTACAACACCCTTACAAAGCGCTTCGACCATTTTTTAACGTCGGGAAATGCATTTACTCTTATCTGTATATATGGAAATGGTTCTGTGGAGACTGGCTAGAAAAACCGGTACTACCAACTAAAACCCAACGGAAACTTCCTCTTTGTCCTTCGTTAAAAACAGGGCGTCGCAGGCTTGCTTTAGCACTTAATCGCGATGCCCTATTCTAGGACGTTGGTCTACCGAGGAAAACCACAACAGCCAAAGGATTGCTCCCACGGTCCATTCTGATATCAGAGATAATAAGTAATAGTTTTATTAATTATTTTAGTCACTTGCCTGTTTTTTTTATAATAATTTTTATGTGACTTTTTAAACATTGTTTATGTGGTTAAAGGAAACATATTTCCTCTTAACTTTATCAAAAGATCTATTCGTATATAACTGAGACTGTATGCATCGCTTTTTTTATAGCTTACTGTGCTAGCTAAATCTGATTCAATTCTAAGTACGTTTGCAGACATATGACACTGATAGAATGCGTGAGCGGCTTACATTGCATTTGTGTATTTGATTTATACATTATAGTATTGTGTGTCAATATATTTAGATAAACAATTGTGAGAGAATAATTATTTTGTGTTTATAATATCTATAATGAAGTAGGGCGAACTTCAATGATGGTCGTATTCCATATAGTAAATCCGTCATCCGGTCATGAAATCAATTCCTTTATAAAATTTTATTCTGTTTTCTTTTTTCTTTATATTATACATAAGAATACTCTCGACATTTTAGCTTATTAAAAATATGAAAACAATTATATGCAAAAACTTTTTCAAATTATCTTAGTTTTTCCCTCCACGACCGCGGACACGCCGGCGGGTCAGTTAACAATAGATTTCTTAGAATTTTAATTAATTTCTTAGAAATTTACCTGGAGGTGTTATAATTAGATATTATAATTCTGAAAAGCAATTATTGGGCCGAAAATATTCTTATTAGACTAAAAATATCATAAAATATTATATTATAACTAATTTAAGTAAATTTGTTTAAATTTAACAAAATAATTTTGTTGCATTTCATTAACTAATTGCATTTTAAAGCAAAAATGCAAATAAAATTTAAATCATTTAAATAAATTTAAGTACATTAATTATTTGTTCAATTTCAGAAACTACTTTAGGAAACTCGTTTTAAGTAACGGAATAAACAAACGAAGCTTACTCTTGAATTTGCTTCAAGACACTTAGAGCTGTACTACAGACATAATTTGTTATAACACGTAAAACATTGTCTTTGCTAGAAAACTCAAATCCTTTCTGAAATTACATCTAAATCTACCGCTAGTGCGGTTTCAAAGACTTTAAATAAAAGTACTTTATAAACTTGTCAGAGGTGATCAACAATTTACATATACAAAACTATCTTTGAAATACCGTAACGTAACTTCATAAGTAACGATTTATGAATAATAAACCAAAGTGGAGATAATGTGCTTTTACACGTCGTCGTGGGTTCATTTTCCACAGTCGTGGGTTCATTTTCGAAGTAAATGTTAAATTCTACTATTTACTTTAAAGTATAATCATTTATATGTAGTTAATATATTTCTAGTTTACTTTTAGTCAATGGGATTTCATACAACTGTGAAGGTGCTTCAAATGTTTAGTTCAATGTAACACCATAAATATTTCCGAAATCAAATCTGCTAAAAATATAATTTTATTTATAAGTAATAATTACGGTAACCGAAAATAAATATAATACATATATATGTATGAGAGAATCTAGCGAGTTTTCAAAAGACATGTGAAGTCCGCCAACCCGCACTTGGCCAGCGTGGTGGACTATGGCCTGATCCCCCTCGTACTGAAGGGAGGCCCATGCCCAGCAGTGGGACGTTAAAAAGGCTTGAATACATACATACAGACATATCTATTTATGATCAAAATATTTGCAGCATGAAGGAACTAAACCTGCGAATTTGAAAGGTCTGGTTGAAAAAATTTTACATTCTTATAATCAACTTGGTTCCAAAATTAAATATTTTTTTCCTACAGTAATCAAATATTAGAAAAAGGCTTCTCATCTCTGGTGGCGAAAAGTCAGTACTAGGGGACAATTCACGCGTATATTGCAATATGTCTGGCTTCGGTGTTAGGGCTTAACGACTTAGCTAAAGCTCAACTTCGGTCACATACTCGTACATGATCGTATGTTCTTTAAGTAACAGTGGAAATATAGATTGAATAGGCACTTTGATCTAATAATATAATTTATCTTTTATATTTAAACAAGCAATTCTGGTATATATATATATATATAATCTGAACCTCGGAAACGGCTTCAATGATTTTCATAAAATTTAGTATACAGAGGGTTTTGGGAGCGATAAATTGATTTAGATTAGTTTTATGTCTGGAAAAACGCGTGTTTTCGAGTTTTCATGCGGTTTTGTTTTAGATTATTCCACGCAAAATATGGTCGCTAACTCGCACGCTAGGACATAAGCGTCGTGGTCAAGCGGTCAAGGTGCAAGATCAACAATCACAGGTGTCCAGGTTCGAATCTCGGTCACATACATAGTTTTTACTTTTGTTTTTTTTTTTAATATTCATTCCAGTTTTTAGTTGTTTAAGTTTAAAATTGTACTTTAGGCCAAAAACTCCAAGCGAAACTCGGTAGCCCAGATACTACATTATTAAATGAGCAATTCTTGTATATATGTATATAAAATTTTGTGTGATCATGGAAACGGCTCTAACGATTTCGATCTTTTTTTGTTCAGATAAGGTTTAGTTGTTTAAGTTTATCTATAATGGACACCTACTTAAGGTGGCCTTCCTGAAAAAATGCTATTTTTATATCTTTTCTGAAAAACGTGGAGCAAATCACGGTCGCCCTGATACTAAAAAATAACTTAAAGCGACACAGGAAATTAACAAATTTCAGCTTTGAGCACAATATATATATATAAAAATATTCCCACAATATATAAAAATATTCCCAAATAAGTTATATTTATGATAAAATTAGTAATTGATTAATAATATAATTAATTTAATATCAATAAAATAATTTCCTTCAAGGCGTAACGAAATAAAAGCTTATTTAGTATACAAGAACTATTATGCGTTATGAGAAATAATGTTTCTTGCGTCGTTACGAACTGTTTAACACAGCGGGCGGCTTATGTAACCTTTAGTTCATTAATTTGTAAATCAATAAAATATATTATCTATACATATACTCGTAATACAATTATAACCAATCCGAATCTGTTCATTAGATATTTGTTTAAATCTTATTGAAATAATACAGAGGCCGAATCTATAGTTTTTAGAATTTTTGTCTGTCTGTCACCGCATCACAGAAAGCACTGGAGGGATTTTGATGAAATTTGGTATGGCGATAGTTGGTTATTCGGGTCAACATATAGGATACTTTTTACCGCGGAAAAATAACTAATTTTTGAGAAAAAATATATAAACTGCAATGTAAAAGTATAGGTACTAATATGTAGAACCTAAGAATTTAGTTTTTGGTCATCATACGTGGGTGGAGCCGCTTTTGCGGCCACTTTTACATAGGCAGACGTAGTTTATCAGGTACAGAATAAAATTAGCTTTAATTTGATATATAAATGATGAACATACGCGATGAACGTATAAACGTCCCAAAATATAACCCGCTTACACATGGCTGCGAAGAGGTTGCGGCCAAATGCGCAACGGCAGCTATCATTTTTCAAGATATCTACGTAAAGTTCTGTGAAGTGGAGTATAATTCATTGTAATAACAAATCCATCGTTTTTGTTCCAAAAAGTCGACTATTATTTAGTTAATTAAAGATACTAGAGGGCACATTTGAATCCCCCCCAACGTGCGTTCACCTTGTCGTGGTGGGGGGGCTCAGTAGCAGTAGCGAAGCTAAGAAACGCACAGGGAGGTTGCCCACTTCGGTGGGCGGTGGGAGGTGGCCCTCTTCGGAGGGCGGTATACCATGCGGGTTGCTCCTGGTACTTCTCTGATAGCAGAGTGGACTGTGGAGCAACCCCATGGTTGTGGAGGTCTGCTGCGGCGGACCTGCCGTCGGGGCGTCGTAGTTGAATGCGTAAGCGATCCTGCGACGCCCCATTAAGACGGGGGAAGGTTTTGTTGGGTTTTAGTGGGTAGTACTGGCTGTATTACGCCGGTGAGTCCCACAAGTCGTGCGTAAATGCATTTCCCAACGTTAAAAAAAAAAAAAAAGGGCACATTTGAATAGGCACCTCGGTCAAAACTTATTATCCCTTTTATTATTGTATATAAAAAATTGATTTCGATTAAATACACTATGAACGTAGCAATCTTGCAGCGGGATCTCGATCCAGTAACATCAAAACAATATATTTTTTGTAATTTAAATATGGTATAATATATTCTTACATTCTATTTTGTGTATTAAAATTAAAAGAAATGTTTTCTAAAAAGTACTTTATTACAAATAATTAAATTAGTGGCTTCATAAACTAAGCTAATACGTGCTAATATTTTAGAACTAAATCTATACTACGTTATATGCATGGATCTTTTTTTTCTTCAGAGCTTTTCTTTTCTTGGTAGAGTTGATGTTGACTTGACTATCTCAGTATAATCAAAAAGTCGATGTATGCCTCCTCTGAGAAATCAGAAAACATCAATGAATTGGACGCTTTTCGGCTTCTTCTAACCAAAGCTGTGATTGTGTTCAGATATTAGATTGTTGAGATTTTTTTATAATTCAACGGTTAAGTTAAGCAAAATTTATTATGAGTATGCAAAAGTCTAAAATTGTAGCAACACTCCAACTTTTTGAACAGCAGGCTGGTCCAAAGTATCCTCTACACCTGCTTTCTTACGTTCATTTCAAAAGTTGATCATTGACTTTTTGGGCCCTTAATATTCAAACTACATATTTACTTCATTTTAATCAAATAAGTTTTGCATAGATTAGTGTTTTTATATTTTGTTAACAGTTCTTTATCAAGCATTTTATTTATTACATTCGGCACATTAACATTAAATGGCAACGTTGTATGGTTTGATTCAACATTTACTACTTTTACTGGTTTTTTGGTATATTTAGCCAAATTATAATCGTATGGTAAAATTTCAGCATTTGAATCATTGATCGCTTTTAGCAAAACTATTTCAGATTCGAGCGTATATGTAGGGTTATACTTCATAGCCAGTGAAATTCTTTTATATACTGATTCTACACTTAGTCTGATATATTCTTGAGGATATGGCACACGTTCTTTTGTTTCTTTGACAAAAGCCGTAACTTTTTCTTCAAACTTGTTAAATGTTTTTATTTCTTCTTTAAGTTTGTTGTTTGTTTCTTTAGTTATTAAGTAATAAATATGATCAATTAGTACGTTTTGTACTTCTTCGTCTGCTAAATCGCTGGTATACGTATTTAGTTGTACACGCAAAGCATCTGGACTACTGTCTAGGCAAAAAACTGTACCAACGATGCCTGTAATATTAAATTTTGTATGTTATTTTATTTTATTAATTTTTTTAATAATTATTTATTATATAAATTAAATAATTATTTATATATTACAAATACAAATACGTGTTTTTATTATATAAAAATTACCTTTCTTTTCTAATAATGCTGCAACTTCCAAAGCAATATTAACACCAAACGAGTATCCCAAGATATAAAATTTATTCTTTTCTTCTAATCTTATTACTGCATTCTAAATAAGATAAAAATGAAACAAGTAGAATTAAATAATTAGAAAAGTAATAATTAAATACAATGTTAATAATTTTTATAGTGTGATGATTAGAAATAATTAATTTTGCGGCTTGGCCTGCTTTTATTTGTCATTTCTTATGTGTGAAAATTTGATCAAAGTTTTTGAGTTCTCTCATCATTATCTAGTTATTATTAGAACAATTTATTGTGTTGAAAAAAAATTTACTGTGTAATCAAAATTCATTTCAAAATAAATCCGAAAATAGCATTAAAAATTGAAGTAGTAGTATAAAAAATGTTTTAAAAGACAGCAAAATGGAAAGTGCATAATAATTACAAGACTTCCACGATACCATTCAGACAAAGAGAGACAATAGCATTCCCAAGGAGGGTTGACGTCAGGCAGGCGGCTGGTCGTAAACCTTTTGCCAAATCCTATCAGCAGTACGGAAGATGTACTGCGCCGACCCTACGTGATTGGGAAATGGGCAGGGAGAAGAAGAAGATTTTGAACTGTTACCTTTACTTTGTAAATCTTTTTGTATACTATTGTTTTTTGCTTGTCTTTTGTAATTGAGCTTTAAAATATTTAATATATATGCACCTTCAATACACTTTCAGCCATTTCTGATATAGTATTTGCTGCCAAATCTGGTCCAAGTTGGACAGTTATTCCTTTGATTTTGAGAGTGGAGCATAAAGGTTCAAACAAGCCACAATCGCCTTGAAACCCAGGAATCAAAATCAAATAATCAGCTGCAGGATCAACATATTCCATGTCAGAGAGTTTCTGAAATTAATAAAAATATTTTAACTCTTGCCTTAGTGCATAGTTATACATAATAATTCTGTTCTCTTTTTTCTGCCAGTGTTAAAATTGAGTTTTTGTTAGCTGACAGTACCCAACACTATCTGTTGCCACATTACCTAGATCCGTATAACACGTTTAGTTGGCTCGTAAAGTTACGCTTAATATTGAATTTGAAAACACCCTTAAAGTTAGTCAAGGGCATCTTTCGTTTTATTCGCATATCTGTAGTTCTCATATTAAATTCATTTAAAGAGTCTATTTACATCAGTAGGCCATGCATAACAGAGCACTTAATCTTAATGAGTCCGAGTAAAATATTTCTAAAGTCTATATAAATGTTTGCCCCTTTATCCTTTAAGTCTTGTCTTCTAGCAATTTGTTTTATGCCCTTTGAAATATGTCCACTATATTAAAATATTATATGTTTATATTAAAATAGTTAGTTTCAAGAATTACCTCTGGAATATTATTCGTCAACGTTAACATTTGTTTGAATGAATCACATGCTTCATAGGAATCGTCATTGACGTACGAGATTATTGCATCAAGCCCGATGTTGTTCTTTAATTCGTCTAAATAGTATTCAACATTCTGGATACTGAAAGTAAGCGTTCATGTAAGTGTAATGTTGAATGAAAGTGTGAAACATTCATCTACCCTCACAAACTTTATGTTATTAATGCTTGAAGTAAAATTTATTGTCTATTTTGATTATTTTACCATTTTGATATTTTTTACCTGGATAGAGACATTTGGATAAGTTTCCTGTCAGATACTGCAACTTGATAGTGTTCTAAAATTAAACCTCTTATTTCCTTTATTGTGAGCTTATCTATTGCAATATCGTGTAATGATGCATTAACATCTAACTCAGTTCCATTTGTTTGTTTGCCTGAAGATAGAAAATAATTTTTGTTTTCTTTTATATAATATTATAATAAAAAAAAGATAAAACCAACATATGAAATATACATGCCAGCAGCAAGTAAGCAATGTTTGAACATACCTAAAATGTAATTTAGTTTTCTTGAATATTCCATTTTAGAATTTTTGTTTGTGTTATATGATATCACATTGCTGCAGTTTTGTTTTATACTATTTTCCATACCATTTAAAACTTGGTGTATCGATTGATACGTTGTTTGGTTTTTATCAAGACCTTCGAACTGCAATACAATAAATTGAATTGAATTCTTATTGAAGACCACAATAATCAAAAAAAATATGTTAAAAGCATAATAAAATAAACTTCATAAAATAGTGTGAATAAAACAACAAATAAATTATTCATAGTAGCAAAATCCAGATGAAACTGTAAGAAGAGTTAATTATATATTATAGATATATAATAATCAATTGCCTTCCATTAGTCTCGCTAAAACTCAAAAACGGCTGTACCGATTTGAATAATATCTTTTGTGTGTTTTTTTTTTGGGATATGTCAGAGGTGGTTTAGTTATAAAAAAATAGAACAAACTCATAATAACAGCTGGAAAATCGAAAAATTCAGAGATGTTTATTTTGTATGGGAGCAACTTACTGTTAAAACCATACCTAGGGACGAACTCGAGCGAAGCGAGGGTGAATCGCTAGTATATTAAAGATTTTCAACACGATATTTTAGCAGATTCTATTATAATAAAATCGGCTCTATTAGATATGAATAAGGGAATGATTAGAAAAAACTTCAAAACTTTTTAACATAATACAGAAAGTATTAGCCTGAAATTAATTTGCAGAAAACTGGCACAATTATTCTACATTAGTAACGTGTTGTTGTGAAGAGTAAATAAAGAAGTTGTGAAATTAAGTAAATGAAAGAAATCTAAGACATTTATTTACAAACTTATTTATTTTAAAAATCGCTCTATTTTATTATAAAATATGAATTCATAAAATTTTGCATGATAGGTATGTTAATCAAAAATAACGAATAAGGTAAATTCCAATATACCAAATTTCTAACAACGAGGTGGACAACAACGTAATACTTATTCCCATTACTTACCTCATCTACGAATTCCGCTCGATATAGAAGAGCATTCAAACCAATGTTATTACGATAGTGACATATTTTACTGCACATTGAGAACACACGCTCATCTTCCGAACTGTTAACATTACTCGATAGTATTACAAAGTATCTGCAATATTATATCAATCATTTAATTAATAAATAAACATAAACTTTTTGTGCACGCAGAAATTTTGCTGGGATTTTTGGTATTGATAAAATATAATTGTACCTAAGGTAATCCATGTTTCTTGATAATTTATCCAAATTAGATATTGATGTTGGCACATTTGTATATGCTGGAGCAGTTAGTTTGTACAGAACAATAAATATGCCTTCAATTGGGCCTAATTTTGCGACGTCACTGATAAAAAGTTTACATTTTTCTTCGTCCTCAATTCCATATCGGCTTACTTTTACCTCTATGCCTTGAGTCCTCCATAGTCTGAAATAAAATATTTCAATTTGGAGTACTAACGTGAATGTTTTATTGCTTACTGGCTTAGTTTTGTTATTTTAAAGAAACAACGAGGAATATTAATTTTGATAAAGAATATTTTTTTAAGAATAGTTTTTTTATTAAATGTACTAGTATTTTTGTACTTACAACATCTTAGCCTCTATGAACGGAGAAACAGCTTTGGATCTCATTTGTAAGTAAATTTTCTTCGCACCACGTTTTATTAATAAATCCATTAAACTAACACATAATTCATCTTGATCTCCTATTACGACATATGCAAATTGAGGATTCAATACAAGCCTGAAAAATTAGAAAATACGTACAAGAAAAAGTGTTATGAAATTATCATCTGAGTCTATTATGTACTTTACGGATATTTGGACAAATAATAATAATAATAAATTTTGGGACATTAACACACAGCGCTATCTAGTTCCATGGTAAGCTACGAGGCTTGTGTTATGGATACCAGATAGTTGATAACTATCTGGTATCCATAACTACACATATATAACTTTAAATTCATGCATATTATAAATATAAAACACCCATGACTGCATAAAAATGTTCAATGTATAGACATATATTAGTTTAGGTATTATTGTTAAATAATATCATGATACATAAATATTGTGCGTGTAGCAAAAGCTAATTCTAAAATTGCAATCAATCCATTCAAATAAAATATTATTTATATTTTAGTAAGCACTCATAAGACACATTTCGTTTTAATTTTACGATATGTCCATACACTTTACCTTGGCATCACATTGTTATTTAGCGAATTTCTTAAATCAAACAGAACCCTTCCTCTATGTCTTCTAGTAGATAAAAACTTGAAGGCCCTGGATACTTCGGAAGATGAGAACATGGTGTAAGTTAGTGGTCTAACGACTCCCGTAGCGATGCCATCTGCTATCATTGATTGTAATAACTATAAGAAACAGTTTAAATATCAAAGATCCACAGGGTAACAATATTATGACATTTCAATTGTTTTTTTTTTCTTTTTTTTTTTATTTGTGGAATTCGTACATTAAGTTATTATTGAAAATCAAGAATAGATCATAATATAATGTTTTTAGTATAAAATATTTAATGACTTACTTTTTTTTCATGTGAATATTCCGGTTTAAAAATATTAGAAAAATTCACACTATAGTAATATTTAAATTCGGCTGCGAAGCTCATGCCCAAAGGTTTATTGTCTATCATATCCTTATTAGATAAATCTAAATAGGTGCCAAGAGGTGATAGGCATTTTATCGCAGACTGAAAAATTATATTATTAAAAAATGAATTCAGTATTTAAGTTGCATATAATGTTATTCATTTAATTGAAATATGCTTTATTTATTTTCCCATAAGACAAATAAGTATAAGACCATCCGATTATTAGCAGCAGTACCCTCCATGGGTTAGTTTACTCCAGTGTAGCTTATTCGTTTATGAAAACGTCAGCAAGTCTAAGCATTTTCTTATTACTGAGCAAACCCTACAAAAATTTTAAGTAACCCCCGACACAAAGAAAACCTATAAAAACAAAAAAAAATACTTTATCATTGTCAATCTTCTTTTTATTTGTATTCTCGTTTTAATTTTATTTACTTCGCGGTTCCCCAACGCAGCGATGCTCATCATCAAAATATTTAATAATTGGTATTTTAATGAAGTTAAAAGGCTAAGAGAGATTTTTTTTTACTTTTAAGTGGTTTTTTTGTGTTGGGGTTACTTAATTTTTTTTTTATTGCAATTTTTTAAATTATTTGCAGACACTTATTCTCATAGATAACTCTCATTGATATTATACTTATGAGCTCAAATACGCTATAATATTTGCTGTAAGTTTCTGAGGAATTAAGCATCCTGCAGACTATTTGATGCTACAGCAGTTGCTCAAGGTTAGCATGTTTTTAAAATACGACCGAAGTAATAGTACACCAAATTTCAAATCAATCAGATCTGTGAAAGTTAGTAAGACCCTATTGTCAAGTAGAAAATAAGTGATGATCATCAAAAGCCTTAACAGGTCTTCATAAATTATACCTATGAACCATCTTGATAGCATGTGCTTTCAAACAAAAAAAAACGCATCAAAATCGGTTCATTCGCTTAGGAGCTACGATGCAACAGACAGACATACAGATACACATACACACAAATAAACAGACGCGTCAAACTTACAACACCCCTCTTTTTGCGTCGGGGGTTAAAAATAAACACATAGTTCCCTTTTATTTAATACCCCACTTGGGTATATTTGAAAATATTCGATTTCTAATACCCACTTTCATCCCCCATATCTAGTAAATAGCTGCACCAATTTTGATAAAACCTATCTAAGAACCATTGCCAAGAAACTATATTTCAAATAAAAAAACCAAGTCAAAATCTGTTCACTAGTTTAAGAGAAATGGCACCATTTCTCTTAAACTAGTGAACAGAAAAAGACAGAAAAACAACCTTTTTTGCGTCGGGGGTTAAAAAAGCGAGGCTATAAATTCAGAAAGTTCATTTATGACATGTCATATGTTTTGTACAAAAAAAACGTTTTAAGGAATATTGTTGACTTACATTGCGGAATATACCGCTTTCGCAGTTGATTACATAGTTGCACCGCTTGTTGTTGGTTTGCCTGATAATAGATGCATAAAAGTCATCATATCTTGAATTTAAAATTTGATTTTCTGAAAATACATAAAAAGTTACCTAAAAGGTTTTCTAAACCATAAATATTTGCCGGCGAATCTCACGTAAGTAAACATCTACGTAAAAGTGTTATATAAAGCACGAGTGTGTGCATAGCCACAGGCACATAGTGTGTTCTTTTAGTTTCATGATATAAGTATCTAATATAGTATGGCTTTCCAAAAGTATCGGTGAGATCAGACGAAGGACCCGCTCTCAGTCTATAAAACCCCTTACTTAAAGAAATATATTGTTTGTTCAAGTGTTAAAGGAAATTCAAATTATTTAGCATTAAATTATTACAATTTTTTAACTGAACGTCATGAGTCTACTACCAGTTCGGAAAGAAGAAGCCTCAGACCTGAGAAGATCTGGCGAAAGAAACTCAGCGTGACTAATATTATTTCGGTATCTTTTTTGTAAGTTAAAATATAATTTACAATATTTCTATAAAGTTGAAGTAGCCTAGATGCGGTCATTTCATTCCCGAGGCGTGCCATCTTCTATAAAATCATTAATTGAATAGCCTTTATCACACAAACGTTCTTTAACATTTTTTTTGAATTTGGCGATATATAATTATATATAAATAAATAGATATCACATATTACATTGTCCATAAAATGAATTACTAAATTTGTGTAAACGTGTCACAGGCATTACAAGTTTGTGTTTGCTCCTAGTATTATTGTTATGCATGTTACACTTTTTCGGAATATCGTGTATATTTTTACGAATATACATAACATTTTCGCACACGTACTGAGAAGCAAAAGTCAATATTTTTATTTCTTTAAATTTATCTTTTAATGACACTCTAGGACCTAAACTATAAATTGCATGAAGTAATCAACTGCGGAAGTTCTTTTCTGCAGGACATAAATCGTAATATTAGCAGCTGTATTTCCCCATAGCAAGATATCATGGGACAAAACACTATGAAAATAACTAAAATATACTATACGAGCTGTATCTACGTTAGTAATAAGTCTTATTTTTTTACCGCAAACACTGCAATATCAAGTCTATGATAATACCTAGGAATTTAGTGGACTCCACTAGTTTTAATATATCCCCATTTAATATTACACCATTATGAACAAGTTTATATTAGGTGTTGAGATTTTTTTTTCTTTTTATTATTAAATAATATATTACGCTAGTATGACATTATTAATCTAAAGAATGACGTCCATTAATATATGTAGTTCAAATAAATTTCAACACATACATAATATATTAGATTTCCTCGGTCTTACTTATTGAGCTAGACTATATTTTATGTTGTTAGCTGTTATAGTATAGAAAAATGTGTTCCAAACATTTATTCGATTTAATTATTTAAGCAAAGTCTAATCTTTAAAATACGTTTATTATGAACTCTAGATTTGTAGAAATTATACACATGTACCTTTTAATGTAGGATATAGCTTAAGTAGAAACGCTTTCTTGCCAGGATCGCTAACTGTGGTAAATATATTACAATTTAAACTTAGACATATCGATATTACGGCCTGTCCAAGTGCTCCAGCTCCACCATTAATAAAAACTGTTGTTCCTGCATACAAAGTTCCTCTAAGTGCCTAAAAAAAGAAAAGATAAACATTATCGATATATTAAGATAAACATATACTTATGAACAAAGTTTTAAATAATTTAATTACAAATATAATCATCAATCGTTAAGAATTAAATTATCCTTTCTTTACCAGAGAATAATAGGCGAGAGCGTACGGTAGAGGAACTGTAGCAGCTTCTTCTAAAGACCAAGTTTTTGGAACGGGCCAAAGTAAATCTAAATCATATTCAATTTCCTTAGAAATTGCACCATCGGCAATGATTCCCATCACCCGATTACCTCTAAAATATAAAAGTAAGTGTTACGTTTTTTTTCTGTTATTATTAATTTTATTTATAATTTTAGTGATTATGTATCTTTACCTAGTATCAAAACCACTATAGTCCATACCAAAAGATATTTTTTTGTTATTGACTGGTTTCCAGATAACTTTTTCTACATCTTTTAATGACAATCCTACATACTGCACCTGCAATTACAACAACATACCCCTATTTATAAGATTATTTATTACTGTAAAAAACGGTTTTACAAATAATAAACATTTAAAAACATTTCGGCATATAAAACATAATATATTTTTACCTCAACAGTATTGGATTTATTCAGATTGTCTATCTCCTCCCAGTGCCAACTATTTATGTTTCCAAGTTCTGGTAGACTAAGTTTAGAATTTAGGGGAACACTTTTGTAGTTATTGAGCGGTGTGTAATAATATCCTCCCCATTCACCCTGTAAAAATAATAATGAAAATATACCAGGTACTAAAATTTAATCAGAACATTGTAACTAACTCGTTACTTACATCATACAGTGTATTAAATGGTAGATTCTTTTGCATCTGTTTACTGTAGAAATTATTGTTGACATTAAAATCAGGCGATGCTTCATCTAATATCATAAACAAACTAATTTTGTTTCGATATTCCTCTCGTAAGCCTCTCAAGTAACCTAAAAATTGAAAAGTAATTTATTCTTTGATTTTGATGCATAACACAAAAGAAAACAGTTCCTACTTTACTTAGAATAAGAAAAAGCAACCAATAAATAAACTTTCGCTTTATCAAACACTAGCGGCTCACCCTCGCTTCGCTCGGGTTCGTCGCTAGGTACGTTTTAAATAGATATAAAAAGAAAAAATCTTTCTTTCTCACATTTTAATTATATGTTTTAATACTTACCTATTCCGGACTAAGAGAAATCCAAAAATTAAAATATCATAAAAATTGGAACGCGGTCGAACGGGATAAAAAGTATCCTATGTCCTTCTCCTGGCTCTAAACTACCTCCCTGCCAATTTTCAGCTAAATCGGTTCAGCCGTTCTTGAGTTATAAGCGAAGTAACTAACACGACTTTCTTTTATATATATAGATAATAGGGAGCTATAAATATTAAAATTTAATACTAGCTAGTAAACCATATATTTCATAAACAAAACTTTATATTTGCCTTAGAAACTTTTCATTGTCTTAGAATGCATTCACAATCACAGATACAACAATCTCTCAGAACTTTTATCTATAAGTCCGAGCCACATAGAGATCAAAACAAAATTAAACGAATAATTACGTTCTTACCCTTTAGATCACAATAGTGTTGTTTCTCGTAAAGTAGCACAATTCGCTTGTTATTATTAAGTTCTTTTCTTAATGTATTCATATAAGAGAAGCTATCATCATAAACTTTTACAACAACTTTATCTTCTACAACTTGATCAATTTTAACTTTGTTTATTAAAACTAATGTATAATCGTCATTAGTAGGAAATACAGTTAAAATATTAAAATAATCAGTTTGAATGATGTATTTTTTATTTTTTCTTTTTTCTAACGATAAAATAAATCCATTTCTTGGTAGATGATCATATATTGCAGCCATCGTCTACAATAAAAACAATTTTACATGACCTATTTAAAAGCTTAGTCTAATTTCGAAAAATGGGAATATTTTGGGAATATATTTGACTGTTCTTAATTTCAAAACAAAATACGTTTTATTTGTATATCAATATCCTTGTTAAAATATACACTCAATCATTCTTATTAAATTTCTAATTAGAATATATCAAAAATTATGAGAACATAGACTCATAATAACATTGTAATATAATTATAATACTATGACAATCCTCAAAATTTTCAAATAAAAACTTTACTGAGTTAACGCTAGAAGTGGTTCCAAATTAGCAATTTTAAAAGACAAATTTAGATCTTAACGAGATTATACGTTTGTTTTCACTCGAAAATCTTAGGGTTTTTGTTGGTAAGCTATAGTAAGAATATATTATAATTATATATAAAATATGTAGATGAAACAGAAGAACAATAAATACCTCGGTATCCATTACAAAGTCATAAACTACTAATACTTGTGACTGAGATAAATCATGTTTCCTCAGAAGATTTAGTTTTCCATTTTCAATATTGATATGATTAAATCTCAATTTTATAGGGAGCTGAGTTGATACGTCCTTTATAGCATTTGATATGATATTTATGTTTGATGTTCTAAGCTCTGTTACTTTAATGTCCTTTTGCAGAATAGCATCAGCAATAATTTGCATATTTATTGCGATAGCTGTATTTAACTGTAAAAAAATAATAATTATATAATTTATTGTCATAAGTAATGTACTATAATATAATTAATAATATAATAGAAATACTAACTTCGAATTCTGTTTCTGAAAAGTGTGGCCAAAACTGTAACAAGCCTAAGAAATCAGATTCGACCCGCTGAGGGATAAGATTTTCAAAATTAATATTCACAACTTGAACGCCGCCACTTCTGCAAGAATAACGTAACAACACAATAGTTTTACATGTTTAATGTACCATGATGATCTTTTCTAAAGTACATTATTAATAACCAAAAGTACCTTAGAATATTAAAGTTCTCATAATAGTCTGCTTTATAGCAAATAGCGTTGTCAATGTTAGATTTGTACTGTACACTGGCGTGCTCATAAATATCAATAGTCAAACTCTCTATAAGTTTCGGTCTAGATATATCATTGTGATTGTTTGCAAATATGTTGATCTGTATTAAGCCATCGAGGAACGTGATCCAATCACCAGCCCATTTTATGTATGCTTCGCTGCATTTTAGGTTTAGCGAATGAAGAGATTGAAATTGGTTTCTGAAAGAGTTAAATTATTGGGTAATGACCTTTAAATTACTTAATTTTTATAATAGTGCAATGAACAGTATGGTTACTGGCTAGTAATGCCAACTCCGACAGACATTGTATATAAATAAAAACATACATAAAAATATTCTAGTACTAATAATATGATCAAAACGTACAATGTTTTTTATACATTAAATACATACGTGTATACGTGACCTCGAAGGTTAAGGAATTTGTAAATATCTACTGCAAATAAAGTTACGTCGTTTATTGTGTTGGCGCTAGAATGGTTAACCTTTCTCATTGGCTCGTTTTCATATTCAACTATATAACCAGTTACAATTATTTCATTTTTATGGACTACCTGAAAAGTTTATTTTTTATTAGATTTATTTTTTGTGAATTATGAAAAACATTTATTTTACTCCTTCTTTAAACAACACGTATGTTTGTGTATAAATTGCAAATATTGCAAAGATCTAAAAATTATCAATTATTAATCTTTTGAATGATTTATCTAGTGAAAACAATTAATTAAAAATATATTTGGTGTTCAAACGTCATTTTAATTTTATTGTAATGATAATATTACCTCGAACTTGCCATTCTTCTTTGTTATAGATATGCTTAGATTTAGTAAGTTTTCTGGTTTTAATTCTATTTGAGTGTTGAAATTTATATCTTTGAATATTACTGAAAGATTCTCGAAATTCATATCCATCGACATAGCCAACGTTTGCCACGTCAATACTAGTAATGCACTTTCAGGTAAAACGATCATTCCTGTAAGTAAATGCAATATTTTTAACATAAATTAACTATAGGTAAGCCTCCTTTCCACACTCAAGCATATGTGGTAATAATATGATCCATAAGCTATTTACAAAGCACGTCAATGTATGAAATAGCTACTTTTTTCGATTTATTGAATATTTTTATTTATTAGTTGAAATAAAATCTTTATTAGAACATGTATAGTAAAAGGTATATGTTTCGATTAATTATGTTGTAAATTAGCTGTATCCTTCATTAAAACCATCACTTATAAGATAATCATAAAATAATCTGAATTTGGCGACGAATGTTATGTTTTAATGTTATTATTTAATATTCTTTATTTTAATTTTAATAATATATTTTAATCAGACGACAGCCAAATCGGAGATGGCGGGAAGAGTTGAACTTCTTCCAGAGAGACTGGTCTATTGTGGCGAAAGATAGGGAGCAGTAGAAGAAGCGTAAGGAGGCATTTGCCCTGCAGTTGGACAGGCTTATAATAATAACCTCTCCAATCTGCGTTCACCTACTCTTTGGGCTCATTAGCGTTCTGCAATTCAGCCAGGCGCAAAGCCAAGAAACGCACTGGGAGGAGGGCTAACTGTGGGCGGGGTTCAATGCGGGTGCTTCTGGTACTTCTCTGATAGCAGAGTAGACTGTTGGACCATCCCCATGATTATTGCGGTCTGCATCGTTGACCTACCGTCAGGCGTCGTGGTTGAGTACGTAAGCGATACTGTGACGTCCCATTAAGACGGGAGAGGTGTTGTTGAGTTTTAGAGATGCTACTCACATCTCTGCCGCAGAGAAAATCTAGGGTGTAATAGTCGGGATGACCCTTAATTGGAACCTAAATTGTGATGTGTATAGTCAAGCAGGCACAATTTTCTAGATTGTCCCTGCGGCAGGGCCGCAGGAGCGCGAGACCACCCTTGGTCCCTAAATTGCCCCTGCCGCGTTGTCACGTGTGTAGCGTGATTGGGCCAATTCCTCTACTGATTTTTTGACAGTGTTGCCACTTAGAGGCTTTCCTCCAAATTTAGGGGTACGAAATCGCATCGGGGTTTTAGCTTCATAAGCATGACTTAAATATAAAAAACGTTTCGTAAAGTTTCTTTTAAACACTTAAAAAATTATATATCTTTAAATATCGTTTGCACCATTTATCCTTTTTTTTAATTATTATTTTCTAAGTTATCTATGAAGTTTATTATTATTATTATTATTAAATGGTCATATATAATTATTATAATAATAACCATAAATAAGTTTTTACGCTACTTGTAATCATATAAAATAAAAAAAATTATTAAAAATGAATAAAATGTGCATTAGATAAAAACCTAAGTTTTTCTAATTATCAGTTAGTTTTAGGAAATTTTGGAATTACTCTTAGGGAGATAATTTTTTTTCAAAGGGGTATTTCATACAACATTAATTAAAATATTTTAATACTCACCATCTCTCACATGATCCTTGATACAAGCATAGTCTTCATCACTAAGAGAAATAACGACATCGCGATTCCTAGTTGAAACAACACTTTGCTCAAAACGTTCCATTACGTGCCTAAAAAAATTAAAATAATAAATTCTAAATTAAAATAAAACCCTTGCTTACTATCTAAAACGTTGTATTAAAATGCACTAAGTATTTAACTTAAATAAATAAATAAATTTAACTCATACCAGTCCTCACTATGCTCCCATTTAACTAAATGCGATAGAAATTGTGTTCCGGTAGAAACAGGATATTCAATTTTTGGATACAAAGCATCAATCTTCACATTATATCCGGCTTCGTAAATTCTGAAAGAATATGGTTATCAAATATTGATAGTTTCAGGACTGCATACAGTATTTGATACAATATCTTACTTTCCAATTGCTTCTAGTAAAAATTTAACTTGATCTTCATGTCCTCGTCTCGTCAAAGGAATATGTAAACAGTCTTTAAGCTCACGTTTTAAAATTGCTTGAAGTAAGCCGTGCGGCGCAATTTCAATAACTACCGCGTCAGACGGAATATGTTGTAATACTTCTTCAAAGTATACATAATTCTACAAAATATAATATTTTTATTTGAATAAAACATATTATAATATTCTTATATTTTTGATGTTTTCCTTAATATATTGTCAATATCTTATTTAATATTGAATGGATGTTGTAAATAGATAAAGTGAAAATTGTTCTTATTAATGTGAGTTAGTTATAGAAATATATTATAGAGTATTGCAACATAATAATGAATTTAATGAATGACTTGTAGAGTTTTGGAAGTGTTAAATGATTTCAATCACCATATTATATAATAGTTTAAATGTAAGAAGAATATCTACCAATAAATTGTTGGTGTGGTATTCAGGAGAAGAAAATTTAACAATAGGTTCTTCCCATCTATCTTCTGGCACTGATGTAGATAACCATTTACTGCTTCGCAATTTTGGTACTTTGATGACCTCATTCAAATAGCTTCTTAGAGATGGAGCTATACAAAATCAAAATATATTTGTTTGTGAGGATGTATGGATGTTTGTTAATCTTTCACGCAAAAAATACTGAATAGATTTTGATGAAACTTTACAATAATATAGCTCATACATCAGAATAACATAATATAAGCTACTTTTTATCCCGGAAAAATGTACAGTTCCTGTGGGATAAAATACGTGTGTGGATAAAAATAGCTTGTAATATTTCATGATTTTTATTATGAATCCATCATGGAAGGCCGATACCAAGGGCAATTTCATTGAACTCTTGTTCAGTAATCAGTTTAATCAGTTCATCATAAAAATTTCAAATTATTTGTTCATTATGTTAATTCTAAATAATATTTAAATTTATGTAGATAACAAAACATTTAATTTCTCTTAATATATCTTACCAGCTACACTAATGTGCCGAGAATGGAAGGCAATGTTACTGCTTGGCACTTCTTTGCAAAATATTTCCTTCGCTGTCAATTCTTTGAGAAACTGTGTGATATCGTCAGCTGGTCCTGATATAGTCGATGATTCAGAGCTGTTATGACAAGCGATGTCAATTTCTGGAGGGCATATTGGGTATAACTAAAAACATACAGGCACTAATATATATTCTAAAAAAAATATACATGGTAATCTAATATTTAAATTAATAAATTTCTAATATATGTATGTGTCTTAAATCTGTTTATGTGGCTAAAAACTTATTTTTTATAATAATTATAAGTCTCATACTACTTACTACTAATTACGCTATTTCCTATTAGATTTGTTAAAATTAATTATATACGATATTTCAAAAGTGAGAGGAATTAAACAGACGTACATTATAGTAATTTAGTTTTCATAAAATTTTTGAAGTAAAACTTCTTTAGGCGTGACTGAGGAGTAAGTCAATTTATTGGAAAAATGAGTGTCGCGGAAGTGAGAATCAAATACATTATTAATAATTTAAAAAATGTTATATTTTTATGTATGTATTGTATTCAGCCCTTTTTAACGTCCCACTGCTGGGCACGGGCCTCCCTTCAATACGAGGGGGATCAGGCCATAGTCCACCACGCTGGCCAAGTGCGGGTTGGCGGACTTCACATGTCTTTCGAAAACTTGCTAAGTTCTCTCAGACATGCAGGTTTCCTCACGATGTTTTCCTTCACCGTAAGGCAAGTGGTAATCATGTTAGAAATGATTCGCACATGAAAATATCAGAGGTGCGAGACCCGGGATTTGAACCCGCTTCACTCGGTTTCCCAAGCGAGAGGGTTACCACTGGGCTACCACTGCCTTTTTTTATAACAATTAAAAATATATATGTATTTATTATGAATAATTTTATAATAATTATTACATATAAAAACGAATATTTATTGTTCAATGTTAATGAAAGAAAGAATGAATGAAAGGGAAAGAGTGTGTTCGGCCATGTTGAATGAGAAAGTTTCAAAAAAGGTTGCAAACTGCAAAAACGTAATAAACTATTGAAAAATTAATAAATGTACCTATTAAGGTAATTGTGGTCTGGTGGTTTTATTGCTGGTATCCTCAACCTCGCATTACTAATAATTTTATATTTGTATGTTGGTTTGTAATGGATAAATTAAATGTCTGCTGAATCGATTTAGATAAAATTTAGTATGAAGCTAGTTTCAGATCCTGGGAAGGACATAAGATAATCTTTATCCCGGAAATCATCCCTTACGTACGTTTTCCACCTCCTGGGTGGCTAATAATTTTATAAAAATTGTTATATTTATATTTTGATTTGTTTTAATTTTATTATGGTATCTGCCACAGCCCACACTGCCAAAGAAATTTTACTTCAACCACGCGTAAAAGTTACACGCACTCATTTTTTTAAATTTCAAATTATGGTAAGTAGGTACTATTAGTGATTTTAGTACCCTTTTAATAAAAAAAAAATATTATTAAGACTTACATCTTTATACCCCATTCCTACAGCCGCCATAGCACCAGGAATACAATTGGTTTCTAAAGACGCTTTCCCTCGGCTATACGCGGAAAGGATCATCTCTTCTCTAGTAAAGCATCCGTCGACATACCCACATGCTGTTTCACCAGCACTATGACCTTAGAAATAAAAAAATATTAAAACTGAGATTTTATGAAAAAAATATTTGTAAATAATCTAGGCTGTGTCATTTTAAATAAATAAATAATATGTTGGGACATTAACACACAGCACCATCTAGTTCCATGGTAAGCTCCGAGGCTTGTATTAAAGATACCAGATAGTTGATACACTCCACATATATAACTTTAAATACATACATATTATAAATATAAACACCCATGACTGGAGTACAAACATCCGTGCTCATCACACAAATGAATGCCCCCAGCGGGACTCGAATCCGCGACTGCTGGCATAGCAAGTAGGGTCACTACAAACTGAGCCAAGCGGGTCGTCATTTTAGATTATTCTTGAATGAAACCAATGCTTTGCTTTGCTTATTTCTATATTACACGTACTCTAAATGCTTACCAATCATATAATCGCATTCTATTCCAATAGCTTTCAATATATCCACGAGACCAATTTGTATTGCAGCGATACCCACAAAACAGTGTAGAATATTATCAAAAATAGTACCATCTTTATCACATATTATTTTTATAATATCTAATCCTTTAGGTTTTAGAGCTTTGTCGCATCTGAAACATATTTTTTTCTCATCAACTTTTATAATAAATGGTATAACTTTTATAATGTTAAATAAATAATATTTGATATACAATTATAAAACTCATTAAAATTATTAAAAAGTTATTTAAAATTATAACATATTGTAAGGTACTTTGTTGCCATTTTTACATTTTTGAATATTATTTTCTAATTTTGTGGGTAAGTGCTGTCTGTAACAATTATTTACACCTTTTGGGACGTCTAAAACCTTAGTCTCTCCCGTAACTATTGATTGCTGTAAAGCCTTCGAAACGTTGGGAACCAAAAATCAAAATAAACCCGTGAAAAAATCAGCAAAAGTAGTTTTATTTGCAAGTCAGTGTAAGTTTAAGTGAAGAAGTTTGTAAGAAACCTAATCAGTATCTTTAACTAAAACTAGATAGTTAACATATTTCAATCAGTACATACATTTGAATTGCTTCATTAAATATTGGTATCCGCATCAGGGTTTCTCCCATACCAACCCACTGTGACCCCATGCCACTAAACACAAACCAAATTTGCCGTTTGTTTCCTGCATAATAATCTACGCTTCTTGACAGTGCTTCTATTTGTTGGTTGGCATTGCCATCTGAAAAATATTAAAATAATATTGTTATAATATTCATTTAAATAACTATTTACTTATATTACTGTTTAAACAGTTTAAAAACGATGTCATTTGAATAAAAACTTTCATTTTGATGAGTCATGATACATTTTTTTTTCATTATTCTAGTGTACGCCGAATGCTCGAAAGTCAACCATAATATATTTTTTATTGATAAGACTAAACTAAAGCTCCTTAAAAGCTGCAAACCAGAAAAAAAGAAAATCGGTGGACAAAGAGAAGAGAAAAAGGCACTGAACTGTTTTATCTCCGCTTATTTAAATATAGATAGCATACCTAGTATAATAAATCCTCGCGATGTGTGCCCTTTCATTTCGAAATTGTGAATTTGGTGTAACATCCCTACATATTCAGGGTCCACCGGATAGCTTTGTAAAATATCAAAAAGATGGTTCACACAGTCCTCATCCCTTCCAGAAATCAAAACTAAATAAGGTATACTGCATTTGTAACGATTGTGATCCTAAAACAAAATAACTTTAATACATTAAAACGATACCCTTGCTGATTGTAAATTTATACATAGTCTGGCCATAAATACTGTTATAATTAAAAATAAACAAAATATTACATTTGAATTTGGAATCTGTCATTTTTATATCATTGTTAATTGTGTTTTCTCATTTTTGCGCCAATATATTGTAAAATATTATGTGATATTAAAATGAGTGAGGTGACAAAGATATTCAAATCGCTGTGATTGCATTCCACAAAGTAGGTATGGAGCCAAATACAATTTTTAAAACTCTCCATATGTTTGGTATTAGTCAAATGTTTGTGTACCGGGCTATTGATAGCTACAATTAAACTTCCTCTGCTTGTGAGAGAAAAAGATGCGGCCGCTCACGTAGTGTTCGTACGAAAAAGGCGATCAAAGCAGTAAGGAGATGAATTCGAAAAAATCCTGTCCGAAAGCAAAAGATTTATCTCGGGAGATGAACATAGCACCTAGAACCATGTCGCGTATTTTTAAAGATGACTTAGGACTTGCAGCCCGTGGGAGGTAGCCCTCTTCGGGGGGCGGTGTACCTTGCGGGTTGCTCCTGGTACTTCTCTGATAGCACAGTGGACCTTGGAGTAACCCCAAGGTTGTGGTGGTCTGCTTTGGCAGACCTGCCGTCGGGGCGTCGTAGTTGAATGCGTAAGCGATCCTGCGACGCCCCATTAAGACGGGGGAAGGTTTTGTTGGGTTTTAGTGGGTAGTACTGGCTGTATTACGCCGGTGAGTCCCACACGTCGTGCGTAAATGCATTTCCCAACGTTAAAAAAAAAAGGACTTGCAGCCTATATAAGACGCACTGGTCATTTTGTAACTGATTATTTAATTTGAATTCTTAACAGACAATTTAAGAAAGAATAGGGTGGTAAAATCAAAACAACTACTTAAGCGGTACGCAAAGTGAGGTCACAGAAAAAAATTGTTTACGGATGAGATTTTTTTTACAATTGAGCAATATTTTAACAAACAAAATGACCGTATTTATGCTCAAAGGTCTAATGAAGCTTACCAATCAGTCAACAGAGTACAACGTGGGCATTATCTGACTTCAGTGATGGTTTGGTGGGGTGTTAGCTATGAAGGAGTGACTGAGTCATATTTTTGGGAAAAAGGTATTGAATATCGGCAAAAGTGTATCAAGATACCATTTTTGAGAAGTTAGTTAAGCCCCTTAACAACACCATGTTCAATAACAAAGAATGGTCCTTTCAACAAGACTCGGCGCCGGGTCATAAAGCTCGATCCAGGCAATTTTGGTAGAAACCCACGTACCGGACTTCATCAGGGCTGAAGACTGGCCGTAATTTAGTCGCGATATTAATCCGCTGGATTATGATTTATGGTCAGTTTTAGAGAGTATGGCTTACTCTAAATGCCATGATAATATTTTGGAGTCCCTAAAACAATCCATACAATTGGCAGTGAAGAATTTGTGACAGTGAAGTGTGCGTGTTTCCATTCATAACTGGCCTCAACGTTTAAAGGGCTGCATTACAGCCAATCGAGACCACTTCGAATAAGCTTTACATATTTTTAATGGTTGTATATTCATGTATTAAACTAACACACTGTAATAGTAATAAATGTTACGTGCAATAGAAAAAAATGTTTTTTTTTCTTAGTAACAATATTTATGGAAAGACTATGTATATTAATTTAAGCATGTTAAATTATATAATTATTAAATGATAACAAAATATATACAAAAAAAAATAAGTTTTGGTGGTACCTTTTGTGGTACACAATAATATGACGTATAGCAAAATTGATTGTGATAAAGTTGTAACGCCTGTATATATTTCTGCCTAGGTGGTGTAGTGGCTAGCATATACGGCTGCACACCCGGAGGTCCTGGGTTCGAGTTCAGGGTCGGGCGAAGTTTAGTTATTGAGTCTTTCTATATAGTAAGCCTCAGTAACAGCCCGGAGTTGGGAAGTTGGCGGTGTTTCACCCCCGTGCCTCGGAGAGCACGTACAGCCGTCGGTCCTGAGCCTTAACTCTTACTGGTCTTGTCGAGTGGTCGTCCCACCAAAGTATGAGAGTGACAGGAATAGAGAGTGTGTCTGCGCGTACACTTGTGCACTATAATATCTCCTGCGCAGTTGGCTAGTCTCAATGAGATTGGCCGCCGTGGCCGGAATCGGTCAGAACATCATCATATCTTTCTAACAATACTTAGTGATATCATCGGTACTTTATAAGAATAGCTATATTTTAAGAAGTTTTAGTATTTCCAAATAAAACATACGACTGCATTTAAAATCACAATTTGAATTACAAACCTTTGGTTTGTAATATCCTTTAAGAAGAGCATGAGCATCATTTCCGGTGTACGAGAATTCATTTATGGCGATGAATCCTCTATTAAATGGTACGTTTTCTTTTAATATAACTGCCTTCTCAGTTTTCATAGGATTCGAACAGTTTATGTTACCAGCAATAGTTCCAGTGTGATATGCTAGACATACCTGAAAATATCTTACTTAAATAAGTACCTAGTAGGATTTTCCATATTACAGAGAAAGTCGATTGTAGGTCCTATAGTTCATTAAAGTTCATAGGTTAACAATACAAAAAATACATTACTAATGAAAATTAGACCGTGAAAACAACAAAAAATTAGCATAATTATCTAGTTTGACATTTTGACCTCTTTACAATGTTGTTATAGCATTACATTGTTATTTTAAAAAATTCCAAAAGTTACGTGTGATGACAAACAATAATATACGATACAATTAAAAAAAATAACAATTGTACACTATGATGAAATGACATTATGATATATTTTATAATAGTAAAATCGTGTTTTTTTAGGAAAAGACACCGATATAGATAAACTAAAAAAAACCTTATCTAAATAAAAATCTAAATCGTTAAAGCCGTTTCCTAGAAACGCAATTTTTTATATATTTATATATAAGAATTGCTCACTTAATATTATAAAATATATATAGTAATCTTCATTCTTCTTCTAGTATATATTATACTTGTAGTATAGTATATATAGTTATAGTATAGTAGTATTATTCTTCTAGTATAGGAAGCTTCATGACCCTGTGGTAAATATATTATGATATATTGAAAGTAAATTTTCTGTGAAGTTTTTAATATTTATACGCTACGTAAATTTTATTTAATATTGTTCTTAATCTTAAGATTTTACACCTTTTAATTGCAATAGTTAAAAAAGATAATAATAATAATAATATATTGTTAGATTAGGGAGTGATCAGATTATACTTACCGTATGGTTTTTATGGTTTAACAGTGTATCCCTTATATTTTTAATATGACATTTGATAAGAATATTGATTAATTATCTTTCCTGCAGATATATTTTAACTAACCTTAGTCAATGAGCACAGGCCGGAGGCTCCCTCGCTGTTACCCATATTAGACTTCACACTTCCAACTTTAACTGGTGATTTATCTCCAAAAAATCTACTAATTGCTTTAAGTTCTACTTTATCGTGAGAAGCAATACCTTAGAAGAATTAAAAAATAACTCAGTCGTGATACTTCAAGGAAAAAATATTACTGAAATATAATAGTGACTGACAGAAACACTTTTGTATAATATATATTTCTATTAGCGAAAGAATAGAAAGAAATGTTAAATTGGTTCAGTAGTTTTAAAGATCATTGGCTACTAACAAACAAAAATCTTTCTAATAGCTATAATATTATATGAAAACTCGATTAGAATGAGCCTTCAAGAATACGACTTAACAACAATACAAATATTTAAATAAACTGTACCAGGAGCGTTGGCTTCTACATATTCAACGGAAGAGGGTGCAACGTCAATTTCAGAATAGAACTCTTGCAAGAATGCTAAAATATCATTTTCTTCACGATTTGGGAAACAGTGAATTTCTGGTTTTGAATAACCGCTTTTTACGTGATATACTTGAGAATAAATCCTGAAAAATACATGATAGTTTACACATATAGAAAGAATGAGTAAATAGATGATGGTTATAAAGACAAAGGAATCCAGAGAAAATACAAAAGGATGATAGAAATGATATTTGTAATCTCACTTTTGTTCGCTGGTACGATATATCTCTTGCTTCGCAAGGGATATAGCGTACCCTACCTCTGCTTGTTTTTAATCTCACTGATATGCCCTATATTATGCTAAAGATATAAAACTTGCTTAGATCATCACCTATACTAATATTATAAAGATGTAAGGTTTGTGAGTTTGTGAGGTTGTAAGGGGCAATCTCTGGATCTACTATGAAGATATTTTGACATTTTGGGAAGGACATAGGATAGTTTTTATCCCGGAAATCATCCATTAAGGGGGTGAAAATGGGGATCAAAGTTTGTATAGGGAATCATCGTAGGGACGAACTCGACCGAAGCGAGGATGAGTCGCTAGTAGTAGATAATAAATAGACTTAATTATCGATACAGAAGCCGAATCTATAGTTTTTAGAATTTTTATGTCTGTCTGTCTGTACGTCTGTTACCGCATCACAGAAAAACAACTGGAGGGATTTTGATGAAATTTGGTATGGTTATAGCTGGTTATCCGGGTCAACATTAAGGATACTTTTTATCAAGGGAAAATATCTCATTTCTAAGAAAAAATACAAAAACTGCTATGTAAGAGCATACTAATATGTAAAACCTAAGAATTTGGTTTTTGGTAATCTGAACGCGGGCGGAAGCGCGGGCAATGCTAGTCCAAAATAACAATAAATGTACCTTTTCGCATCTTTAGCTTTTTGTAAAAATACAACACTGACTGCCTCTGATCTTACGCTGCCATCTCCGTTTTCATCGAAACATTTTGTTTTACCATCAAGAGATACAAGTCCTGCTCTGAAAATAAAGCAATTTGCTAATTATTATTTCCTTAGGATAAAAGACATGTTGCCATTGGTGTATTAAAATTTTTTAACTCGACCATTTTGTACCTACAAAATATTACCCCAGTTTGTTTATATGATCTCTAAATGAAAAAAAGAAACACTTTGAATCTCATATAATGTGCAGTATTTCTAAGACATTATACGTCTATGGGAAGGCCACAGTACCCTGTAAGTGCTCACGTGGTTAAAAAAACTGCGTGAGTGATCGAAGGTTGAAGAATAAAATAAAAATTGGGTGGGGCTGTGTCGGGGCACTTTGTCATCAGTGAAACGTCTATTTCAGTGAGTCCCTTTAAGTGTTAAAGATTGGAATGAGAGCAAAATTGACTTCGTTCTAATTGTTTCAATACAATACTGATACTGAATAGTAGAGTATATAAAGTTCTTTCGATTAATTTTCTTAAAAATTTGTCTGTGGTATGAGAAATAAAGAACATAAGGCGTTGTTTACTAAGCGTGCACTGGCAGTTTTGAGATGCTCTCAGAAACGCCTCGTCCGCTCAGCGCTGGACATTCAGATACCTATGCGTAGCTCATAACCCTCTCTTTCCGATGACAGTCGTGTTTATATTTCCGGCTACAGCACGTGCTGAGGCCGACATATTGAATCCAAACTACACGTATTTTATTTAAATCGTTTGGTTGGAATAAATTCTATAAATGCGCTATCACGTGTGAATCGTGAGTTTCACCACATAGAAAGGATTAAGAACAGCGATTTCCGCTATTCTACACAGTGCCCTATCTCAGCGACCCCACCCAATCCTGATGCAAAGTCAAAGTCAAGAGTGAGCTGCCTATATAAGCTAAATAATGACACTAGATTTATATTACAATGACCAACAGTTTTGTAATTATTAAGGTAAGACGATATAGACGATTTCGTTACGGTCCACTTTTCTAACCTGGTACCCGTATGTTTAGTTGTGATTTTAAAGACATTTCATGTTAAAAATATTATTCACCCATAACGTACTCACGTTATGCCCTCCATAAATAAAGAAAATATTATGAAAGAATAAGTAAAATTAACAAAATATATTTGTACCTCCTTAAATTAACACCGAATGTTGGCTGCTTACAAATATTAGATCCAGCAACAATGGCAGATTCAATTTCACCAGAAAGTAGATGTTGGTAAGCTTGATCTAAGGATAGTAATGAACTAGCGGTAGATGCATCGATAGCGTAAGATGGGCCTTTTGTATTGAGATAATATGATATGCGATTTGCCAGCATAGTTTTGGATGAGCTAAAAGTAAATCATTTTATTAGTTGTGCTATTTTAAATTAAATGATTAATTATATAATGAATAATATTTAGAAATTGTAATTTAAAGAAAGCGAACTACTGAGGATGTTATTACTTTTAAAGGTAATCGTTCTTAATTGAAGTCGATATATCAACGTCATAATAAATTCAAAAATCATTACATCCTCAGTGGTTTGCTTTCCCCAAATTAAATTTCCCGAATCATTGAAATAATCCATAAATACACAATATATAAAAAATACACCGAAATTATGCATTGATTAGACTCTTACTATTGATGTCAGTTAAGAATTAGTTAAATACTAAATAATACATAATATTACTATATATCATGCAAATGTATTACTATATAGTATATACTAGCGATTTACCCTCGCTCCGCTCGGGTTCGTCCCTGGATACATTTTAATGGTTAGTATAAATTTCTCAGAGTCGAGATATTTTCTCGCAGTAAAAATATGTCGTATAAGGTGACCCAGATAATCAGCTATCATCATATCAAATTTAATCAAAGTCTGTCCTGTGGTTTTCTCGTGATGCGTTCCCAGGCAGACAGACATACAAAAATTCTAAAAACTATAAATTCAGCCTCTGGATCGATAATAATAACTATTTCAATAAGATTTTCCAAAAAATATTTAATTAACAGATTCGGTTCAGAATTTTATTATATGTATATATAGACTAGATATGATACTAATGCCACAGATATTTTTTCACTAAATTATAATAGTAAAAAATATATATTATAGGTAGCTTAGGCTTGAAAATAAAAACCTCAACAACTTACCCACTAAGATAATATATATTTGTTGAGTTGTCACAATCCATAAAAAAATTAAGGACATCCATGTAAGCTATTCCTACGTATACACCAACTTTTTTACCGTCCAACGTGAGTGGATTGATTCCTTAAAAATATTCAAGTTATACCACACTGACTTCAAGACTTAGAGGTAGAATTACATATATTTAAAATTATCGGAGTGTTTATTCGTCCTTAAATAGGGCAGATAAAAAATAATTATTCATCCTTTATAAAATACATCTATACTAATATTATAAAGAGGTAAAGTTTGTGGGCTTGTGAATTGTTTGTGACGTTGTTGGGGGTAATCTCTGGATCTACTGAACCGATTTGATGAAATTTGATAAAAAGGTAGTTTGAGACCCTAGGAAGGACATAGGATACTTTTTATCCCGGAAATCATGCCTTAAGGGTTGAAAATGGGGATGAAAATTTGTATGGGGAATCAACCTAAGGACGAACCTAAGGACGAAAGTATATTATAAGAAAGGACGAATAAACTAATTAATATGTAAGTAGAATAAGCAGCTCGGCTCGGCGTTCTGAAACTTAAAAATCGTTGGGATTTAAAAGAATAAGTTTGCAGCTCGGTAGTTTTAAGGTTATATTTTGTGCATATAGAAACTCCTGAACCTAAAAATCACTTATTTGACATTAGAAAACTAAAAAGTGGTAAATATTCATACAAACCTACAATAGTCGGATGAATAATATATCTTTTATTCATATTCAAGAACGAATAATTATTTTTTATTCGTCCTTATTTTAAGTACGAATAGCAACAGCCTAAAATTATTGTGTAACCTTACACAACTTATTCATATAAAACAAAAGTATTGAAAAAATCGAATTAGCGTATTAAAATTAGTTTACTATTGAAGAAAATACAACAAATATTAATAATGTATGTAAATAATTTTAGACCTTATAACTGACTGATGAGCTTTTTTAGATTTTCTTTCAAGAAGCTATTTATACTACTTATGTAATTAAATCTTAAAAGTTAATTTTAACATCACTATAATAGGTGGATTGATTTCTAAAGTTTTCAAAATGCAAATGTCAGTACGAAAATTTTGTATACATAAATTACATTGCTGGCTAATTTAAATAATTGGGAGTTAGAAAGTGAAAAACTTCCTTATTAGCGTCTCGTCAAAGCTCCAACTTTAGTCTTCATAAGAAATTGTAAGGACTTTTTAACTATAGTGATATTTGATCTAGCTTGTGTTAAATTAAATTGTTGGTCTGTTGTTTAAAGTAGTTACTCTTATTTCATAGCAGTTAAAAAAGAAAAGATAAGATCAACAGATTTTAACAGGACTTTAACTAGCGGATTTTCACCATACGACTGAAGTTATTTCATATAATTAACTAGCGATTTACCCTCTCTTTGGAGCTTCATCTGAGCTTCTTTTGAGAAGAATTATAATTCTTTTTCTAAAATTAAAGTAACCTAAGTTTACTCCGTATAGCATCAACTATCTGCCAATGAAAGTCCCGTTAAAATCAGTCCAGCTGTTTCGGAGATTAACCGGAACAAACAGACAAACTGACAGACAGACAGAAAATAAAAAAAGTTGTGTTTTTCGTATAAATACCGCAAATAATTTCATATCTAATTAGTAACAATCTGTTATTTTAATTTATTACTAACAGACAAATTATTTTTTTTTATCTATAAAGATATACTCGTATAAGCATTACCAGCATCATAAATAGCGCTATACGATTGTTCCAATAACTTTCTGCACATAGGATCCATAGACATGGCTTGGTTGAACATGATTTTAAAAAATTGAGCATCCAATTTATTCGGTTCATTTATTCTTCCTATATGATGTGGAACATCTGGATGAACAAAATGAGGGTCGACGCATACCACCATTTCAACCTGTAGTCAGAACAAAATAATAAAATCAACAATATTTTTTTTATATCTTAGATAACACTTTTTAGTTAGTAGTCATATTATTTAGTTAATTTTTATTAATATGATTTACAAGCAAATTCGCTGGTATTATATTTAAATTTAATTTATTATTGCAGTAGGTAGGTATTATTATAAAGTAATAATTTTGAATATTTGAAGTATGAATACGTTTTATAAGCTTATTTGCTTTATGTCATTTTTGGTAGCCATTAAAATATTATTATTTTACGATTTGGTCTTATTACGTAACATATATTTTTAAATCTGAAGCTTAAGCTATAATCTTTAACATCAGCACTGTTATTGTAAAGTAATTTTTGTATTCACAGTCAGTCACGACAATGCAAAATATGTACTTGTAAGATTAAACATGAAAAAATCGCATTAAGTTAATTAAATAGTAAAAAGATAATATACGAAAATTAAAAAAAAACCTTGCCTTATTATACAAATTCTCCATGAATTCCAAAACGCAATCAGATTTTGGAAATACTCCGGATATTCCACTTATAACCACTTCATCCCCTTTTAACTCATCTTGTCTCTGATCCTGCATGTTTGACATTATTTAATCACTTTTAAGAAAAAAGGTCTACTTGTGGCTACTTCACCTTGCAGAATCACTACAATAGTGATGACGCTTACTAGTACACGCTCATTAAATACATTTAGCTTTAAACATATTCAAATCAAATTAAGTAAAAAGTAAATTAATTATTCATGTATTTGCCAATGGTGGCATCCATACTATCCATACTAATATTATAAATGCAAAAGTAACTCTGTCTGTCTGTCTGTTTGTCTGTTACCTTTTCATGCTTAATCCGCTGAACTGATTTAAATGATATTTAAAATGGAGATAGTTTGAGACCAAAGGAAGTACATAGGATAGTTTTTATCTAATCATTTTAGTAAACCGCAGAACCAGACAGAACATCCACCAATGTGGTAAACACAGAAGTTCTTAATTTAATCCTAAAATCCTAACTTCCTGTTCGCGACTTTCACAGCGTAGGCTAAGTTAACAAAATCTAGAGTGATAACATAAATGTACACATAATATTACAAATAAAAACTATTAATAATATAAGTTAAAATATGACAACATATTAAAAATTCAATGGAAATCAAATTCAAGTGCGGGTTGGCGGATTTCACATGTCTTTGGAAAACTTGCTAGGTTTTTTCAGATATGCAGGTTTCCTCACGATGTTTTCCTTCACCGTAATGCTAATGTTAATCAAGTTAGATATGATTCGCACATGAAAATATCAGAGTTGTGAGACCCGGGGTTTGAACCCGCTTCACTCGGTTTCCCAAGCAAGCGCATTACCACTGGGCTACCACTGCCTTGACTATCTTAACTATGTTAACTGTAAATCATTTGAAACGTCGGAAACGAAAAAGCAAAATATCATTTATCATCATATTATTATTATCTTAAATAGGCACTTAAATTTTATTTATAAGTAATACAATATATTTAATATATAATATAGAGAATACTTGATACTAATTACTTTCACAATAGGTAACTAAAAGGTCAAAAAACTGTACGAAATATACATACATATTAAACACAAACAACACGTTAACAAAGTAAAATCATACATTAACATTTCAAATTTTTTAGACTAACCTTTGACTTTTAGTGCAAAAGTATTACTAGTTACTACTTCTATAACCTTTGAACTAAATTTTGTTATATTTTTAGTCTGAATTATATACATAACTGACTCACAACCGAATAGCATTCCCCTCTATTTATTAATTATGCAGTATTGTGAGTCAATTATTAAACATATTATCATTGTTATTGCAACATTATGTGCAAAACATTTTCATGGATCAATATAATGTGTAAAAATCTATTTATTATCAGATTTGAATGTTACAACGTGATAGTAAATAACATGTGAATCTGAAAATTATACGAAAAATTAAAAAAATATATATTTTATGAGCTCGTCACTGATCTTTAAAAAAAAAGACGAAATAGTTAAATTCAAAATTTCTTTTGAACTGTATTTGAGAAAAACAGATATTTTTTTCGAACAATATCTTTACATATAATAAAATTCTAACTGAGTCGAATCTGTACATTAAACATTTTTTTGGAAAATCTCATTGAAATAGACATTATTATCGATACAAAGGTCGAATCTATAGTTTTTAGAATTTTTGTCTGTCTGTCTGTCTGTTACCGCATTACAGAAAAACTACTGGAGGGATTTTGATGAAATTTTGTATGATCATAGCTAGTTACGGGTCAACATATAGTATACTTTTTACCGCAGGAAAATATCTCATTTCTGAGAAAAAATACAAAAACCAGTCTAAAATAAAATTACATAAATGAAATTTAAACTATTTGGCTTTATAAATTAGTACTATATCAGTAATATTTTGTTGGCCTAAACAATTTTCAAATAATAATATATGCCATTATTTAGAAAAAATTGCTTTTGTAAATCTTTAAATATATAAATCGGGTAAGCAAGTGCCAGTCCAACTCGCACATCAACAGTTCCATTTAGCCAAATACTGTTTTGTTTTTAATTACTTACGTATCGTTAATAATAAAATAAAATACGAATATTTATGATAAAAAAAAGGTTTGTGTTTCATACATTCTATCTTTTTAACATATTATAGAAAACAAAGTTTCGTTTACTAAACTGACAAAACGGGTGATTGAAAATATTAAATACTACGGAACATAATATATTCTAAAAAGCAGTTTTCATTAAAAGTATTTTGGAAGATACCTATACCTCTACTATTTAGATTATTTGGATAGCATTTTTTGAAAGATAAAAAAGGAACGTTTATTTTTTTTTAAACTACAATATTTATGACTTTAGAGTTACATAGCTTGGTTAATATGACCAACATCAGCCGAGGTATATGAAATGATAAAAAAATAGATTAGAAATTTTTATCTTATGTACTCCTGAAACTATCACTTGCCTTTTCATTATGAGAACAGAAATTTACAGACATTTTTAATTTTAAAATTGTTTCGGGCAATAATCCATACTATTATATTATGTTATAAAGAGATAAAGTTTGTGATATTGTGAGTTTGTGGGTTTGTGAGTTTGTGACGTTGTAGGGGGTAATCTCTGGATCTACTGAACCGATTTTCAAAATTCTTTTACCAATAGAAATCCACGTTCTTTCTGAGTGTCATAGGCTATATATTAACCCGATGAATGAAAATACTTTTTCATGGTAGTCGGATTTGCAAAGTAAGACGGAGAAAAAACGGTCGAACGAAAACGTTTCTTACGAACGACTTCAATTTGGATTTCATGTCCAATACCATGAGTACAGTAACGATAAGATATTTGTCAATCTTCTTTATAACAACGTTGATCTGAGATAGTTTTTAAATATTTTTTGTTTAGAAAATGTGTTATGTCACAATTATGTCTATCCCTATGTGTTACAGTGACTGGTAATGTGAGGTAAATTTTAAACGCTGTGGACAGATTTGGAAACACTGAAATTAATTTATTTGTAAACAAATAATTTAAAATATCATCAATCAACATCGGGAACTATTCGATTTCATTAAAAGCTCGAACTTCTCCAAATCTGAAGTGCCAGCATGGCATAGTTTATTTTCTAAATTAGAACCATGCGCTTTTTTAAATCTAAGTCCAAATCCTTCCAGTGTTTTAATTTTTGAAGAAATGAAAAAAGTACATTATTTTGATCTAAAAGTTGGAACCTTTCGTCGAACTTGGTAATAGAGGTATCTAATATGTAGTAGTAAAAATTTCATTTCGGTTCATCCTCTGCCATATAATTAAAAAAACATTCTATGAGTGTGAAAGCATGCGGGTGCGGAAAATTCTGCTATTGCCACGACTTCTTCTGCTACAGTTTACAGCGCTTTTCATGAACTCCCCGAAAGCACACTCATTAAAGAATTCAGACAATTACCAATTAAGAATTAAGACTTATTGTTGACATTACGACATATTGACTGACAATACGACGTCTGACTTTTAAAGAGCCTTGCTAACTATATTTATCTTGCTTAAAATTTCGAACCAAATTAGCAGAAAACAGATAACTTTAAATGAATAAAGTTTAACCAATAATGAATTCTGCCATATTTCTTGACTCCGCATCTTTGCTCCTATCGGAATATATGGTAAGCAAGGCATCATACACTCTTCCCAGATTAAAACGTAGAGCTTTCTTCTGCTTCAACCCTGTCCCTAAATCGATTATTTGAAAGTGGTTTTAGTATTAAAGGCGGCACAGCATTTCTTTGGTAAGTATTTTTTGCTAACATTCTATTGACGCCGAAAAGAAACATAAATTTCTAAGATATATTCTGACGTCATATTCGATCTGACCAATGGTGTTATGTTTACTTTAAATATATTTGCACTATTTAATAAACATTTTCTTAATCAAAAAGAAATTAAATTAAAAAATATTGGTATAGGCATTAATTCAAAAGCAATAAAGATTATAAAAAAATATTTCACCTTTATTTAAATCAAACACATATATTGAAAAGGAATCGACATTTTCTAATGAACTTTTAGTAGCATCACTAACTTCGTTTTTGTAAACCTATATTTTTACCCTTTCATGTTTGCACTATTATCGTAACTTTGACCACGCAGATTTTGTATGTCAATATCATTGGACGTTAAACAATCTAACAAAAATGAGCTAAGACCTGAGCAGTTGTGTCTCTAATAGGAAAAAAACGTATGCGTGTACTTATGATTAAAAAGTTATACTTCTTTTCCGTAACAGAACAAAAATAGCTAAAGATTTCATCTCGTATGTCACAAATCTCTGTAAAAGGAATGCAGCTAACTTCATTATGTCGCTTTCAGCTAATTTCCTCATGTTGCTGTTTGGCTGTCGGTGCGCACGCGCATCGTTAAAATTTTACTTTCATATTTTTTTCCAAACGTGCCAAAAGAAGTATAACTTTATAAATCCCAGTTTTATTTCAGTCTTCTTGTTGCTTGCATTAAAAAGAACGCACCGTACGGCAACCGATATTTGTTCTTCATGTACAATATCTAGAGTGCAATCTAAAATAATTGAAAAATATTTGGATTGTTTCAATTCTAAAACAATTTTTTTTCTTTCCCCTAACAATCGTATTATTTTATTCTAAATATTGTAGTCAAGATAGTTAGGCATGACTCAGATTTTTTAATAAAGGCAATGTGTTCTGCAAGCATTATAAAGCTATATTCAAGCAGCTTTAAAAAATAACCATTATCAGTATCATAATTTTTTTCTTCTATTTTTTTCCTTATCGCCAGACATTGCCTCGCTAAAAAAAATATTATTTTGATTATTCGTTTATGTACTGCCATCCGCTTTTTCCCGTTCAGTCCATTCAACTTTGTTCAAGAAGACTACCGTCTTTTCTTTTACATAAAATAACCGTTCTCAATGTAATTAGTTTGTTACGAGACATAGGTGCCCTAAGCTCTTTTCAAGGCGTTCTAAAGCTATAGACAAATGCTGCCAATTTGTATAAACTACGCGCGCCTTGCTTTGCTATCACCGCCCGGAGTCGGCCATAACACGGGCACAAGGTCTTTGAGAGCGCCGGCGACGCCGCGAACAACGAATGCTCTTTTGAAGTGTCGCAAACGGCGCTTGGGGCCCCCTGAGACCCTGCGCCTGTGTGCACCGTACACCGTGCACTATAGGTAAAGCCGCCCCTTGTCGCTGTCAAACCAAGATGGTCAATATTATGTAAAATGAAGTCAATAAATTGAACTACTTTAGAAAGTATTAATTTTTTCTTCCTGATTAGTTATTTTATAATAGTCATGTATTTTGCTTATTTTGTTTTCTTTTAATTTCCCTGCCGATTTAATTCGGCAAAAGAAGTGGGTAGCTATAGTTAAGCTAGAAAGGCAATAGTATCCCCCCCAACGTGCGTTCACGTTGCCGTGGTGAGGAAGGGGAGGGGGAAGGCTCATTAGCGTCCGGTAGTTTAGACGGGTGCGAAGCCAAGAAACACCGAAGTACCCACTTCGGTGGGCGGTGTACCATGCTGGTTATCTGGTACTTCTCTGATAGTAGAGTAGACTATGGAGCAATCCCATGGTTATTGTGGTCCTACAGGTGGTATGCGTAAATGCATTTCCCAATATTAAAAAAAAGAGAAAGGCAAGAGTGTGACTGAGTACCTCTGGAAACCAGCAGAGTAGAAACACCGGAGTACCCACTTCGGTGGGCGGTGTACCATGCGGGTTATCTGGTACTTCTCTGATAGCAGAGTGGACTGTGGAGCAGCCCCATGGTTATTGGGGTCCTACAGGTGGTATACGTAAATGCATTTCCCAATATTAAAAAAAAGAGAAAGGCAAGAGTGTGACTGGGTACCTCTGGAAACCAGCAGAGTATGCTCCGTGTCCCGCGCACTACATCATCGGTAAATAATGGCGGTGCTTAGCTATGCCATAAACGTTCCTCCGTTTATCTCTTATTTGGCTTAGTAATATTGCACTTTTTGTTTTAACAATAACGTTTATAGTAAGTCTATACTTCTGTTTCGTTAGTTTGTTTAGTTTTGGGCGATAAATTCTCAATCTACTGAATTAATTTTAATCATTTATTTACTAATAGACAGCTATTAATTAATTTATATTTAGCTGCTTATTTAAATTATATAATAATAACTTTTCTTAATGTTAATTTAATCGCGAAACAGGGATGAGTTAGCGCTAGTTAGTAATATTTTTCGAAATGATTTTAAAAAGAAAGTTATGGGGGAAAGTGAGAGTTCCAAATATACATAATTTTAAGCAAATGTTGTTATTGTCTGACAAATGACATATAATATTATATTCTTTCCTTCTTTTCTTTCCATTGCAGCTACTTTTATATAGATAGAAGTATTTTATCATGCACAGAAAAAAATAGCTTTAATTTGATATATAAATGATGAATATACACCAAGAACGTATAAATGTAACAAAAACACTTTTAATGACTCTCAACCACTTTTGCGGCCACTTTTACATAGGCAGACGTAGTTTATCAGGTACAGAAAAAAATTAGCTTTAATTTGATTTATAAATGATGCATGTACGTTATGAACCCATAAACATACCAAAATATGACCCGCTTATACCTGGCTGCGAAGAGGATGCGGCTAAATGCGCAACGGCAGCTATCATTTTTCAAGATTACTACGTATAGTTCTGTGAAGTTGAGTATAATTCATTGTAATAACAAATGTATCTTTTTTATTCCAAAAAGTCAACTATTATTTAGTTAATTAAACATACTTGCGGGCACATTTGAATAGGCACCCCGGTCAAAACATAGTCCCTTTTATTATTGTACATTATAAAAAATTGATTTCGATTAAATACGCAATGAATGTAGCAATCTTGCAGTGGGATCTTAGTCCATTAGTGTTAACCTAACAAAATACGTAAGTAAGAAAAACAACACAGTATTTTGCTATACGGACCCTACAATGCGCGAGTTGGACTTGCATTTTTTACATTAATAGATTACAAACATTAACATTATTTACTAAGCTTACTTTAATAAAAAATATTTTCATTTGAAAATTATTTCGGCTAACAAAATATTACTAATATGTTACTAATTTACAAAGCCAAAAAATTTGTTTTACTAATAATTTGAACACGGGCGAAGCCGCGGGTAATTTAATAGAATTCTAATAAAACCATAGAAAGGTATGTACATTCAATATCTGTAAATTTATTTTTTTGGAATTAAAACTACGCATTTTGAAAAAACATGGCGACATCTATTGACGAATATCTAAATAACACTTAAATTAATATTTTTGGACTAATTTTAATGAATGAAATAGCGCTATTGATATTTTTTTAATCTAGATAAGCCTTTTTAATAATTTTTTCCATATTTAGTAAAATATCTTGCTAAAATTTTCAAATAAAACTATCTTGTCAGATTTTTTCGCGAATTTATTTTGGTTTTTGGTTCCCGACGTTTCGAATGCTTTACAGCAATCATGGTCACGGGAGAGACTGAGGTGTTAGATGTCTCTAAGGTATTATATAGTTGTTACAGACAGCCTACCCACAAATAACAAAATGAATTCAAAAATTGAAAAATGGCACCAAAGTACCTTACAATATTTTAACTTTTAACTTTAAACATTTTTATATAATTTTAATTAGCTTTATAATTGAATATGGAATATTATTTATTTAATTTGAGCTGTTATTATTATAATTATTACAATTTTAAAAATATTAATTAGTAATCTACATTTTTAGTGTTGCCATTATTATATTTATAACCATAAAGAAAAAATCATAATATATTAATTATTTAAGCCACATAATTGATCTATGTGTAATTTGAAAAAGTTAAGATCAATTAAAAATAATAATTTTAATTTAAAATTGCTATTTTTAAAAACAAATTATTAAGCAACACATTACTACATATATTTATATTTGAAAAAGTGAATAATATTAATCAGAAATGCTATCATTTTGATCTACACAGTAAGAACTTATCAAATCTGCAACATCTGCTGTCTGAAAACATAGTCAGGACCGCCCAAGCCATTATATTCGCTTCGATAGACCTGAAATCCTCGCGAAATAAAACCGATATCGCCCTAGAATGATTCGAGAAGCCATAGAATTTAAAAAACATCCAAAATTCAATAGGGAAGATGGCTGGGTACTACCATCGTCATGGGATCCTGTTATTAATATAATAAAATCTAATAATAAATCTGAACATAACAGACAGGTAGATGTAGTAAGTTCTTACTGTGTAGATCAAAATGATAGCATTTCTGATTAATATTTTTCACTTTTTATTGTAAATGTATGTAGTAATGTGTTGCTTAATAATTTGTTTTTAAAAATAGCAATTTTAAATTAAAATTATTATTTATAATTGATCTTAACTTTTTCAAATTACACATAGATCAATTATGTGGCTTAAATAATTATTATATTATGATTTTTTCTTTATGGTTATCCAATAATAAAAAAAATTACCAAATTTCCTCAAAATCCCTCCAGTGGTTTTTCTGTGATATGGTCACAGGCAGACAGACAGACAAAAATTCTAAAGACTATAGATTCGGCCTGTGTATCCATAATAATAAGCTATCTCAATAAGATTTTCCAAAAAAATATTTAATGTACAGATTCGGCTTAGATACAATTTTATGTATATGTGTAGATTTTAGGTTTAAGGAAGGACAATACTTTGGAACATTTAACTAACGAATGTTGATGAGACAGATAAAAAAATCCGAAATAAGTTATATTTATTATAAAATTACTAATCGATAATTAATTATGATTAATTTTATATCTGTTACTAGAAATAAATATAATTTCCTTCAAGGCGTAACGAAATAAAAACTTATTTAGTATACAAGAACTAATATGGGCTATAAGAAATAATATTTATAGGGCCGTTACGAACTGTGAACACAGCGGGCGGCTTATGTAACCTTCAGTTCATTAATTTGTTAAGTTATAAAATATAACAGCTATTAACATAGAATAAAACTGTAGAGGTCGAATGTCTGTACATAGAAAAAAAATGCTAAAAACCGAGTCAGGGGGATATAAGAAGAGAAGTAGAATAAATTCAGATTTTTTTCAATTTTTTTGTTTCTCTTTCGGTTTGTCTGTCTGTCTGTCTGTTTGTACGGGCTCATCTCCGAAACTGTTGAAGGGATTTAAATGAAATTTGGCATTGTGGTACTTTATATCCCATCCGGTCAACATTTTAGATACTTTTCATCCCGGAAAATTAAATAGTTCCCGTGGGATAGTTAAAAAACTGTAGTAACTTATACAGCTTAGTACACAAAAACTACTGATTGGATGTTAATGAAACTTTACACTAATATAGTTGATACATAAGAATAACAAATAAGCTACCTTTTATTCCGGAAAAATGATCGGTTTCCGTGGGTTAGATTTGTTATTGTTTGTCTAGAGGCGACACCTAGCGATGCGAGGGTGACCCTCTAGTTAGATAATATAATATAAAAAATATTTGCGTATATTTTATAAGCGTATATTTTTGGGAGTTTTTAAAATCTACAGTCAGGGCAAAAAGTTTCTGTGAAGGTTTTCAAAAATAGAAATATGATTTGGTTTACATAAGCTAATCTAATTTTTAAAATTTAACTTATTTTATTTTATAGAAAGTCTTTTTTTTTCAAAAAAATAATAATTTATAATTTAACGTAGAATCGTAATTATTCGTACATTCAATTCTGTGTATTAAAATTAAAAGAAATGTTTTTTAAAAAGTGCTTTATTACAATAATATATAATTTAGTGGCTTCATAAACTAAGTTAATACGCTTTTAACAACTTTTAACATTTTAGAACTACATAATCTTGAAATATTACATTGAATGAGATTTTTTTATATTTTAGCGGTTTTAATTAAGCATAACTTGTTACGAGTATGGAAAAGTCTAAAATTGTAGCAACAATTTAAATTTTTGAATAGTAGACTGATCCTAATTATACTACATCTGCTTTCTACGGTTATTTCAAAAGTTAATCATCACTTTTAGGACCCCTAATATAACGTAATATTTACTTCTTATTAATCAAATAAGTTTTGCAAAGATTGGTGTTTTTATATTTTGTCAGCAAGTCCTTGTCAAGCATTTTATTTATTATATTCGGCACATTAACATTAAATGGCAATGTAGTATGGTTCGATTCAATATTTGCTACTTTAACTGGTTTTTTGGTATATTTGGCCAAATTATAATCGTATGGTAAAACTTCAGCATTTGAATCATTGATCGCTTTTAGCAAAACTATTTCAGATTCGAGCGTAAATGTAGGGTTATACTTCAAAGCCAGTAAAATTCTATTATAAACTGATTCTACACTTAGTCTGATATATTCTTGTGGATATGGCACACGTTCTTTTGTTGCTATAACAAATGCCTTAACTTTTTCTTCAAACGTGTTAATTGTTTTTATTTCTTCTTGAAGTTGGTTGTTTGTTTCCTTAGTTATTAAGTAATAAATATGATCGATTAGTACGTTTTGTAATTTTTCGTCTGCCAAATTGCTGGTATACGCATTTAGTTGTACACGTAATGCATCTGGACTACTATCTAGGCAAAAAACTGTACCAACGATACCTGTAATATTAATTTTTGTATGTTATTTTACTTTAGAACTAATTAGTTATAAATCCAAATACGTGTTTTTATTATATAAATAATTACCTTTCTTTTCTAATAATGCTGCAACTTCCAAAGCAATATTAACACCAAACGAATATCCCAAGAGATAAAATTTATTCTTTTCTTCTAATCTTATAACTGCATTCTAAATAAGATAAAAATGATACAAGTTTAAATAATTTGTATAGTGTAATGATTAGAAATGTAATTAGTGTTGCGGTTTGGCCTGCTTCTATTTAGAGTAATTCTTTATATATAATTTGATCAGTTTTTTGAGATCTCTCATCATTATCTAGCGATTATCAGAAATGATTAAAATAAATGAGTAAGCTTGTCATCAAAATATTGTTATCTTTACTTCGTAAAACTTTTTTGTATACTATTGTTATTTGCTTATCTTTAGTTATAGAAATTTACATTTAAAATATTTAATATATACCTTCAATACACTTTCAGCCATTTCTGATATAGTATTTGCTGCCAAATCTGGTCCAAGTTGGACAGTTATTGCTTTAATTTTGAGAGTGGAGCATAAAGATTGAAACACGCTACAATCGCCTTCAAAACCAGGAATCAAAATCAAATAATCAGCTACAGGGTCAACATTTTCCATGTCAAAGTGTTTCTAAAATTAATAAAAATAATTGAATTCTTGCCTTAGTTACACATAATTCTGTTCTGTTTTTCTGCCAGTATTATAATAGTGTTTTTGTTACCCGACAGTATTCAATACTGCCTGTTGTCACATTACCTAGATCCGTATAACACATTTAGTATACTCGTGAAGTTACCATTAATATTTATTCTGCAATCTTCCATTAATTTAGCCAAAGGCATCTTTCGCATCATTCGCATATCAGTTCCCATATTAAATACATTTAATGAGTCTATTTATATTAGTTTGCCGTCCATAATGAAACACTTGATGTCAACCAGTCCGAGTTAACATTTACATAGTCTATACAAATAAATATTTGCCCTTTATCCTTCTAGCCTTGTCTTCTAGCAATTTATTTTATGCCCTTTGAAATATGCCTACCATATTAAAATATGTTTATACAAAAATATTTCGTTTCAAAATTACCTCTGGAATATTATTAGTCAACGTTAACATTTGTTTGAATGAATCACATGCTTCATGAGAATCATCATTGACGTACGAGATTATTGCATCAAGCCCAATGTTGTTCTTTAATTCGTCTAAATAGTATTCAACATTCTGGATACTGAAAGTAAGCGTTTATTTAATGGTATATTGGTTTAGTTTTAATTATTATTTACTACTAGTGACTCACCCTCGCTTCGCTTCGGGTTCGTCCCTACACAAAGATAAATGTTTTTCACGGAAACCGTACATTATTTTCGAGATAAATGTGACACAAACCTATGTGCTATTTCAGACTATAATCTATCTCTGCGCCAAATTTTATCCAGATCTGTTTAGCTGTTCTAGCGTGAAAGAGTAAAAAATCCATCCACCCTCAATGATTTTTTTTTATTAATTGTTGAATTAAAAGTTATTGTGCATTTTGATTATTTACCATTTTGATATTTTTTACCTGGATAGAGACATTTGCATAAGTTTTCTCTCAGATACTGCAACTTGATAGTGTTCTAAAATTAAACCTCTTATTTTTTTTATAGTGAGCTTATCTATTGCAATATCGTGTAATGATGCATCAACATCTAACTCAATTCCATTTCTTTGGTTGCCTGAAGATAAAAAATATGTTTTAATTTCTTTATTATCGGTATATATTATATTTAAAAAAAAAGATAACAGCAACATATTAAATATTCATAAATACCTAAAATGTCATTTAATTTTCTTGAATATTCCATCTTAGAATTTTTGTTTGTATTATATGATATCACATTGCAACAATTTTGTTTTATACTATTTTCCATGCTATTTAAAACTTGGTGTATCGATTGGTACGTTTTTTGATTTTTTCCAAGACCGAACTATAGTAAAATTAAAAATATTTTTTAAATTCTTATTGAAAACCACAATAAACAAAATATATATTAAAAGCCTAATAAAATAACATTTATGAAATGATGTAAATAAACCAAACAATAAATTAGTCATAGTTGCAAAATCTAGATGATTAATTAATTATAACAATTAAAGACAAATTTATTATATATCATAAATTTTGACCACTATATTTAAGCAACCTTTTAAGACATAGAAAGACATAGTTTCAAGTTAACTTGCAGAGAACTGCTATAATCATTTTACACTAGTCATTAATATCCTGCATTGAAGAGATAATAGTCATGAGAAATACTAAAAATAAGTTAATAAATAAAAAGCTCTTTCAGATCTGAAAGAATATATATATAATATATTCCATGATAGAACGTCAATAAATAATAACGAATGTGGTTATTTCGATATGAGCTTTACCAAATTTCTAACAACGAGGTGGACAAAAACGTAATACTTATCCCCTTTACGTACCTCATCTACGAATTCCGCTCGATATAGAAGAGCATTCAAACCAATGTTATTACGATAGTGACATATTTTACTGCACATTGAGAACACACGCTCATCTTCCGAACTGTTAACATTACTTGATAGTATTACAAAGTATCTGCAATATTATATCAATCATTAAATTAATAAATAAACATAAACTTTTTGTGCACGCAGAAATTTTGCTGGGATTTTTGGTATTGATAAAATATAATTGTACCTAAGGTAATCCATGTTTCTTGATAATTTATCCAAATTAGATATTGATGTTGGCACATTTGTATATGCTGGAGCAGCTAGTTTGTACAGAACAATAAATATGCCTTCAATTGGGCCTAATTTTGCGACGTCACTGATAAAAAGTTTACATTTTTCTTCGTCCTCAATTCCATATCGGCTTACTTTTACCTCTATGCCTTGAGTCCTCCATAGTCTGAAATAAAATATTTCAATTTGGAGTACTAACGTGAATGTTTTATTGCTTACTGGCTTAGTTTTGTTATTTTAAAGAAACAACGAGGAATATTAATTTTGATAAAGAATATTTTTTTAAGAATAGTTCTTTTATTAAATGTACTCGTATTTTTGTACTTACAACATCTTAGCCTCTATGAACGGAGAAACAGCTTTGGATCTCATTTGTAAGTAAATTTTCTTTGCACCACGTTTTATTAATAAATCCATTAAACTAACACATAATTCATCTTGATCTCCTACTACGACATATGCAAAATGAGGATTTAATACAAGCCTGAAAAATTAGAAAATACGTACAAGAAAAAGTGTTATGAAATCATCATCTGAGTCTATTATGTACTTTACGGATATTTGGACAAATAATAATAATAATCAATTTTGGGACATTAACACACAGCGCTATCTAGTTCCAGGGTAAGCTACGAGGCTTGTGTTATGGATACCAGATAGTTGATACACTACACATATATAACTTTAAATACATACATATAAATAAAAATACCCATGACTGCATAAAACTGTTCAATGTATAGACATAGATTAGTTTAGGTATTATTGTTAAATAATATCATGATATATAAATATTGTGCGTGTAGCAAAAGCTAATTCTAAAATTGCAATCAATCCATTCAAATAAAATATTATTTATATTTTAGTAACCACTCATAAGACACATTTCGTTTTAATTTTACGATATGTCCATACACTTTACCTTGGCATCACATTGTTATTTAGCGAATTTCTTAAATCAAACAGAACCCTTCCTCTATGTCTTCTAGAAGATAAAAACTTGAAGGCCCTGGGTACTTCGGAAGATGAGAACATGGTGTAAGTTAGTGGTCTAACGACTCCCGTAGCGATGCCATCTGCTATCATTGATTGTAATATCTAAAAGAAACAGTTTAAATATCAAAGATCCACAGGGTAACAATATTATGATATTTCAAATATTTTTTTTTTATTTGTGGAATTCGTACATTAAGTTATTATTGAAAATCAAGAATAGACCATAATATAATGTTTTTAGTAAAAAATATTTAATGACTTACTTTTTTTTCATGTGTATATTCCGGTTTAAAAATATTAGAAAAATTCACACTATAGTAATATTTAAATTCGGCTGCGAAGCTCATGCCCAAAGGTTTATTGTCTATCATATTCTTATTAGATAAATCTAAATAGGTGCCAAAAGGTGATAGGCATTTTATCGTAGACTGAAAAATTATATTATTAAAAAATGAATTCAGTATTTAAGTTGCATATAATGTTATTCATTTAATTGAAATATGCTTTATTTATATTCCCATAAAACAAATAAGTATAAGACCATCTGATTATTAGCAGCAGTAGCCTCCATGGGTTAGCTTACTCCAGTGTAGCTTATCCGTTTATGAAAACGTCAGCAAGTCTAAGCATTTTCTTATTACTGAGCAAACCCTAAAAAAATTTTAAGTAACCCCCGACACAAAGAAAAACTCTAAAAACAAAAAAATATAATACTTTATCATTGTCAATCTTCTTTTTATTTGTATTCTCGTTTTAATTTTATTTACTTCGCGGTGCCCTAACGCGGCGATGCTCATCATCAAAATATTTAATAATTGGTTTTTTAATGAAGTTAAAAGGCTTAGAGAGATTTTTTTTTTACTTTTAAGAGTTTTTTTTTGTGTTGTGGTTACTTAAAATTTTTATTTTTATTGCAATCTTTTTAAATTACTTGCAGACACTTATTCTAATAGATAACTCTCATTGATATTATACTTATGAGCCCAAATACGCTATAATATTTTCTGTAAGTTTCTGAGGAATTAAGCATCCTGCAGACTATTTGATGCTACAGCATTTGCTCAAGGTTAGCGTGTTTTAAAATACGACCGAAGTAATAGTACACCAAATTTCAAATCATTCAGATCTGTGGAAGTTAGTAAGACCCTTTTGTCAAGTAGAAAATGAGTGATGATAATCAAAAGCCTGAACAGGTCTTTATAAATTATACCTAAGAACCATCTTGATAGCATGTGCTTTCAAACAAAAAAACCGCATCAAAATCGGCCCATTCGTTCAGGAGCTACGATGCAACAGACAGCCATACAGATACACATACACACAAATAAACAGACGCATCAAACTTATAAAACCCCACTTTTTGCGTCGGGGGTTAAAAATAAATACACAATTCCCTTTTATTTAATATCCCACTTGGGTATATTTGAAAATATTCGATTTCTAATACCCACTTTCATCCCCCATATCTAGTAAATAGCTGCACCAATTTTGATAAAACATATCTAAGAACCATTCCCAAGAAACTATATTTCAAATAAAAAAAACCGAGTCAAAATCTGTTCACTAGTTTAAGAGAAATAGTGCCACAGACAGACAAACAACCTTTTTTTGCGTCGGGGGCTAAAAAAGCGAGGCTATAAATTCAGAAAGTTCATTTATGACATGTCATATGTTTTGTACAAAAAAAACGTTTTAAGGAATATTGTTGACTTACATTGCGGAATATACCGCTTTCGCAGTTGATTACATAGTTGCACCGCTTGTTGTTGGTTTGCCTGATAATAGATGCATAAAAGTCATCATATCTTGAATTTAAAATTTGATTTTCTGAAAATACATAAAAAGTTACCTAAAAGGTTTTCTAAACCATAAATATTTGCCGGCGAATCTCACGTAAGTAAACATCTACGTAAAAGTGTTATATAAAGCACGAGTGTGTGCATAGCCACAGGCACATAGTGTGTTCTTTTAGTTTCATGATATAAGTATCTAATATAGTATGGCTTTCCAAAAGTATCGGTGAGATCAGACGAAGGACCCGCTCTCAGTCTATAAAACCCCTTACTTAAAGAAATATATTGTTTGTTCAAGTGTTAAAGGAAATTCAAATTATTCAGCATTAAATTATTACAATTTTTAACTGAACGTCATGAGTCTATTACCAGTTCGGAAAGAAGAAGCCTCAGACCTGAGAAGATCTGACGAAAGAAACTCAGCGTGACTAATATTATTTCGGTATCTTTTTTGTAAGTTAAAATATAATTTACAATATTTCTATAAAGTTGAAGTAGCCTAGAGGCGGTCATTTAATTCCCGAGGCGTGCCATCTTCTATAAAATCATTAATTCAATAGCCTTTATCACACAAACGCTATTTAACTTTTTTTTTTTAATTTGGCGACATATAATTATGTATAAATAAATAGATATCACATATTACATTGTCCATAAAATGAATTACTAAATTTGTGTAAACGTGTCACAGGCATTACAAGTTTGTGTTTGCTCCTAGTATTATTGTTATGCATGTCACACTTTTTCGGAAAATCGTGTGTATTTTACGAACATACATAACATTTTCGCACACGTACTGAGAAGCAAAAGTCAATATTTTTATTTCTTTAAATTTATCTCTTAAGGACACTCTAGGACCTAAACTATAAATTGCATGAATAGTTCTTTTCTGCAGGACATAAATCGTATTAATAGCAGCTGTATTTCCCCATAGTAAGATACCATGGGACAAAACACTATGAAAATAACTAAAAAATACTATGCGAGCTGTATCTACGTTAGTAATAAGTCTTATTTTTTTACCGCAAACACTGCAATATCAAGTCTATGATAATACCCAGGAATTTAGTGGACTCCACTAGTTTTAATATATCCCCATTTAATATTACACCATTATCAACAAGTTTATATTAGGTGTTGAGATTTTTTTTCTTTTTCTTATTAAATAATATATTTTGTAAATCAAATCAATGGACAATCTTTGTATGATACGTATAAGTATAAATATATACTCTTTCTACTGTCTCTTTATTTGTTATTCGTGCCCCTTCTATCTTAGTACTATTTTCTACACCTAAAGGTTGCCTGGAAGAAATCGCTCTTTTAGCAATAAGGCCGCCTCTTGTACCTACTTCTATATTTTGTATATTTTCTTTTCTATTTTTGGGTGTACAATTAAAAATTAGTGAAGTGTCAGTATTGAACAATACTATCTCATGTTTGTCCTATACAAAAATGGCAAATCATCAACATAAATTAGAAAGAGAAAAGGCCAAGAATACATCCTTGTGGAAACCCCATATCGAATGGAGCCCCGGGAGGTCTCTTACCATTTACATCAACCCTCCGTATTCTATTATTTAAATACGAATTCAGAAGATCGAGTGCCTCATTTCTAATACCATAGTGATGCAGTTTTTTGATCAGCGTCTCATGATGTACACAATCAGAGGCCTTGAGTAAGTCACAGAATAGCCCAAGTGCATCCTGTGACTTTCCCCACGCCTCAAAAATATTTTTATTAGCTCACCATTAGCATCTGCTGTGGAGAGGCCTTTCGTAAATCCAACCTCTTTATTATGAAGTAGATTATGTGTATTGAAATGCGTTAATATTTGCGCGAGTGTGATTTTTTCAAAAATTTTACTGAACGTTGCTAGTACCCAAATTGGTCTAAAATTATCAGGGTCTAAGGTACTATCTAAAGTAAATAATCTCGTCTTTACAAAAGTCGTGTTAGTGCGCTAGTATGACATTATTAATCTAAAGAATGACGTCTATTAATATATGTAGTTCAAATAAATTTCAACACATACATAATATATTAGATTTCCTCCATCTTACTTATTGAGCTAGACTATATTTTATGTTGTTAGCTGTTATTATAGTATAGAAAAATGTGCTCCAAACATTTATTCGATAATTATTTAAGCAAAATCTAATCTTTAAAATACGTATATTATGAACTCTAGATTTGTAGAAATTATACACACGTACCTTTTAATGTAGGATATAGCTTAAGTAGATGCGCTTTCTTGCCAAGATCGCTAACTGTGGTAAATATATTACAATTTAAACTTAGACATATCGATATTACGGCCTGTCCAAGTGCTCCAGCTCCACCATTAATAAAAACTGTTGTTCCTGCATACAAAGTTCCTCTAAGTGCCTAAAAAAAGAAAAGATAAACATTATCGATATATAAAGATAAACATATACTTATGAACAAAGTTTTAAATAATTTAATTACGAATATAATCATCAATCGTTAAGAATTAAATAATCCTTTCTTTACCAGAGAATAAAAGGCGAGGGCGTACGGTAGAGGAACTGTAGCAGCTTCTTCTAAAGACCAAGTTTTTGGAACGGGCCAAAGTAAATCTAAATCATATTCAATTTCCTTAGAAATTGCACCATCGGCAATGATTCCCATCACCCGATTACCCCTAAAATATAAAAGTAAGTGTTACGTTTTTTTTCTGTTATTATTAATTTTATTTATTATTTTAGTGATTATGTGGCCTTAGTTACAGTTACCTAGCATCAAAACCGCTAAAGTCCATACCAAAAGATATTTTTTTGTTATTAACTGGTCTCCAGAATACTTTTTCTACATCTTTTAATGATAATCCTGCATATTGCACCTGTAATTACAATAACATTCCCCTATTCATAAGATTAACTATTACTATAAAAAACGGTTTTACATATAATAAATGCTTAAAAATATTTCGGCAAATAAAGCGGTATATACTTTTACCTCAACATTATTATTAGATTTATTCAGATTGTCTATCTCCTCCCAGTGCACACTATTTATGTTTCCAAATTCTGTTAGACTAAGTTTAGAATTTTTGGGAATATCTTTGTAATTATTGAACGTTGTGTAATAGTATCCTCCCCATTCACCCTGTAAGCATAATAATGAAATTATATCAGGTTCTATGATTTAACATTTAAAATTTAATCAGAACATTGTAGCTAACTCATTCCTTACATTATACAGTGTGTTAAATGATACATTCTTTTGCAGCTGTTTACTGTAGAAATTAATGTCAAGATTAAAATCTGGCGATCCTTCATCTAGTATCATGTACAAACTAATTTTGTTTCGATATTCTTCCCGTAGCCCTCTCAAGTAACCTAAAAATTCAGAAATAATAATAAAACTTAGCATATTTCAATTCATTCTTTTATTGTGATGCATAACACAAAAAAGAAAACAGTTATTCTTTTATTTAGGTTAAGAAAAAGCAACCAATGGACAGGCTTTTGCCTTCTAACATAATAGAGAGCTATACATACTAAGTTTAATTAGTATAACATATACTTTATAAACTAAACTATATATTGTCTTAGAATGAATAATAATAACAGAACATAATAGTCCCAAAGAGCTATCTATAAATCAGAATCACATAAAAATGTGACTCTATATCTGTGTGGCCAAAAAATTAAAAGAATATTATTACATTCTTACCCTTTAGATCAAAATAGTTTTGTTTTTCGTAAAGTAGTACAATGCTCTTATTATTGTTAAGCTCCTTTTTTAATGTATTCATAAAAGAGTAGCTATCATCATCAACTTTTACAACAACTTTGTCTTTTACATCTTGATTAATTTCAACTTTGTTTAATAAAACTAATGTATAGTCGTGATAAGTAGGAAATACAGTTAAAATATTAAAATAGTCAGTTTGAATGATGTATTTTTTATTTTTTATTTTTTCTAACGAAAAAACAAATCCATTGCTTGGTAGCTGATCATATATTGCAGCCATCATCTAAAATAAAAAGAATTTTGGATGACCTATTCAAAATAAAAAATAAAAAAATACTTTTATTTCTTAATCATCTGTACAATTTTATGTTCGAGTCTTCCCAGTAAGTGATCCAAGGATTTCAGACAAGGATACAAAAGCTTAGTCTAATTTAGAATAACGGGAATAGTTTGACTGTTCTTAATTTCCAAACAAAATACGTTTAATTTGTATTTCAATATCTTTGTTAAAATATACACTGAATAAGTCTTTAAATTTCTAATTAGAATATATCAAAAATTGTGAGAACATAGACTCATAATGCAATTGCAACATAAGAATCCTCAAAATTTTTATATAAAAACTTTACTGAGTTAACGCTAGAAGTGGTTCCAAATTAGCAATTTTAATAGATAAATTTGGATCTTTACGAGACTATACGTTTGTTTCCACTCGAAAATATTAGGATTTTTGTTGCCATGCTATGGTAGGAATATATATATATATATATATATAATAAAAGTATATATATATATATTTAATAAGGAATATATATATATATATATATATATATATATATATATATATATATATATATATATATATATATATATATATATATATATATAACTATAAAATATTATCAAATATGTAGATGAAACAGAACAACAATAAATACCTCGATATCCATTACAAAGTCATAAACTACTAATACTTCTGACTGAGATAAATCATGTTTCCTCAGAAGATTTAGTTTTCCATTTTCAATATTGATATGATTAAATCTTAGTTTTATAGAGAACTGAGTTGATACGTCCTTTATAGCATTTGATATGATATTTATGTTTGATGTTCTAAGCTCTGTTATTTTGATGTCCCTTTGCAAAGTAGCATCAGCAATAATTTGCATATTTATTGCGATAGCTGCATTTAACTGTAAAAATATTTATTATCATATAATTTGTTCTAATAAGTAATGTATAATTCTAGTTCTAATAAGTAGTATATAATTGATAAAATAGTACAAATACTAACTTCGACTTCAGTTTCTGAAAAGTGTGGCCAAAACTGTAACGAGCCTAAAAAATCAGATTCGACCCGCTGAGGGATAAGATTTTCAAAATTAACATTCACAACTTGAACACCGCCACTTCTGCAAGAATAAAGTTACAACACAATAGTTTTAGAAAAATCTACTACATCTATCTTTCGGAAAGAATTTTATTAAAAACAAAACCTGACAATATCTTACCTTAGAATATTAAAGTTTTCATAATAGTCTGCTTTATAGCAAATAGCGCCATCAATGTTAGATTTGTAATGTCCTCTGGCGTGCTCAAAAATATCAATAGTCAAACTCTCTATAAGTTTCGGTCTAGAGACACCATTGTGTTTATTTGCAAATATGTTGATCTGTATTAAGCCATCAAGGAACGTGATCCAATCACCAGTCCAATTTATGTATGCTTCATTGCATTTAAGGTTTAACGAATGAAGAGATTGAAATTGGTTTCTGAAATAGTTAAATTATGGAGTAATAAACTTTGAATTACGTAGATTTTATAATAGTACAATAATTAATTAGTATATTTAATGGATAGATATGTCGACTCGGCTTGATATAAAGTGAAGTTTGTAACTGTAGCGGTAAATTATAACATAAATAAATGTGATTTTGTCATATGTAACAAAATTATTTAATTTTGTATGTTATGACATACAAAAAGTAGTAATTCTAGTACTAATGATATGATCAAAACATACAATGTTTTTTTTATATATTAAATACATACGTATAAACGTGACCTCGAAGGTTAAGGAATTTGTAAATATCTGCTGCAAACAAAGTTACGTCGTTAATTGTGTTGGCGCTAGAATGGTTAACTTTTCTCATTGGATCATCTTCATATTCGACTATGTAACCAGTTACAATTATTTCATTGTTATAAACTACCTGAAATGTATATTTTTTATTAGATTTATTTTTTGTGAGCTCTGAAAAACATTTATTTTACTCCGTCTTTAAACAACACGTATGTTTGAATAGAAATTCCAGATGTTTGAAAGATCTAAAAGTTATCAATTGGAAATCTTTTGAATCATCTGTCTAATAAAAAAACAATTAAAAATATATTTGTGTGTTTGGTGTGTAATGTCTATTTTATTACTATGATAATATTACCTCGAATCTGCCTTTCTTCTTTGTTATAGAAATGCTAAGATTTAGTAAGTTTTCTGGTTTTAATTCTACTTGTTTGTTGAAATTTATATCCTTGAATATTACTGAAAGATCCTCGAAATTCATATCCATCGACATAGCCAACGTTTGCCACGTCAATACTAGTATAGCGCTTTCAGGTAAAATTATCATACCTGTAAGTACATGCAATATTTTTAACATAAATGAACTACAGGGAAGCACTCATTTCCACACCTAAGCATATTTGATAGCAATGCGACCCACAAGCAATTTATAAATCACGTCGATCTGTGGCTGCATAAAAAAACTTAAAAAAATAAATAAAAACCGACTTCCAGGCACTAAAACGTAAACAATAACTAAACGGGGGTTTTCATTTAGAAAATATACCAAATCAGATATTTTCGAAGTCGGTGCTAGCCGATGCAAAACAAGTCTAATATATTTCGGTACGTAAAACACACATTTACGTATTAGATATTCATATTTTTAAATATTGTTTTATTTGTCCATTTTTAGTGTATACGTAATAAGCAGGTAATTTGTTAGAAGAAAGTTTTTTAATTACATGTTTAATTAAGAAATTTATTTTAAAAAATAATTTATTTGTTGATTTAAAAAAACCGTCTGACCGATTTCGATAAAATTTATATGGGGCCACTCAAGAAGTATATATACCCTTTGAAACAAAAAAAATATTTCCTAATCGGTTCAGGCGTCTTTGAGTAATCGGTGAACATACATAAAAAAAAGATTCCGACGAATTGAGAACCTCCTCGTTTTTGGAAGTCGGTTAAAATTAGAAAAATACAACAATAATTTTGTTAAAATTAGACAATTATGTTAAAATTTTTTTCGGCTTATTGAATATTTTTATTTATTTATTGAACAAAAACATTTATCAGAGCACGTATAAGAAAAATAGTGTATCTTTTGATTATTAATGTTGTAAATTAGCTGTAACTTTAATTTAAACCGTCACTTAAAGATGATAATAAAGTAATCTGAGTTTGGTGACGAATGTTGTATTTTAATGTTATTTACTATTATTTACTTTAATTTTAATAATTATGTTATAATCAGACGACAGCGTAGTAGACCCAGACGGAGATGGCGGAATGAGTCGGACTCCTTCCAGAGAGACTGGTCTATTGTGGCGAAAGATAGGGAGAAGTAGAATAAGAGTAAGGAGGCCTTATCCCTGTAGTTGGAGAACGCAGGCTTATAATAATAATAATAATAATAGTAATCTAAGCTTGACACTTGATTTATGTGTAATAAAAAAAAAATACACAGGCAGGCAAATTCTTCATGATTTTGTTGTGTTTTTTTTCCGACCTTTCAAATGATTTATAGCAACTACGGTAAGAGTTTCATGTGACTTAGAGAGAGAGAGAGAGAGATTAGCGACTCACCCTCGCTCCACTCGGGTCCATCCCCACTTACGTTTTAACGTTAATATAGATTTCTCAGATAATATTTTACCGCAGTAAAAAGTATCCTATATGTTGACCCAAATAACAAGCTATCATCATATCAAATTTCATCAAAATCCCTTCAGTGGTTTTTCCGTGATACGGTCACAGACACACAGAGAGACAAAAATTCTAAATACTATACATTCGGCCTCTGTATCGATAATAATGCCTATTTTAATAAAAATTTTCAAAAAATATTTAATGTTCATATTTTGCTTAGTTACAATTTTATTATATGAATATAGATAGATATTTTAGTACTCACCATCTCTCACATGATCCTTGATACATGCATAGTCTTCATCAATAAGAGAAATAACGATATCACGATTCCTAGTTGAAACAACCATTTGTTCGGAACGTTCGAATACGTACCTAAAAAAATAAAAGTGATAACTTCTAAAATAAAACAAAACCCCTGCTTATAATATGTACAATTCAACATAATGTTTTCATAATTACGTTATATTTTTTCTTATTAACGTAGTTATTAGCTTAAGCGTTGTATTAAAATACATCAATTATCTTACTTAAATAAATAACTTTCACGTTACATACCAGTCCTCACTATGCTCCCATTTAACTAAATGCGATAGAAATTGAGTTCCGGTAGAAACAGGATATTCAATTTTTGGATACAAAGCATCAATCTTTACATTATATCCGGCTTCGTAAATTCTGAAAGAATATGGTAATCAAATATTGATAGTTTCAGGACTGCATACAGTATTTGATACAATATCTTACTTTCCAATTGCTTCAAGTAAAAATTTCACTTGATCTTCATGTCCTCGTCTCGTCAAAGGAATATGTAAACAGTCTTTAAGCTCACGTTTTAAAATTGCTTGAAGTAAGCCGTGCGGTGCAATTTCAATAACTACCGCGTCAGACGGAATATGTTGTAATACTTCTTCAAAGTATACATAATTCTACAAAATATAATATCTTCATTTGAGTAAAACATGTTCATATTATTTTGATGAAACTTTACTAAATAACTTTGTAATATTTTAAATAAAACTATCTTTTCGGATTTTTTCGCGAATTTATTTTGATTTTTGGTTCCCGACGTTTCGAATGCTTTACAGCATCCATGGTCACGGGAAAGACTGAGGTTTCTACCACCTGTCAAGTGCCACATCCCTCTACAAGATGCAGGAGTTTACAAGCTTGATTGTGATTGTGGGCTCTCTTACATCGGGCAAACAAAGAGATCCATTAGAACCCGGGTCAAAGAACACATAGCTGATATGAAGCACCGTCGCAATACAACATCTGCTGTCTGCAAACATAGTCAGGACCGCCCAAGCTATTATATTCGCTTCGATAAACCTCAAATCCTGGCGAAAGAAAACCGATATCGCCCTAGAATGATTCGAGAAGCCATAGAAATTAAAAAACATCCAAATTTCAATAGGGAAGGTGGCTGGGTACTACCATCGTCATGGGATCCTGTTATTAATATAATAAAATCAAAGCACATAATAATCAAAGCACTGGCTCAAACACAAACATCTTCTAGAAACACTAACAATACAGTATTCTTTGATTTGTCTTCACTTGCCTCAGATTATATGGTATTTAAGGATCTGGTTTGGAAGACACTGGCTATGATCCGGCAACAACTTCAACTGCTATCAGCTGGATATGACAAGCATGAAATGCTAACTCGTAGAAAAGTCTTGCTGTTTCACGGATTGTCAGAGGATGCAGAGGAACAACCCGATACTAAAGTGTATAATGTCATATGCAATAAAATGAAGCTGTGTAATGTTGACGTCGCTAACATCGATCTTAGTCACCGGCTTGGAGCTAAGAAGGATAAACCCAGGCCCATCTTAGTCCGTTTCACTAGCCTAAAATCCAGGAACTCAGTTTGGAATGCTAAGACTGCGCTCAAAGGCTCTGGAATAACTGTGTCCGAATTTCTGACCAAATCTAGGCAGGAGGTACTTGTCGCCGCAAGGAAGCACTTTGGATTGAAAAGCTGCTGGTCATCAGATGGTACGATAGTTATTGCACTTCCTGATAAAAGCCGCAAGAAAATCTCAGCCTTGCGTGAACTTCAGCCTTTACTTGGTAAATTTCCTCTGGATCAATGCACTCAGGATCCCAAGCCATCTAGATCTCGGCGTACCAACAAAAACTTGGTGTAGTAATATAAACTAGGTAGATACTTATTAGTTGTGTTATAAATTATATATTTGTTGTATACTTCACTTAAAACACTCTGCTGTGCAACATATATCATTATTACTTTATTATAGTAGGAAGTAGTAGTAGGAACATTCTTTTCAATTTATTGTTATATTTAAAAATTATATATTTTAATGTAATGTATCTTTCGCTACGAGTACTTTTACATTATTTTTCTATATCCTGGTTTGTAAGTTTATATAACCATAATGATTAATCTTTTTTTCTATTCACTTGTCATAAAGCGTCTATGTTCAGATGCGCGCTATGACATATTATATGCTACAGCATTACTATTCGAATTATTTTATAAAAGTGTCTTTTCAACTGTTTTATATATAGTACTTTTAGTCAATAAGTCAATTTTGTTGTTTTGTCACTATCTCGGCCAGTAAGTGTGGGAAATGTAAAACTGGTTTATTGTTGTACTTTCTTTTTTTTTCTAAATTATTTTATTATTTTTATTTACTTATAGTAATCATATATATATTTTATATTAGTTATATATTATTCATTTAAGTAATATAGTAATATATTTATAATAGACTTATAATATTTGCATAGATATATATATATATATATATATATATATATATATATATATATATATATATATATATATATGTATATATATATATATATATATATATATATACGAGTATATGCATATGCAATGTGTCGAATTTCTTTGATCTAAACGATGAGTTTTTTTTATGCTCGTCGGATGATTTCTATAGTGTCTCAAGTAATACCTCGTGTGAAAGTAATACTTTGTCCCTCGATTATTAACTTAGGTCTATACTCGACGATCAAAATCGCGGCTTGAAATTCGTCCATATTAATGCGCAAAGTATTCCGGCTCATTACTCCGACCTTCTAGCATCTTTTAGTAACGTCAACCTCGATGGTATTCTGGTCTCTGAGTCATGGCTAAAACCTTCTCTTTCATCTACCTTTTACTCTCTTCCTAATTTTACTCTTATCAGAAATGATAGACCTAACAGAAGAGGTGGGGGTGTTTGCATATATCTTAAAGACACTATTTCTTTCAGCTTTCTAAAACAATCTGATGGTGCTGACGTGTGCAATTTAGAATACCTTTTTCTTGAAATTGTTACACACCATTCTAAGCTTCTGTTAGGCGTCGTTTATAGTCCTTCTCTTAATGTTAACTACTTTGACACTTTCGACTCTCTCCTGGAAAGTTTTTCTATTACGTATGATCACACCATTATCATGGGTGACTTTAACACTTGTCTTATGAAACGTGACCCGCGTTCTCTCAAACTCCAATCAATTATTGATTCTCTTAATATGTATATTCCTACTCTCTGTGAAACCCATTATCCTCCTAACGCTAATCCTTCTCTTATTGATCTCATAATAGTGTCTAACTCAAATAAGATTATTAAATTTGGTCAACTAACAGCTCCTTTTTCCTACCATGATCTTATTTTTATACAATACGATTTGTCTGTTCCCAAGCGTAAAGGTAAAATTATTATACGACGTAGCCTCAAAAATATCAATCGCGATAGTTTTGAATATGACTTATCTCAAATTGATTGGTCTTCGTTATACGATTCATCTGATGTGGATGATAAAGTTAGGATATTTAACTCAAATATCACAAGTCTATTTGATTCTCATGCTCCTGCTTAACCGATAAGAGTTACACATCTACCGGCACCTTGGCTTACCTTATCAATAAAAAACTAATGGCCAAGCGCAACAAAGCCAAAATCAAATGCAAGAGGTATCCGACTGAAGAAAATATCGCTGCAATAGAGAGTGTAGGGATGCTAAACGCCGCCACATTCATACTTATATTAATAATTCTTCTCCATTCCAAGCATGGAAATTGTTAAGCTCGCTTGGTATGGGTAATCACGTAATTTACCACTTCAGGTCTTTGACGTTGATTCTCTCAACCATCACTTTTCTTCCCCTCCTGTAAAAATCAGAGCTTATAATAAGATATCAACTCTTCTCAAATTGGCACAAGCCACACAACCTAGGGGAAATCTCTTTACTTTTCGTGATATCACAATTAGAGATGTTAAAAACGGGATCATATCCATAACTTCCAAGGCCGTCGGTATTTTTTTATTTCCCTCTTCCTATAATCCTGGGTCGTTTAAACGGAGCGCGAAAAAGCACATTTGCAGGCCGACAAGGTGAGGTTGATCGGAATCGAGATCAAGTCCCGGATCCGATGGATCTCATTCTGGATTCCACTGTCGCTTACCATCAGGCGTCATGGAGTCATCTTGTCGAGCGTCAATAAAAAAAAAATCTATTCTTGCCGCTATTTAGTATCACTGCGACCAATTCTGGTCTATTGTGATCGCCGCTATTTGTACTAAAGTGAACCACTAAACTCTGCTGATGTTAAGAACTGCAGGATTTTTTTAGGGTTGCACTCTTTTATTTCATCAAGGCTTGGAAATTGTTTTCTTAGATGAATGCTGCGTTTGTGCATGAGCGGTCCACATTCCCACAGAAGATGAAGTGGCGTTTCGTCTGCCTCCCTACAAATTCTGCAGGTTCGCGTTTCGCTCAGCCCCAGGTTGAACATGTGCTTATTTAAGCAGCAGTGTCCAGTAAAGGCCCTTACCAGTATTCGTAAGGTTTTCCTGTTTAGCCCTAGCATAAGATTGTTGAACCTTTTGTCGTAGGCTCTAATTAGTGCCTTGGAGTGACTCATTCCCTTTGATTCAGTCCAAGCCTTGTTCGCAGTCCTGAGACATGCTATCATTAGGGTTCTTTGAGCCAGGCTCTTAGGTATTCCACAGAAGGGCTTAGGGCCCTTCTGCATGCCAAGAGCTCCCCCTCTAGCGAGCTTATCGGCACATTCGTTGCCAATTATCCCTGCATGACCCGGCACCCATCTTAGCACTACTTTGTTACTTATTGCTAAGAGGTTTAGTCGGTCCATGCACTGCTCCACTAGCTTTGATGAGACTGTGTTTGAGTTCAGCGCTAGTAGTGCAGCTTGGCTATCTGAATATATATAGATAGTTTGATTTGTGTAGTGCTTAGACAGATTAGCTTCTACACATTCTAGAATAGCATAGACTTCTGCTTGGAAAATAGAGGCAAATTGTCCGAGGTGTATGCTTTTGCTGAACCTCGGTCGCTCTCCATGTATCCCACAGAAGGCCGTCGGTAATGACGACATCAGCCGAGACATGCTTTTACTAACTATCAATGTTGTCAGTCCTATCATTACTCACATTTTAAATTTCTCGTTATCATCGAAAACATTTCCTACGGCTTGGAAACTTGCCCATGTTATTCCTTTACCCAAATCTCCTAATCCTTCCCTTCCTTCACAGTTTCGGCCAATCTCCATTTTGCCCTTCCTTTCAAAAATCTTTGAAGATTGTATTTACAAGCAACTTTTCCACTTTTTACTACAAAATAACGTCTTAAATCCTTATCAATCTGGTTTTCGTCCTTTACATAGCACCTCTACCGCACTACTAAAAGTTACTGATGATATTCGCTATGGTATGGATAATAAGAAACTAACGATTCTTATTATGCTCGACTTCAGTAGCGCATTTAATTCAGTAGACTTTGATATTTTACTAGCTATTCTTTCCTCATTTAATATCTCTTCTTGTGTTATCGCATGGTTTAATTCATATCTTCAAGGACGGCGGCAGAGAGTCTGCTCTGAAGATCCGTACTCTGATTGGGTGGATTTCACTGCTGGTGTTCCTCAAGGCGGTGTATTGTCTCCCTTTTTATTTTCTATTTTTATAAATGAGCTCACTAAAATTATTTCATCTCCCTACCATCTCTATGCAGACGATTTTCAGCTGTACAGACACGCCACTGTTAACGAACTCGCAACTGAAATCTACAACATTAATTTAGATCTGACGCGAATCGGTGAATGAGCTGCTTCTTTTGGATTACTCGTTAATCCAAATAAGTCACAAGCTATGATTATCGGTAGCAGACAACTACGAAATAAAGTAAATTTCCATAGCTTGCCTTGTATCACTTATGAGGGTTCGATAATAGAACTCACTGAAAAGACAAAAAAATTGGGTTTGATTATGGATAGCCATTTATCTTGGTCGGCACACGTTAATGAGTTTAGTAGACGTTTGCATTATTCGCTTCACTCACTAAAACGATTACAAAATTTACTTCCTCGTAAAACTAAAATTTCCTTAGCCCAATCCTTACTACTTCCTCTTTTAGACTATGCTGACGTTTGCTACTTAGATGCTACAGAGGATCTACTCAATAAATTAGATCGACTTCAAAATCTATGCATTCGTTTCATCTATGGTTTGTATAAATTGGATCACGTAAGTGACTTTCGTCTACGACTGAAGTGGCTCCCTATTCGCCTTCGCCGGAATATGCGCTTACTGACGACGTTATACACTATTTTAAGTAATTCTTCTCCTACGTACTTACGCGAGCGTTTTCAGCTATCGATCCCTAGCTCAAGACCCATACGCCCCTGTGTTAGACTAAGAAAGCTTCTTATAACACTACTTTATATGAGAAATCCTTCACAGTACAAGCAGCAAAACTCTGGAACTCCCTTCCCGATAAGATTACAAATGACAATCCATCACTAAAACTGTTTAAATCTCGCTTAAAAGAACTTTATCTAAGTGACTCCATATGATTTCTTAATTATATATTTCTTGAAGTATATGTATGTATGTATGGATATATATATATATATATATATATATATATATATATATATATATATATATATATATATATATATATATGTGTAATATGTATGTATATGTATATATGTATGTATGTATGTATCTATGTACGTATGTATGTATGTTTGTATATATGTATATTTATATTATAATTGATGTTTGTAGTTTGTACCTACACCGCACCGCATTATTATTTTTATATTTTCTCACGCTTGAGGGTTTCTGGTAGAAATCTCTTAAAGAGATAAGTAATCCTTTGTACACATGGCATCTGTTTTAACTTGTATGTTTTTTTTCTGGTACATAAATAAATAAATAAATAAAATCAAATACTAAATATAAACATAACAGAGAGGTAGATGTAGTAAGTTCTTACTGTGTAGATCAAAATGACAGCTTATCAGATTAATATTTTTCATTTTTCATTTGGAAAAGTATACAGTAATACTGTTGCTTAGTAAGTTGTTTTAAATAGTAGGTAACTAAATTAAAATTATTATCCTTAATTAATTTTAACTTTTTTAAATTACACATAGAACAATTATATGGCTTCAATAATTAATACTATATTTTATATTTTTCTTTATGGATATAAATATAATAATGGCAACACTAAATATAGATTACTAATTAATATTTTTAAAATTGTAATAATTATAAAAATAATAGCTAAAATTAAATAAATAATATTCCATATTCAATTATAATTAAAATTATAAAAATGTTTTAAAGTTAAAAAATATTGTAATGTAATTGGTGCAATTTTAATTTTGTTAATTGTGGGTAGGCTGTCTGTAACAACTATACCTTCAAGACATGTAACACCTCAGTCTTTCCCGTGACCATGGATGCTGTAAAGCATTCGAAACGTCGGGAACCACAAATCAAAATAAATTCGCGAAAAAATCCGAAAAGATAGTTTTATTTAAAACTAGCGGCTCACCCTCGCTTCGCTCGGGTTCGTCGCTAGGTACGTTTTAAATAGATATAAAAAGTCAAATATTCGCGTAAATCTAAGAAAGTATTATTATCTTTGTAATATTTTATTTAATATTAATTTTATGTTCTATACAGATGAAGTGAAAAATGATCTTATTAAAGTGATTTATCTATACATACTGATAAATAAAAGTTAACTGTCTATTTGTAATTTTAAAATAACAGCTTTTTACTCAAACCATGTGAAATTATATACGGTACTTATAAGAAAAACACAATTTTATTTTTTTTGTTTTCTGTCTGTTTGTTTCGGCTAATCTTCGAAAAGGCTGGTCTGATTTAACAGGAATTACACTGGCATATAGCTGATTTTATAAGGAGTAACTTAGGTCACTTTTATTTTAGAAAAAGAATTATGGAAAAGTTTGAAAAATTACTTATTACCCCATTGTTTAGATTTCTTCAGTTTCTTCAAACTGATACATAAATGACTTCAAGACTCTTTTAAGTGTTAAATGCCGAAAATTCAATAAACAGACTTCAATCACCATGTACATAATTAATAGTTTAAACGTAAGAATAAATCTACCAGTAAATTGTTGGTGAAGTATTCAGGAGATGAAAATTTAGCAATGGGTTCTTCCCATCTATTTTGTGGCACTGATGTAGATAGCCATTTACTGCTTCGCAATTTTGGTTCTTTGATGACCTCATTCAAATAGTTTCTTAGAGTTGGTGCTAAACAAAATTAAAATATATGATTATATTTTAAAAATATGTTGAAATTTTTAATGATTTTTAATAATGAATCCATCATGGAGGGCACGTACCAAGGATAGTACTTTCATTAAAGTCTTGTAAGGTAAACAGTTTTGTATAATATTTATTCAATTGCTCTGAGATCGTTATTATATTATTTAAAAAATAAGCGAGTTACAATTACAGTAATAACTCGGTCGCACACATCGCGATAACGCGAATATTCGTTTTATCGCGATATATCGAGGCCCCAAAGCAAATGGTCGGAAATATGCTATTATGCACTTCATGCTGTTATGGCAAATTTATCATCTATGGAGTGGAATACATTTTAGAATTTTTTTTTCAGATTTTTCCTATCGATATTACCGAAGATATAGTGGTACATTGGTTTATTGTAGGGAAATATACAAACAATATTATGATGGTAAAAGTATTGTTACGCATCATTACAGAAGTTTATTTTATATTTTATTTCGGTAAGTTACGATTACCAGGTTATTGGCGGCTTATTACTTTGTGAGGTTTTTGGTAAAATCTAACACGGTTTTTTGTCGAATTATTTTAAATACACCTATTCCGTAATAGTCAGTAACAATTTTTTTATAGTAAATAATTTGCTAAATATTATACGTTATATTTCAATACATAATGACGAGGACACATCTAGTTCTGTTATCGAAATTATTGGTTTTGATTTGCTGGGCGATTACTTGCAAAGCGCATTGCTCTCTTTCTATAACTAGCAATTATAATTGAGGAGGTTAGGATTAAAACCACAACATATCCGTTTTTCTTAATATGGTAGAAATCTAAAAAAACTTAATAAATTGTGAGAACATGTTTTTGTATTTAAAAAAAAAACCATATTAATGTGGAGGTAAATCGGCAATTAAAACATTTTTTTGCTATTTGATTGCTCGCGCTGTTGTTGATTATTGGGCAACGTTATTTTGGATAAGTGATGTTTTTGTGAAGACAAATCAGGATATATGTTGTTTTGTATCTGCTGCATGGATAAGTGTGGTTTTGAATGTAACCTGTCTGGATATGTAGTGTTTTGTTTTAATTGTTATGAAAATGTGTAATAATAATAAAAAATACAAAATCAACACTTTTATTATTTTAAAAAATCAAGTCTTTAATATCATCTCTATATCACACTCTTAATGTTTCCGTGTCCGTTTCAATACAATCACATTCTTCATCATCATCCTTTTCTTCTTTATTTTGTGATAATGTAGGAACTGTTTTACATAAAAGTCTTTTGTACCACTCTAATTCAGGCAGCGATTCCCAGTTTTCTCCAAATTGTTTGATAAGTAAATTTTTGACATCTTTTTTTTTGCTGCAAAAATAGGATGGTCCAAACTGCATTGTATCAAAATTCTGGGGTGTTGTTTCTGTCTCTTAAGCAGGCAAGAGCTTGTTTCATTGCCCTCAAACTTAAAATGCTTATAACAAGTTACTAAGTATTTTTTTGTAACTCCTCTCCGAGTTTGAGAGATAGTTTTTGTTATGTAAATCCGTTTCATGTCCCTGATTTCATCTACTTTTTTGTAATAATCAGACAGTTTTTGTATATCATATGATCGCCAGTTTACCCCGAGAACCTTGACTTCACCAAACTTTTCAAAATGCTCTTTGTATTGCGGGATAATTCGAAAAAGTACGGGATATGTGCGGTTTTGAATCAATTTAAAAATAAAAAAAATTGAACCCGGATATGTTGAGGTTTTGAACGATTTTTTTCTTTTTCAACATCATTTTATTAGGAAAATAGTGCTGTTTTGAACTTGACTGATTTTATTAAATGGTAGAATTTATCTTTTAGAGCAAGAATCGAAAAAAAAGCAAAAATGACTATAAATGGATAAGTTGTGGTTTTGATCCTAACCTCCTCAATTAATATAATTATTTGATGTGCCGCCCAAAGCAGAAGAGAGGCTCAGTTGGGTGCAGAACTTCACATTTACAAGAGTATACTTTGTAGCTTTCATTGTAATTTGTCACTAGAGAGTGGGTATCATCATAAAAAACCAGAATAAATCAAGAATGTTAACATTGTGCATTAGAAACTCTTCACGATAAAAAAATCATTCTGGTCATTTACTTATACACGAATTAGAATTTTTACCTCCATGCTTACGCTCTGAAGCTTATGTGAATATTTTAAAATACGTACCAATATTAAAACATAAACATCAGATTACAAATGATGACTAATCAGTAATCACTTATAGAAATTGAAAATTAAAGAATTAATTATCACTTGTTTTTAATTTTCATCACATATAAAGGCATAATTTACTCTCTCTTTACCAGCATTAATATTTTGATTAAATAAATACTATATTTAGTAATTGCATTATTTATATATAACATATAATTTTTACCACCAATATGTCGTCAATCATGGCATATTGTAAAGAAATTCTTATTAAAACTAATTTTAAAGAAGAAAAGAGACTTTCCCCACTAACTCGTGTTGGTACCGTGGCTAAAACTACATTTGCCACTAAATAAACTCGGTTCTTCCAATCCCCTCAATGAAACCTTTCACTCTACCTTCTCTTATAATTCAAAAAGCTTCAATGTTGCCCACATCAATCCAGGTATCCCAGCTCACTACCCGGACCTATTAAGCACGTTTGACGTTAAAGACTTACATGCGATCCTAGTCTCGGAAAGTTTCCTTAAACCTTGCCATCCTTCTACTTATTATGCTTAACCTGGATTTCATCTGATTAGGAGCGATAGAACTAACAAGGGTGGTGGAGGAGTAGCCATTTACCTTCAATCACACATTCCTTTTAACATTTTAAGCAAATATCCCTCTCAATACACTGAGTCAGTTAAATATATTATAATTGAGGTTCTTTTCGGTTGTTTGAAAATGTTGCTGGGAGTTTTCTATAGTCCTTCAATGCGCATTGATTACTTATCCCAAATGCTGATCACTCTATTATTAGCGATATATATATATATATATATATATATATATATATATATATATATATATATAGTAAGCGCAACTCTAATAGTGCGACTCATTTTTTTTCCTGTTTGCACTCCTTTGTTGCTGGATTTGATGATTGTCTCTTCACTTGACCTCGTTAATGTGCATGGACAACTCTCAGCTGACGCGTTTTCATACTACGACTTAGTTAATCTGCCATATAAATTACGTCCACCCAAAGCCAAACCTACGGTGGTTAAGCAACGCAGTACTTCAATAACGACAGCTTTATGAATGATCTTAGTTTGATTGACTGGAATTCAGTTTTAAATACCTCATCCACGGATAATAAGCTGAATATTTTTAAATCCGTACTGACGGATCTGTTTGACATGCTGTAGATTAAAATCAAGCATCTCCCGGCACCTTGTTCAGCTTAAGTTATTTCAATTCCGAAAATTTCCAATCCCTCATCGTTTTGTCACTATAAGCCAATTTCAATACTTCCTTTTCTTTCCAAGGTGCTTGAACGTGTAGTTAGTAGCCAATTTTCATTACACCTTTCAATGCATACTCTGCTCAGTCTGCTGTAAGCCCGACTTATGTATTACATCACATGCACGTCGCTTGGATCAACTGCACGTTCTTTTCAGGCACACTTTTCTCACTAAGGGCCCACGACAAACCTCATGGGGTACTCGATTATATGCCTTCTCTAGGTCAATAAAGACCATGTGCAAGTTCTTGTGTAAACTTCTGTACTTTTCGCAAAGCTGGTAGATTGCGAAAATGGGATCAGTTGTTCCCCGACCGGGCATGAATCCGAATTGGTTTTGTGAATTTTCACTCTCTTGTCTTAGTCTCAGTTTAATCGCTTTTTCCTAAGCTTTCATACTATGTGACATCAGCTTTATTCTTCTATAGTTGTTGCACTCCAGCACATCACCTTTATTTTAAAAGTTGTGTACCAATGACCTGTTGCACCATTCGTCCGGTACGACTTGTTCTGCAAAAACTTATTAAACAATATGCTTAACTACTTCCATCCATCCTCTCACAATAACTTTCATGCTTCTTTTGGTTTTTCATTCGGCGCCACCGCCTTTTCGTTCTTCATTCCACGTATGGCTCCTTTCACTTCATCCATACTTATCGTTCTTACTAATCCTATATTTTAAGCCTTCTTGTTCGCCAGCCGACGCGCGGCCAAAGTTCACAGTCCATACTTCATTCGGCCCACAGACATCGTACGTAGCGGTCGTGTTGGAGTAAATTAAGGTTTGCGACGTATATTAGACATGGAGAAGTTTTTAGAATTTATTAGTAATTACGAATCTGAGGTGATATTATGGAACCCGATTTCGACGACTTCTTAGTCGGCCATAAAAGAAAGGATCTCATATATAAAGCTTGGGTACGCTGCTATAAAATAAAGAGCGACCGCAACGTCAATTTTTTTTTGCGTTTGCTTATTGCGACAAGCTTTACAACGACGCGATGTGGCCATGCACACTCGCCGCAGGCCGAAGGCGAAGTTTTATCACCCGAATACATTCGCGATGAGTGCGGCCGTACCGTACGAGATAGATTAAACTGTTACAGAAAGTTTATATCTAAACTCAGGCAATTCTGACGTTATTATAATATTAAATGCTATGGTTGATTTTAAGTAAGTCATAAAAATCTTAAATTATTTGTTCATCGTGTTAATTCTAAATAAGTATATTAGAGAGAAAGAGAGAGAGAGATAGAGAGAGAGAGAGAGAGATAGAGAGAGAGAGAGAGAGAGAGAGAGAGATAGCATATAAGAGAAATTAAATATTTTTCTATATACATAATATAGCAAAATATTTAATTTCTCTTCATATATCTTACCAGCTACACTAATGTGCCGAGAATGGAAGGCAATGTTACTGCACGACACCTCTTTACAAAATATTCCCTTCGCTGTCAATTCTTTGAGAAACTGTGCGACATCGTCAGCTGGTCCTGATATAGTCGACGATTCAGAGCTGTTATGACAAGCGACTTCAATCTCTGCAGGGCATATTGGGTATAACTAAAAAACACATAGGTAATATTATATTATATTCTGGAAAAACATAAAAAAATTAAAAAAAAGCCTTTTAATTCACTTAAATTGACTACAGAATACAATATGATGGAGTAAAGATTTTTTTATACAATAATCGTTACATGCAGTTGTTAGAAATAAATTAAATATAGTAATTGATAGTATATTGTAATTTAAAGATTAATAATGATTGAGTTAGTTGTAATAAATTATTGATTAATTATTTGTTAGAGTTTCATCATTTTTATTTTTAATAACTTTTTTATTATTTTATTAATCATGAATTTACTTTTTTACTTTATAAATTAGTATTAATCAATTTATTGATTGAAGTAATTTTTTGATTTTAATTGATTTGTTAATTTTAATAATGTATTATTTTAATTGCTTTAACTGTTAATATATAGATTTTCTTTTAGATTTTAGTAATATTTATTGTTAGTAATATTTATTTTAATTATTAATATATAGATTTTTTTCAAGTGAACCCCTCTTATTTGTGGGTGAAGGCCTCGTCCAGAGATGCATAGTAGTCTCTACCCGTGGCTTTTTTCATCCATTGTTTCCCAGCAATTTCTGTGATGTCATCTGCCCATCTGGAGCTAGGTCTGACTCTCTTTTTGTTTCCTATGGGACCTGGCTATGACATCAGCCGAATCGTCCAGCGATCGTCGCTCAATCTCGCTACATGTCCCGCCCATTGCCATTTTAATTTCTTAGAGTAGCTTAGCGCGTGTGTTACACCTGATGTTTCTCGTATAATTGAGTGGCGTAATTTTTTAATGTTTCTAATGTTTAGCATGATTCTTTCCATGCTCCGTTGGCAAAAGATTATTTTGTTTTTTACTCGGTGCGTTAATTTCCATGTTTGGCTAGCGTATGTAAGAGATGGCAGGAGACAGCTGTTCATGACCTTTCTCTTTATTTTTGCCAGCATTTGGCTTTTGAAGATTTCTTTTGGGCTCCAATACTTCTGCCATGTCCTTTTTATCCTTCTCTCGATTTCTTGTTCATTGTTTTGCTTGTAGAAGGATACTCATTTCCCTAGATATATGTAGTCAAGTATTTTATTGAGATATTGTCAATGTCATCGTTGCTATTGTATTGTTTGACTAGAGCTTTGCATTGTTGTTTGCGGAGAAGAAGTTCCGCGATGCGACAGCCCTGGCTTTCTTGTGAGATAGTTATTTATGTTCTGTTAATTTTTGTGGGCTGTTTTTTTGTTACCTTTATGGCTGATACTTTTAGGTGGTTTTTCAGGGGATTCAGATAGGTTTCTTTTCCTATTGTCTTGTTTTTCCTGTTCAACGATGTTGCTTCGGATGGCGCGTTCCTTTTGTTTTTTTTTTATGGTTATAGATAAGTCTATCGTACTTTATGATCGCCCTTTTTCCGAATTCTCTCTGCCTATTTAGCTCTATTTGTAGTTCCTTGCGCTTGTAGAGTCTATTTTATTTTTTTAAGATTCCAATTTTTGTTCGAGAAACTCGATTTTTGATTCTAGAATAATAAACTTCTCGTTAATATTGCTATTTGTATTTTTTGTCTTCTTTTATTTCTATAATTTCCGCTTTTCGTTGCCTTATTTCTTCCTGCTTGTTTCTGAGTATATCTTTTATTTCCTCCATTATTTTATATATGTTCATGATGACTTTATGATAATCTTGATACAGTTGTCGCCCTTTTGTGGTGAGTAGTGAAAGTAGGTACTTACGTCGATATCAGGTTGGGTTTACTTGCCGCTAGATGGCGTTGATAGGTTTTTGTGAGAAATTTCTAGTAAATTTCTTGAGGTTATACACTTATATGGGAAATGATATCATGTACGCACAATAATTGTTCCATTAAAATTGTAATTATTGACTATCACTGCACTGCTTAGTAAGTTCTGGCTAGTCTACGCTTTGTAAAGCTTGTTAAATTGTCTGTTGCTAGTCACTTAGTATTTTGATTATTTTAGCACTGATATTTCGCTTTGGCGAGAAGAAAACACTTTGTCCCGATGATTCTTAGCACTGCGTTTCGATGTAATACTATTTGAGACTAACTTTATCACTAAAAGTATGTATTTGTAAAATTTAAACACAGAGCCGATGTGAACGGTGGCACGGTAGGGCATATGATATAATAAAAAAAAACATAATATGATAAATTAATATTTAAATGAATAAATTTCTAATTTAGGCGTGTGTCTAAAATCTTATTTAAAATTATCTTTATTTAAATTAATTATTTATTTAAAAAGAGTTGGAAAATAAACAGACACATAATATCATAGTTTTTTTAAGTATAATTTTGATTTTTTTATATAAAAAGTAAATAAGCCGTCATTCATATAATTTTTGAATTTCAAATTAGGATAACGTACATCTTTATGCCCCATTCCTACGGCCGCCATAGCACCCGGGATAAAATTGGTTTCTAAAGACGTTTTCCCTCGGCTATACGCAGAAAGGATCAGCTCTTCTCTAGTAAAGCATCCGTCGGCATACCCACATACTATTTCACCGACACTGTGACCTTAGAAATAAAAAGCTTATTACTAAAATATACTGACATTTGAAAAAAAAGCAAATCTATCCTACGAGAACTGTGGTTTTTTCGGTATAAAAAGTAACCTATGTGTTATTCCAGACTATAATCTATCTGTGTGCTAAATTTCATCTACATCCGTTCAGCTATTCTGGCGTGATTGGTTAGGTTTGTAAGCTAATGTGTAAACTAGTTTATTTGCCATTTAAGATTATATTATAATTTAACAAAGATTGGCTTTGCGTTTTTCTTTATTAAATGTACTGTAAATGCTTACCAATCATATAATCGCATTCTATTCCAACGGCTTTCAATATATCCACGAGACCGATTTGTACTGCAGCGATACCCACAAAACAGTGTAGAATATTATCAAAAATAGTATCATCTTTATCACATATTATTTTTATAATATCTAATCCTTTAGGTTTAAGAACTTTGTCGCATCTGAAACATATTTTTTTTTCTTATCAACTTTTATAATATAGGGTAAAAGTCGGATAGATTCCCTACTTTTTGGAAATTTCCAATTACATAAAAATTAAGAATCTACTTACAATATGTCCCGTGTATAAGAAAACAAAAAAAGGCAGTGGTAACGCGCTCACTTGGGAAACCGAGTGAAGCGAGTTCAAATCCCGGGTCTCGCACCTCTGATATTTTCATGTGCGAATCATTTCTAACTTGATTACCACTTGCCTAACGGTGAAGGAAAACATCGTGAGGAAACCTGCATGTCTGAGAGAACCTAGCAAGTTTTCAAAAGACGTGTGAAGTCCGCCAACCCGCACTTGGCCAGCGTGGTGGACTATGGCCTGATTCCCCTCGTACTGTAGGGAGGCCCGTGCCCAGCAATGGGACGTTAAAAAAAAGGGCTGAATACAAAAATAAGACATTGGTCTTTAGTCTTTCATTGTGACCTATTTTTTTAAACACCATCAATATTGTTTTTTAGTAAATCCTGTTTTATTTGACCTCTACAAAAAGGGATAGTTGCCCTCTGTGGCGGATAGTTGCCTTATGTTAAAAATGCTTTAGGGGATACTTGCCTCATGCGGCGATAGAAGACTCATTATGAAATTGTTGCATTGTTTTTTTTGGATTAAAACAAATTTATGTAAATTTAATCAACCATTAGTAATTATTAACATCAATTTATTAAGTAGGTGCTAATCGAAATCAATACAACTTTTAAAATACAAATGAAATCTTCAAAATTTAAGCTATAAATACTTTAAAGATAAAACAATATGGTAATCAACTTTGACACAAATATTAAAATTAGTTGGTAGGCGGATATCACCAAAAAAGTTTAAAAATCATCATCAATTACGAAGCCATAACTTGTAATTTCCCACACCTCATACAATATTCTTTGAATGATGCACAAGTTTCCTGGAAATACAATCCAGTATGATTTGGATTTAGTATTATTGTAATTTTCAAAACATTTACAATAACCATAAACTGAAACTTTATCATTCGTATTTTCTATTTTTGTATAAATGTAAATAATAACTTTTAGTGTCTTTTCAGTCTCGGAATTATAAGTTTGTTATTTGTCATCCATAAAGCTCTTTCTCCGTTCAGTTTAATTATGTCTATTTTTTCAAATTCTGTTTCACTGCGAGAGAAACCGACATTCATAATTATCATATCGTTATGATATTATATATTTATATTTTGAAAAATAAATATTCGACAGCTTAAGATTTAAAATAAATAATAGCTATTTAACAGTATAAAGTAATAGGTAGTGTAATTTAAACTTCAGTACACTCGTAGAAGCAAAAAGTTGACTGAATCAACAACTGTAAAAAAATATTCAATAGAAAATACACACAAATATAATTTCAACACTCGTCAACGTCCTGCCGTGGAAGATTTTCGCTCACACGGACCAAACACGTTTACCTAGTCCTACTACTGACATGATCCTAAGGTCTGTGGAAGAGGTGCTTCAAATTACAGAAGAGCGCTAACATCAGGGCAATCTCTAATATAGCGTATTAAAAACCGGGGCATGTATCTCACTGAGGCAACTCTTCGGGTTTTACCCTATAGTATAACTTTTATAATGTTAAATAAACAATATTTAATAATCAACTATAAAAATCATTTCAAATATAAATGTTACTTAAAATAAAATTAATACATATTGTAAGGTACTTTGGTGCAATTTTGGACATAATTGTCTAATTTTGTGGGTAAATGCTGTCTTTAACAATTATTTACACCCATTGGTACGTCTAAAACCTAGTCTTTTCTGTGATCATTGATTACTGTAAATCATTCGAAACGATGGGAACCAAAAATCAAAATAAATCCATGACAAAATCCGAAAAGATAGTTTTATTGGAAAGTCAAGATTAGTTTAACTCCTGTTTGCGAATTTCCGGGAAATTAATTGTTCACCGAGCCACCAGTGGCTCGATGCACGTTGACATTTTAAATATCCTAATCAGTATCTTTAACTTAAGCTAGATAGTTAGCATATTTCAATCAGTGCATACATTTGAATTGCTTCATTAAATATTGGTATCCGCATCAGGGCTTCTCCCATACCAACCCACTGTGATCCCATGCCACTAAACATAAACCAAATTTGTCGTTTGTTTCCTGCATGATAGTTTATGCTTCTTGACAGTGCTTCTGATTGTCGGTTTGCATTACCATCTGAAATATAAAAATATAATATAATTCACATATGAATCTTTTTTCATAACTTTTATTTTACTGGATTGACTACATATTTACATTTTTTTTATTCCAGTGTTCACACAGTGGTCGAAATACGAATATAATATATTTTTTTATTACAGAAAAAAGACAAAATCGGTCGACAAAGAGAGGAGAAAAATGTAGTAACTGAGCTGTTTTATCTCCGCCTATCTATACTAATATTGTAAAGAGGTAAAGTTTGTGAGTTTGTGACGTTGTAGGAGGTAATCTCTGGATCTACTGAATCGATTATCAAAATTCTTTTACCAATAGAAAGCTACGTTATTTCTGAGTGTCATAGGCTATATTAACCCGAAGAATGAACAGACTATTTTATGGTAGTCGGATTTGCAAATTAAGTTAGAGAAAAACAGTCGATAGAAAAGGTTTCTTACGAACGCTACCTTAACGATGAGATATATATTACTTTATTCTAGAGAAAAAAATTGTAGAGCTTAATAATGCCTATAAAAAAGTCAGCGACAGCATATGTGTAACTTTTATATTAAAGTCACAAAAAGTAGTTCTTTATATTAAAAAATAATTTAAATAGGTAGGTCATGTATATTGGTCATATTATTAACAATTATGAATTCTTATCAAAATAAGTAAATTTATTGTCTAAAATTATAAACCAAAAGACTTTTCCCTTTTACTGCATATAATTTGGACACATGGTTAAAGAGATAATACGACATACTCGTAGGTATGGAACCGCGACCGTGTCGTAATCTATTGAGTGATATGTCTATAAGATGGGTTTTTTTTTCATATACAATACGTCAATCTATCTATACTAATATTATAAAGAGGTAAAGTTTGAGTTTGTGACGTTGTAGGGAGTAATCTCCGGATCTACTAAACCGATTTAGATGAAAGGGTCTAGCCGTACTTCTACGGCGAAAGTGCCTCGATAGGAACCTATATCGTAACAAATGTTATATTGTAGAATGTAGAGGACACTAATAGTAATTGATCCAGTAGATATTAACTCTATATCTTAGTTAATTGTGGAGCTATTTGAAAAGAAGTGAAGTCCGGGGGTGACTTTTTTTCAAAGCGATTATTATATCTTAGTTAATTTCAAATAAAAATGTTGTCAATCGATTTCTATCTAATATAATTAAATTACCACTTTGAAAAAAATACACATTAATTGTCTATAGGAGTATATTGTCTAACTTGTTTCATTAAAATCCAAGAGGTGCAACACGTCAAAAAAAATATCAAAATAAATGAGCTCGTTTGTTTATAATGTAGTACATGAGCTACCGAGCTTTGCTCGGATTTTTTGGTCTGAGGTACAATTTTCTTTTAAAAAAATAATAAAAGTAATAACTTTGTATGCGACCGAGATTCGAACCGGGAAACCTGTTATTATTGATCTTGCATCTTGGTCACTTGACCACGATGCTTACACCAGAGCATGCAAATTATCGACCATATTTTGCGTGGAATAATGCAAAAGAAAACTGCATAAAAACTCGAAAACACGCATTTTCTCAGACATAAGACTAATCTAGATTTATTGCCCCGAAACCCCGTGTATACTAAATTTCATGAAAATCGTTGGAGCCGTTTCCGAGATTCACAATATATATATATACATATATATATAAATATATACTTATATATATATATATTTATACATATACAAGAATTGCTCGTTTAAAGATATAGGATAGATAGCATACCTAGTATAATAAATCCTCGCGACGTGTGCCCTTTAATTTCGCAATTTTGAATTTGGTGTAACATCCCTACATATTCAGGGTCCACCGGATAGCTTTGTAAAATATCAAAAAGATGGTTTACACAGTCCTCATCCCTTCCAGAAATTAATACTAAATAAGGTATACTGCATTTGTAACGATCGTGATCCTATAACAAAATAACTTTAATATATTAAAACGATACACTTGGTAATTGAAAGTATAAAAGTATACTATAATTTTAAAGTATACTAATTTAAGCATGTTAAATTATATAATTATAGATAAACAGGAGAAAATTCCAATAATATTAAATTATAACAAAAAATATTATATAGCATATTATACTAGCATGGAACGCGGCTCCGCCCGCTTTCAGATGCCCAAAAACCAAATTCTTAGGTTTTACATATACCAAATTTCATTAAAATCCCTCCAGTAGTTTTTCTGTGATGCGGTTACAGACACACACACAAAATTCTAAGTACTATAGATTCGGCCTCTGTATTGATAATAATGTTTATTTCAATAAGATTTTATAACGTAAGGAAATATCTAACGTACAGATTCGGTTTAGTTACAATTTTGTTATATGTATAGATAGAAAAAAAATTATGCTACCTTTTGTGGTACACAATTGTTAACGTATAGCGAAAATACAAAATAATGTACATATTTATATTCTTTGTTTTTATGTAAAACTTGTTTCTCTATATAGTTCATCTGATTAAGATAAACTTGTAACGCCCGTATATAACTCTAACCATACTTATTGATATCATCAGTGCTTTTTAAAAATAGCTAATATTTTAAGAAGTTTTAGTTACTGCAAATAAAATGTACGATTGCATTTAAAATATTCAAGCACAATATTTTTGTTATATTATATGAAATCATGACACTACCTTTGGTTTATAATATCCTTTAAGGAGAGCGTGAGCATCTATTCCGGTATATGAGAATTCATTTATGGCAACGAATCCTCTATTAAATGGTACGTTTTCTTTTAATATAACTGCCTTCTCAGTTTCCATAAGATTTGAACAGTTAATGTTAGCAGCAATAGTTCCAGTATGATATGCTAGACATACCTGAAAATATATTACTTGAATAATAGTAGGATTTTCCAAATTATAGTGAAAGACTGATCCTAAACGTTCATCAAAATATGCATTAAGATACAAAAAATTATTATATTGTTAATGAAAATCAGACTGTGAAAATACAAAAAAAAATGCATAATTCAAATAAATTGACTAGTTTGACATTTTGGTTTCTGTACAATGTTTTTTCAGTAATCCATTGTTATTAAGAAAAAATACATATGAAGACGAACATACAATTAATAAAAATTACACTATTGTACAGTATGTGAAATGATAAAAATGAAAATATGATGATATATTTAATAATAATAAAATCGTCGGAAAAGACATCTACATAATATTATATATCTATAAACTAAAAAATCAAAACCTTATCTGAATAAAAATATGATACAAATCGTATATTGCATATTTTTAAAATACAATTCATTTGAATTTAGAATTTGTTGGCGGCCATTCATAAATTTCGTTCCAAATGGCAAGTCTTGTAAAACGGCAACTTCATAATATGATATATTATGTATGTAGTTATCAGAAAACATATAGGAAGTTTCATGACCCGGTGGTAAATATTCTTAAGATATATTGAAAGTTATTTTTTTGTGAAGTTTTTAATATTTACACGCTACGTAAATTTTATTTAATATTGTTCTTAGTCTTAAAACGTCATACATTTTAATTCATGACTACGGCCTTAATTAAAATAAATTATTGAATATTTGAACACTTTAAAAACATAATCTATTCTATTATTATAAAGAGGAAAAATGTGTTTTTTTGTTTGTATCGAATAGGCTCCGAAACTACTGAACCGATTTAGATGAAATTTGATAATAAGGTAATCTGACACCCTAGGAAGGACATAGGATAGTTTTTATCCCAGAAATTATACTATAATTATTCGTAATTATTATTAAGAGGGTGAAAAAGGGGGTGAAAGTTTGTATGGGGAAGCAACCTAGGGACAGAACCGAGCGAAGCGAGGGTGAATTGCTAGTTTTTTTGTGTTTTTTATTAGGTAGATACTATATTATAGTAATTTAGTGAAAAAGTAATGATTATAAAATATAATTTAAATGTAAACACACAACATTTTGTTACAGTTGTAGTATGACGTTTGATAAAAATATTGATAAATTATTTTTTTATATATATTTAAACTAACCTTAGTCAATGAGCACATGCCGGAGGCTCCCTCGCTGTTCCCCATATTAGACTTCACACTTCCAACTTTAACTGGTGATTTATCTCCAAAAAATCTACTAATTGCTTTAAGTTCCACTTTATCGCGAGATGCAATGCCTTAGAAAGATAAAATAAATAAAGTTAAATAAATATTACTTGAATTCAACTCAATCGGAATAATTCAAGAAGAAAACATTCCGGATAAAGTTGTTTTATTTCCAAAAATGTTCACTTACATTAGGAAATAATTATGTGGTACAAGGTTACAATCTGCAATTTAAACTGTGGTGACTCTATACTAAATCTGGATTCTTGCATGACATAAGTTGTCATATTTTATTATAATTTTTTATTTATATATATTTTAGACATGTTTTAAGTTTTTTTGAGCATTTGGCTGCAGTATAGTTTTGGGGACTCGGCCCCTGGCGGAGTGGGTGGTATTTTTGGATAGGGCAGCTAATAGGGAGTCCAAATATATAAAAACTATTTTGAGAAAACAAAAGAGTCAAAAGTTATTGAAACTTAAAGTTACAACATTTCCATACATTATTTTGACATTACTACCATTTAGACACTTGGAAATGTCAAAACGTCACTTTCAATTGTCAAAATGATCTCCAGATGATTGTCTTTATTTGTACTTTGCGTGAAATTCGAATTTTCTAGTTTTCTAGTCATTTATGGTAACTTTTTTTTTTTTTTTTTTTTTTTTTTTTTTTTTTTTTTTTTTTTTTATCGTCAGGAAAACCCTGTTCCCGGGTACCCGTCCGCCTGGGGATAAGCGGGACGGGTTATGTGGGGCTCCTGCCGCGCAAAGGTGGTAAACGCGCGGCAGCCTACCCACTAAAAACCTGACGAAGGCCGCTTTGTCGCCACGGGCTGGGGTCACAGGCATCCAGATTCTTCTGTGAACCCCAGCGGCGAGAGCCTCTGAAGGCCCATCTCAAAGTCACGGGGGATTAACCCCGGACGGCCTCTTCGAGTGGCGTGCGGACGACTCCGCGCGCGCCTACTCGGGCCAGATCAGTGGACGGTCAACTTCCCCAAGCCGACCGCCCTCTGGCTCGTGCTAGAGGGGGAGGCGGCGATCGTACGCCGCTCTCCGGCGCCCGGTCCTTCTGCGGCGGATGGCGAGCTCGGCGTTGGCCTCTCTCACCCTCTCCGCCGCCTCCTTCTGCGACATCACGTCCTCGCAGAAGGATAGGACGGCACCCCAGGACCTTTCGCTTCCGGCCATGGCAGAGATCACAGCCATCAGCGTCAGGTCCGGCCCCACGACACTTTGGAGCGCCTCGCGCTCCGTCGCCCATGCTGGGCACACCTCCAGCGTATGCTGGGCCGACTCATCGGGACAGTCGTCGCAGTGGTGGCAGCGAGGAGAGGGCTCCCTCCCGGCGACCCGACACAGATATCCCCCGAAGCAACCATGCCCCGAGAGGATCTGCGTGGCGCGGAGTCATTTATGGTAACTGTTCTAACCTAACCTAACCAAGATATGACGAATAATAAATAAATAATATTTTTCTGTTAATTTATTTATTATATTTTTCTAATTATTTATTTATTAATATTACCAACAGAAATGGCAAAAATAATTAAATATAATCTGTTGTCATTTAAGCGGTAATGTAAAACAAAGTGACAGTTTTGCTTTTGTCAAAATGTAAGATCATTTTGTTTGTGTTGTTGTGAAATTATTAAAATATTAAATACAATAAAGCATTAATTGTTGTGAAAATATGTATTGTACATAAAAAAGGATGCGTACTATTCGTTAAAGGTATGTTTATCTGTTGTAATCACTTATTTAGGTAAAGAAATGTATGGAAATGTGTTAGATATGTTATAACTTTAAGTCTCAATAACTTTTTACTCGTACGTTTCCTCAAAATATTTTTAATATATTTTGACTCTCTGTCACCTCCCCTATCTAAAACTACCACCCACTCTGAATGGTGGTAAAGAAATGTATGAAAATGTATGGAAATGTTGTAACTTTAAGTCTCAATAACTTTTGACTCTTTTGTTTTCTTAAAATATTTATTAATATATTTGGATATGGAAATATTTATTAATATGCCTATCACGTCCCCTATCCAGAAATACCACCCAATCCGCCAGGGGCCGGGTCCCCAATTCTAAACTTGTGCCGAGCATTTATAAAGTTTTTGACTCCTTTACTTTATTTGGCAAAGAATTGTAAAGCTGTGCTCCTTCAAATGTTATAGTTTTTTTTTTCATATTTGGTTCTAGTCTTAGGCAGTTCAATTTTGTGCATGTTTCTGGTGTTGTGGGAATGCGTTTTGGTTTGAAAAGTTATTTAGGAGTGAATGGTTTTAGTGATCATTTTTCTTATTAATATGCATGTCTCATATTTGTAAATTTGTTTAATGGTTCGCAATTTAGTCTTTTTTTCGTAAATATTTTTCGTTGGTGTACAGTAATCCATACAGTGTAATGTCTTTAGTAATTTATTTTGAAAAATTTGTAGATTTTTGATATTTGTTTTAGCAGCAGAACCCCGTATTCTACAAGTTATTCAAAAACTGGTTTTACTAATGTTTTATAGATAATAGTTCGTACTTTGTGAAGAATACAGCGAGCTGATTTGCGAAGAGCTCCTGTGAGAGATATTATTTTAGAGTGGAGAGAATCTACATATATTATGTCGCCATGTTAAGTTTTTATCCAAAATTAATCCTAAGTATTTTTTGGGTTTTTGATTTTAATATTGCTTAGATAAATAATTAATATTTTTAATTTTTTATATTCTTTATGGTTATACATAATTTATATTAATAGCAACACTAAATAATATTAGTAATTAATAAAGTTTTTTGAAAATTGTAATATTTATAATAATAAAAGCTAAAATTAAATAAATAATATTGCTATATTTAATTCTAATACTTATTAATTTATTTAAAATGTTTAGCAAAAAAAATCAACAAATATCGTAAGGTACTTTAATGCCTTTTTAAACATTTTTGAAATCATTTTTGTAAAATAGTGGGTACGCACTATCTGTAACAAGTATGTATATGTGTTTGAGACGTCTATAACCTTAGTCTCCCCCGTGACCATGATTGCTGATAATAGTTTAATTTAAAACTTCCTGTTTATCATAGTTTGGTCTAGAACTTGCATTTTTATCATTTATTTCAATTACACCCACAATAATGGTATTTTTTTGCCGGTTACATCGGTCTTGTATTTCTAAGATAACGTGTTCACTGGTAGGTAAGCGATAGCGAGCTACTGGAGGAGAGTATTTCTTATACAAATTAAAGTCTTGTTCTATATTGTTAACTTTGTCTTGGAGTGATACATTTTGTCGTTTTATTTCTTGTAAGTTTGTTTTTAGGTTCTATTGTTCGAAAGTTATTTATTAGTTATTGAATTTATATCTCTTTAATTTCTTGTTTTATTTTTTCAATTTTTTTTTATTATTTTCATTCTGATTTTCCGTAAAGTTTTCAAATAGTAATTTTATTTCGTTTTGAAGTTTTGTGAATTCTTTCTTAAAATGGTCTTCGTCGTCTCATTGTTTTCTTTTTCTTTAAGTGATATAATCACTTCCGCTATCATTGTTGCTCTTTGGAGACCATTGAACATTCATCTTTAGATCGTTAACAAGAGCGCTTACGCACAGGTACTCGTAGGTGCGAGCAAGATGAAAAACCAGAGTCCGATTCTTTTACTCGAGGGGGTAAGACGTGCATTCGCTTCGTACTGATTTATTGTAAAAAGTGATATTTCACAACTTTGAAGTAATTTAAAATCAATCGTAAAGTCTTATTTCATAAGTTTACTTTTGACAGGCACAACGAATTGTAATTTTAAATTATTTTAGTAGAACTTAAATCACGTCTACTTCGTTCGAGTGCACCACAGGTGTCTGAATTTTACTGAACTGATTATTGAAGTAACTTTTTACTGAACTTGAACATTACTGAAATATACTAGAGACTAGGGACAGTAAGAAAAGAACGGAAAGATGTATTAAAATTGGTTCAATAGAATCATCACTTACTAACAAACAAAAAATCTTTCCTCTTTCCAATATTATAGAATGATAATTCGATTTGAATTATTCTCAAAGAAAATAACTTCGATATAAATATTTAAATATACTGTACCAGGAGCGTTTGCTTCTACATATTCAACGGCAGAGGGTGTCACGTCAATTTCAGAATAGAACTCTTGCAAGAATTTTAAAATATCATTTTCTTCACGATTAGGAAAACAATTAATGTCTGGTTTAGAATAACCGCTTTTCACGTGATATACTTGAGAATAAATCCTGAAAAATATATAAACTATAGTTTAGAAAGATGAGTAAATAAAAAAGAAAATTAATAGTAAGAACAGCATTTTTAAAAACAAGCTTTTATTTTAATACTCTGCAAGAAAATAAACTTTAAATTAATTCAAAACCATAAAATTAGATTACACAATTTATATAATAGAAAGCTTGTCGTGAGATTTACCTGTGTAAATATAAAACAATACAATATGTAACATGGTCTAAACATAAATAATCCTAATAAAAAAATAATATTTTTAAATAAAACTATCTTTTCGTATTTTTTTCGCGAATTTATTTTGGTTTTTGGTGCCCGACGACGTTTCGAGTGCTTTTTAACTATCATGGTCACGGAGAGACCTCAAGAACGGGAAATAATAGTCAGAATTCGCTAAAAAAATCCGAAAAGATAGTTTTATTTAAAATGTCAAATATTCGCGTACATATAAGAAAAAAAAAGAGTTTTTATAAAAAAAATTTTTTACTAATACTTTCTTAATTCTTTTTTTATATTTTTTGACTATTTTTTTTTATTCGTATTCTTCTGATCGAACCTTTTCATTTGACATCCATATCTTGGAGGTGCATAAAAAGAACATTGTCCGCAGTCTTTGGGAGTTCGCTAATTGGATTTAGAATGACGTCGCTTTCGCTTATCAAACCCTTTCATTTGATACCCATATCATTAGGGTTAGTGTGGAAATTATAAATCGTCATTTTATGACGTCCGCCATATTAGATTTACAATGACGTCACTTTACTTACTGTGTTTCACTTATCAAACCCTTTCATTTGATACTCATATCATAGGGGTTAGTTTGGGAATGATAAATCGCCATTTTGCGGTAGCCACCATATTGGATTAAAAATGGTATCATTTAGATAATTGTGCATTGTCTCAGGAATAAAATTAGTGTTCCAAATTTCAGCTCAAATGGAACCTAGGAAGTGGGTCACATGTAACTTGCAAGAAATCAATTCAATTAATTTATAGCCTTAAAAACTGGTGTGAATATAATAAAGCCCAATTTCAGTTCAAATGGGAGTGAAGTTGGTGTACGCAACCTAACAATAATAAGTGTACCTTTTTGCATCCTTAGCTTTTTGTAAAAATACAACACTGACTGCTTCTGATCTGACGCTGCCATCCCCGTTTTCATCGAAACATTTTGTTTTACCATCAAGAGATACAAGTCCTGCTCTGAAAATAAAATAATGCTAATTATTATTTCCTTAGGATAAAAAACAACATGCTGCCATTGGTGTATTTAAAATTGTTAAGCAGTATTTGTAATTAATGTTTTGCACAATTTTGGTATCCTAAACTCGACCATTTTGTACTACACAATATTAGCCCAATTTGTACATACATACTCGTATATAAATAAAAACACTTAGAATGTCATACAACATGCTAAGAAATTATAAGTCTATAGGTAGGCGCTTGAGTAATTGATGGTTAAGAGGGCACCGAGCTTTTTATTTTAGTAGGACGACAGCGGGCAGGGGGGGGGGGATGGCTAGGATAGACGGATTCATATTATTAAAACAAATACACATTTTGAAAATGTAAAGTGTATACGTTATATAAAACGTATAGTTTTGTTATTATTAAAACCTGATGAACTTACTTGAAGTATTTACGCCGCACTAAGGATTATTTTATTTTTTAGAGATCATTATGGACTTTTTTTTTCAATCGAAGAAACTACAAGTAATCGTGTTTCTAAAGTGTACGATTTATAGAATAAATCCTTAAATATCCTACATATTAATTGCATAATTAAAGTTTTAGTATTTTAAATAAAACTATCTTTTCGGATTTTGTCGCGGATTTATTTGCATTTTTGTTTCCCGACGTTTCGAATGCTTTACAGCATCCATGGTCACGGGAACCATAGAGCTGTAAGCATTCGAAACGTCGGGAAACAAAAATGCAAATAAATCCGCGACAAAAACCGAAAAGATAGTTTTATTTAAAATGTTAAATATTCGCGTAAATCTAAGAAAGTATTAAAGTTTTAGTAATAACAATACGGCAAGGGATCAAACGAGCGCAATTATTTCGTAATTGCTTCGGTGCCCCCTACAAAAGGGTGCGTAATAACATAAAATACTATGAAACAATAAGTAAAATTAACAAAATGTATTAATACCTCCTCAAATTAACACTTAATGTTGGCTGTTTACAAGTATTAGATCCAGCAACAATGGCAGATTCAATTTCACCAGAAAGTAGATGTTGATAAGCTTGTTCTAAGGATAGTAATGAACTAGCGGTAGATGCATCAATAGCGTAAGATGGGCCTTTTGTATTGAGATAATATGATATGCGATTTGCCAACATTGTTTTGGATGAGCTAAAAATAAATAATTTTATCAGTTGTGCTTTTTTTGACAAAATAAGTTAACATGTTGAATATTACAATTTCATTAAATCGTCATTAGTTTGTTTTCTTCAAATTAAAATTTCCAAATGCTATTCATATAATTAATCATTTTAATCAGTTCACAATTATTCAAAATACTCCATATACACAAAAATACATCGAAATTAAGAGATCCTACTTTTTAAGTCGGTTAAAAATTAGTTAAGTATTAAATCTATACATATAATAAAACAGTACAGGTCGAATGTCTGTTAATAGAAAAAAATGCTAAAAACCGAGTCAGGGGGATGTAAGAAGAGAAATAGAACAAATCCAATTTTTTTCAAATTTTCAAATTTGTGTGTTCGTCTGCTTGTACGGGCTAATCTCCGTGACTGTTGGACCGATTTAAATGAAATTTTGCATGGTGGTAACTTATATAATTACAAATCGTGGCTACACGACCTAACAAACAAAACAGTAGACATACTTTGGAATGCAAATACTAACTATCTTCAGCATTTCCCAAACATAAACAAATAACAACTGAACTAACACGCTTAAGCAGAACAAAACTAAAAACGGTGGTGGATTTTTCAACAAACATGTTTTCAATATAGGTATCACTGATAGCCCCCTGTGCAGAGCATGCCTCCGAGGGGATGAAACTCAAGCCCACATTCTTCTAGAATGCTGTGAACTGGAACAACTATGCGTAGGTATCACCGGTCAATATTTTTGAGACTTTTCATCCCGGAAAATTGAAAAGTTCCCGTAAGATAGTTAAACTATAAATACTTATGCACCTAATTTAAAAAATTTTGGCATGCAGATACCTTATATTGCCGGTCAAACAACAGGTTACTTTTTATCCTGGAAAAATGAACGGTTCTATTGTTACGTTCTATGAGTTCGGGGATCGGAAATTAAAGCACGTCTTTTGTACTATTGATGTTTTATTGCACTTAGTTAACAACAGTGACTTATGGAGATTCACTAACATGCGCAGTATATACACAGTTCTGCTTATAGCTCATTTCGACTCTCGCTTCGTAACTCGCCTCGTACCTTGTATAGTGTTCGCCTCGCAGCTTGCGTAAAAAAGTTCCTGTTTAGACTCTCGCAATGCTTTCAGTTGTCTTTGAGTCGGTAACTATGTCGTACGTCAAAATATTAGCGGAATCAACTCTTTCTTTATTAAGATTTTAATACTATACCATTAATTAAAATAAAATACTATACGATTAAACTCTGCTATTGGTCGACACATTTGCTACGATATTTTCTTCCATGCATCATTTACTTTTTGATTATTCTTGTAACATTTATTTATAGGGTCCCTAATTATCGGCTCCTTTTCAAAATAATTCAAGGAACTGCAAAATCTCTTCGTAAGACCAAGACCAATCCACTATGTAGATAAAGCAACAAATTTTACACACCACCTGCACGGCTAAGCGCTACCTGACGAGGCGCGAGGGGAGTTACTAGCGCACATACCCGTCGCATAAATCACCTCGCGACTCGTCTCGCTACTCGCGCGAGAGTAAATGCAGTACTAAACGCAGTCACTGAACACTAATTTTCACCATTAGATACACTTTTACTATAACTTCACTCCACTTTTCTTCACATTGAACTTTTTCGTACTTCTTCTCAGTTTTCATTTAGTTGCGACATTTAACTAAACTCCCGACAAACTGTTGACCTTTTTATATGCATAAACAAATAACATTCTATTATTCGAAAATTCAAAACCTTTCTAGTGATTTCGAATGCTTTGTTCCTCTCTTACTCTTATTCACGGCAATTTACGTTGAAGTATTCTTGTCTGAATTTTGAAACTTCTAGTAATTTCGATGTCTTTCTCGCATGTTTGTTCCTCTCTTACTTTTATATACGGCAATTTAGGATTAACTGTTCTTGTCTGAGACTTATAGTTATTTCGATGCCTCTCTGGAAATGTTTTCGCAACTGTCTTAGGATAAAGCATGTTTCAGACGAGTCTTTTTAATTATTATTTTTAGCTTAATGACGTTACATACTCTCCACAACGCACAACATTACTATATATCATACTAGTGTATTACTTATAGTAGATATGATACTAGTAACATAGATAATAATTTTTAATATCACTAAATTATAAGATAAAAAATGTATATTATAGGTACATAACTTAGGCTTGAAAATAAAAATCTCAACAACTTACCCACTAAGAAAAAATGAATTTGCATAGGTGTCTTTGTCCATAAAAAGTTTAATGATATCCAAGTAAGCCATTCCTACGTATACACCAATTTTTTTACCGTCCAACGTGAGTGGGTTGATTCCTTAAAAAATAATTCAAATATTAACAATGACATTATACCGACTTCAAAATCAGCAAAAAGTGACTATTGAACCCTTTGACGTAGAATTACATCTAAAAATTATTGTTTGACAAAACTTGTGTGAGTTATATAAGGGTATAAGTTATTAATATAAAATTAAAGTATTGAAAAATTCGAATTAGTATATTAAAATCAGTTTACTATTGAAGAAGATACAACAATTATTAATAATAATATGTAGATGAATGCTAGCCCGCATCCCCCCGTTGAATGGCAATGCCGATTCTTTGGGCGAAGTATGCGCCAGCCCTCCTGTGTCTAGTAGAGGCGATAAGACGAGGTGTTATGCAGATAAACGTACATATATTAGACGGGCATTCCATATATGTTTAAGCCATAAGTATCGCACTACTTAATTATTTGATCCCTGATAACGCCCATAACATTAGTAACCACTAAAGATGATGTTGGTAGAATATTGATACCCCGTTATCAAAAGAGGGATTATCCGAAAAGCAGGGCAGAGATAGATAGAGGCCATTTGTAAATTTTACAGCAAATTTTATTCAAACTTTGAAAAGAAATGCCCTAATGTCAATTATTATTAAAAATGGACGCATAAAATGGTGATGAACACGTGTGTTGTTTTACAATAGATTTACTTTTGGCCAGTAATATGATAATAAAAGATTAAAATCGTCATAGATTTCGTCATTTAGTTTATGTGGACGTCCACTTGAAATTGAGGGTGATTTTCAGCCTCTCGAAACCACAAAACATACTTTTCTCGGAAATGGCCAAACATTTTATTTTTTATATATATTATTATTATGTATTTTTTAAAATTACATTAGGGAATGTTTTCATGAAACTACCCTTACTCATGAAACTAAGGGTAGTTTCATGAAAATCAAAAGATTATTCTAGAAATTAAAAATAATAAAACAAGAAAGAGTTAAAAACCGAGTTTTCTACAAACATCTCAAAAACTTTAAGGTTATTTATTGTAAAAAGTGTAATTATAAAATTTATAGATTTTTACAACTTTTGAAGAAAATATTTTTCGATAGAACATCATAGTAAGCCAGATATTGAAAAAACTATTTTTTAACGGTTTGCGTCCCCCCATTTCTTGGGGGTAGTTGGGCATCGGAGGCATTTTACGAATTTCTCTTCCGTTAATGTTAGCAAGTATATAAATACCTGCTAACATTTTAAATTCATAAAACTTCAGGTTTTCAATTTTTTTTCTCTTAAAAACAAACGGATTTCGATTAGTCTACAAAAACATGTTGCTAGTTTGATATTTGATTTTGATGAAATTATTATCGCATTATGAACACAATATGTAAGGAGAAAATCTTCTTCACGATAAAGTAAAATAAAAAAATGAAGTCACTTTATTCTATCGCTAAATTGCAAGAATTATTTTTGAAAATTTTCTAGCAGTTCATCAAGTGAAACATGAGAAATAGTCAACTGTATTAATGTTGATACAGCGAAGAACTAATATTTGCTTACACTCCGAAGACATTCTTATACGCAGGCTGAGATAGAAAGCTTGGATACAAGTACCGATAGCACTTCTGTTCTTACATATATTATCTAAAAATTAAACATATGTTCTTATATGGTCCAAAGATTATACATAATTAGATCGACGGTAGTTACGATAGTGTAGCATAATAATAAATGATTAGAATTTTCAGATGTTTCTTTAAAACTTAAAATATTTAGTGTAGAGGGGATAACTTTCTTCAGCCAGTTTAATTACGCTGAACCAGATCACGTCACACGCTGCCCTAGTAGAAGGCGGTATCCAGCAATGCATAGGGCTAATGCGAAGAATGGATATCTGTTTCCATTTTTTTTAGATCTGGGAGCCATCTGTATTATTTAAAATTTCACAAAAATTTGATCATACCATTATATTGCAGATATACGTAGCCTCTGTGGTGTAGTGGCTAGCATGTACGGCTGCACACCCGGTCCTGGACTTGAGTCTCGGGTTAGGCCAAGTTTAGTTATTGAGTCTTTCTGTATAGTAAGCCTCAGTAACCGCCCGGAGTTGGGAAGCTGGGGGTGTTTCATCCCCGTGCATCGGATCTAGCACGTAAAGCCGTCGGTCCTGCGCCTTAACTCTCACCGGTCGTGTAAAGAGTGCACTTGTGTCTTTGCGCACACTTGTGCACTATATTATCTCATTACATTACTTTACTATATTACACGTTCGTGATATCTGTTTCAATCCATACGAATGGCAATTGCTGTACTCATATATTTTATACGTATAGTATACAAATTCATATCAATACAAAACTCATTTACCCTTCAATGTTTAATATACGTATATTATACATTCATATAACAGCTTCTGATCTAAGAATCGCAATAGAATGATAAATAACAAAATTATCTATATGAGATGCACAAAATTCCACCAAGAGGTATAGAAAAAAAAACAAGTCTAATATACGTATATAAATACGTCATATTGATAGCATTGCAGTTGGTTTCATTTTTATCGTGAAGTATATTATATGTTTCGTATACATATAATAAATGTATATATTTTTGTATAATTTATAATATTGTAAAATGTACGTAAATTATACGAAATTCTTTCACTAATATCAATTAAATAGACACACAATATACATTCAGCATAATATGTCTACTACAGGTATACCATAGACGTACCTATACGTATCATATACATATAGACATGTAATGATGTTCTAGCCGATTCCGGCTACGGCGGCCAATCTTATTGAGACTAGCCAACTGCGCAGGAGATATTATAGTGCACAAGTGTGCGCGCAGACACAAGTGCACTCTCTATTCCTGTCACTCTCATACTCCGGTGGGACGACTGCTCGACACGACCAGTGAGAGTTAAGGCGCAGGACCGACGGCTTTACGTGCTCTCCGAGGCACGGGGGTAAAGCACTGCCAACTTCCCAACTGCGGGCTATTACTGAGACTTACTATACAGAAAGACTCAATAACTAAACTTGGCCCGACCCGGGACTCGAACCCAGGACCTCCGGGTGTGCAGCTGTACATGTTAGCCACTACACCATCGAGGCAGACATGTAATACATGTCCATTAGACCTTATTGTTCTATTTGGTATCTATAGTAAATGAAAACTAATGATCAGTTATATTTTACCGTTTTTATTAAATTTTTTATAGGTTTTTATATTAATAATATATAAACATTACCAGCATCATAAATAGCACTATATGAGTGTTCCATTAACTTTCTGCACATAGGATCCATCGTCATGGCTTGGTTGAACGTGACTTTAAAAAATTGAGCATCCAATTTATTCGGTTCATTTATTCTTCCAATATGATGTGGTATATCTGGATGGGCATAATGTGGATCGACACTGACCACCATGTCAACCTGTAATAAGACAAAATAACGAAATCAACGATCATATTTTATATCTTAGATTATACTTTTTAGATATGAAGTCGTATTATTCAATTTCGATTCAATTCTTTGATATTTGGCTTTTAGGCGTGCACAGATTACTTCTCCAATGTCGTGTAGAATGGAGAAGACACGGTACGGTAGATAAGCTATTAACCGGTTAAAAAAGAAATGTTCACACTGAGGTCTCTTTATGTACATATAAAATATGAGGCGTTAATTATATGATCTAGACCTACAACAAACAAGACATCACAATAAAGGACATACAAGATAAATACACATAAAACAGATGTTAGTATAAATTAATTAAATATTTTACAATTTGATATTATTACATTTAATAAATTTATACGAAAATCTACATAAGGGACTGTACACCAATATTAACAAACAATTAACATTAATAGGATGAGGTACCTTAGAAGGGAGAACGTCTTAAACAGGATAAAGAAATTTAGGACAGCTGTGGGATAAGCTACCTTTTTTTTTAACGTTGGGAAAGCATTTACGCACGAGATGTAAGACTCACCGGCAAAGCCATTACTACCCACTAAAACCCAACAAAGCCTTCCCCCGTCTAATGGGGCGTCGCAGGATCGCTTACGCATTCAACTACGACGCCCCGACGGCAGGTCTGCCGAAGCAGACCACAACAACCATGGGGTCGCTCCAAGGTCCACTCTGCTATTAGAGAAGTACCAGGAGCAACCCGCATGGTTCACCGCCCTCCGAAGAGGGCCACCTCCCACCGCCCACCGAAGTGGGCCACCTCCCTGTGCGTTTCTTGGCTTCGCGCCCGGCTGTATTGCCGGGTACTACTGAGCCCCCCCACCACGATAAGGTCAACGCACGTTGGGAGGGGGGGATAAACTACCTTCATCAAGGTCACATTAACAAAGGCAGTGGTCCCTGATTCTGATCTTTGCCAGGTGAATAGGAGTGCATGCGTGTCCAAGACGAATATGACTAATAATTGATAATTTCCAACGTTCCGCCTGTTTGCAACGAGAGAACCAGGGACGTCTTGGTATCTCTGGCTAAACTTCAGCATAATGATTACCCTTGAAAGATTTTGATGAGTTTTAGTAAATACTCCATCCTTTATCTAAATAGGATTTTGCAACAGACAACAGATCCTGAGGAGAATTGAAGCACACGCTTCTGCAGTTTCATTGTTTTATTTATTCTCAGGAATACCTGAGTAACCTGGGATCCACACTAAAGTTACCGCTAAGCCTTTACAATGACATCAGAACAAAGCTTCACGAATCCTCAAAGTAATAGAATAGATTGATTCACATCTAGTTAATTGAATAGTTAAGATGATGAAGAAAATTAAAAATTACGTACCTTATTATATAAATTCTCCATGAACTCCAGAACGCAATCAGATTTCGGAAATATTCCGGATATTCCACTTATAACCACTTCATCGCCTTTTAATTCATCTTGTCTCTCGTTCTGCATGATTGACAATATTTAATGACTTTTAATTAAAAAAAAACACTTGTGGCTACTTCACCTTACAGAATTACCGCAATAGTGATAACACTTATGCAAGAATGAGCTCAATAAATACTTTTTGCTTAAACATATTCATAATGAAATCAAGTGGCAAGTTTATTAATAATGTATTTACGAATGGTGACACAGAATATATTTAAATCTTATAAATAAAAATGAATAGTTAAATGTATTCTATTAGTGTTATAATATTTTTTGCAAAAAATACTAACCATACTAACATAGTATTAAGTATAATTGTTACTAACTAATTAACAATATATGGATGTACTTACGTCTGAAATAAAGATTATTATTATTACGAAGCAAAAGGCTCTACAACGGCTGAACCAATTCGTCATTTTTTTTTAAATAATCGTTGAAGTTCGAGAACTGTTCTTATGAAGAGAAAAATTGGAAAAATTACACGAAATAACTTAAACATCACATTTTTCTTTTACCTTAATACTACTTTTTAATTATGAAGTTTAAATTAATATAAACTATATTATACTTGAATGCATTTGTAGATTTGACTGTTGTTTTCTCTTTTTACGATTTACAGTTTGACTTTGTTTTTTTTTTGTCCTTTTTGCACGTCGAAACAAAGTGACGAATTGGCGTGTTTTTTTGTGTCAAGGTAGTTGTAGGGCTGGAAAATGACATAGGCTACTTTACTGCGGAAGATTATTTCATTCCCACGGGGAAAAACATTATAGTACAACCTACAACAACTCATCATGTTAATATATATAATTCTTCTGGGCACAACTTTAGTACCAGTATATGGGACACGGCCCCTGGAGAAGTGGGTGGCATTTTGGGAGGTGATAGGGAGTTTAAATAAATTATAAAAAATATTTTGAGAAAACGAAGGAGTCAAAAGTTATGGAGACTTAAAGTTAGAACATTTTCATATATTTATGTACCTAAATAAGTTATTACAAAAGATAAACATGCCTTTAACGAATAGTAAACATGTTTTTTTTATATAAAATCCATATTTTCATATTAATTACGGTTTCATTATATTTTGATAATTTCACTAAAAACAATAATCTAAACAAAATAATCTTAAATTTTGATCGAAACTGACAATTTCTGATTTATGTACCGCTTTCAGGACATAACAGATTATCGCTTAGTAATTAGTTTAAAGTTATGCATATTAAAAATGAAAATTGTCATCAGATTACTGATATTTTAAAAAAGAAATATGTTATTTTCAATTCATGCTGCATTTACGAGTTTTTATTTGATTTATGTAAAATATTGAGTGCCATTATCTGTGAATACATTTCAGTATTTTTGGCGGGTAGTCATAAAATACCACGAAGTTCGATAGTTTATGTGTATACGAACTGTACTCATTAAACGCGTTTAGGTTTTAATATTTTTTGCTCTTTTTCATAGTTGTTTTCCTTATATTATTTTCCAGTAGGTATTAGTTTTTGTTCATTTTCGTATACATTCGTTTGTAGTTTTTTGTTTTAATAGTATTACTATAGTTTTAAGTGTTTTAGTGATTAAGTGTACTCATGCAGTTTATAAACGCATATAGACTATTTTGTTGTTGTTAAGTGTATTATTTATTTTCGATTAATGTCACTTAAGCGTAGCGTAGTTCCCGCCTTAGCCTTCTCGTTCGGTCTTCTTTTAATTTCAAACCCAGAACTCCTGCTGTTATAAGTGTTTTATATTAATTTTAAATTCAGATAGATCCGTCTTGGATAGCGTAGGTTGAGAAGGCTTCCCCCCCAACGTGCGTTCACCTTGTCGTGGTGAGGGGGCTCAGTAGTGCCCGGCAACCCAACCGGGTGCGAAGCCAAGAACGCACAGGGAGGTGGCCCACTTCTGTGGGCGATGGGAGGTGGCCCTCTTCGGTGGGCGGTGTACCGTGTAGGTTGCTCCTGGTACTTCTCTGATAGCAGAGTGGACCTTGGAGCAACCCATGGTTGTGGTGATCTGCTTCGGCAGACCTGCCGTCGGGGCGTCGTAGTTGAATGCGTAAGCGATTCTGCGATGCCCCAATAAGACGGGGGAAGGTTTTATTTATTTATTTATTTATTTATTTATTGACTTACCAACAAAAGTTACAATGGTTAACACATATAATCTTGGCACTACACTTAACATGTTAATTGCACTTTTAATTACAGGTAAATACAGCATGGTAATTATAATATTAATTAAGGTTTTAAGTGATCTTAAGGATTAAACTATAAACTTAAATTATTAAAAAGAAAAAAAAACAATTATAATTATAAATTTCCAAATAAAATGTCACATACAATAGATGATACACAATACACACATACAATAGATAAGATACAGATATTTTAAACAATTAATAATTCATAATGAAAATAATAATAATAACAGTTGCAATGTCACGTTCAGATTAGGTCTAAATACTTGGAATAATATAAAAAAAATAGTACAAATTAATAATAATTGATAAAAGTTACATAGAGTCATAAAATTATGTTCTTTTATTATAAAACTGTATTACTTTAGTTTTAAAACTCTTAAGGCTGTCATGCAAGATGTCTAAGTCATCAATTTTCAAGCACAGGTCATGGTAAGCTCTAGATAATCTATTTAGTGGCGCATTTTTTCCTAAGTTAGTTTTATGTTTTTTAGTGTGAAATAAAGGACATCGTTTTCTCGCAATTCTTAAGGGTACATTAAAGTTTACTGAGGAAAGCAGCTTTGGACAATCCATTAGGTTATTAATTATTTGTAGAAGAATAACATATCTAGTACATTACGACGCGAATGTAGTGACAACAATTGGAAATATTTTAACTTATTCTCATATCCTGAATACGTTCGTGGAACTCCAAAACGATATGCTAAATATTTTATCATTTTTTTTTGTATTCGATCAATCCTATCTATGTGTATTTTATATCATGGAGTCCAGACTACACTACAATATTCTAATTTACTTCTGACGAAACTGTTGTATAGCGTTATGATTGTTGAGACATTATTAAATTCTTTTGCATACCTAAGGAAAAATCCTAGGGATTTGAGAGCGGCTTTAGTGATGTCCTGAATGTTGGCAGTAAATTGCAGTTTACAATCCAACAGCACTCCCAGATTCCGGATGACGTCCACTTTACCGACAGTCACATTTAATATTTTGTATTCGCTACTTATCTTTTTCGTTTTACGAGTGAACTGAATATGGTGACATTTTTTTGCATTCAAGTGCATTTTATGGGTATTGTATCAGTCACTTAGCTGATCAAGATCTTTTTGCAGAAGTGTAACATCATCATGCGTTTTGATTCTACGTATTAGTTTTAAATCATCTGCATACATAAAAACTTTGGAATATTTAAAAATTGAGGCTATATTATTAATAAATATATTGAAAAAGAAAGGACCCAGAATAGACCCTTGAGGCACTCCAGAGTGAGCGTAAAATGGAGTAGATTGATGCCCATCAATAAATACAAAGGATGTCCTTAAACGCAGATAAGAATCGCACCAGTTCAATAAAGAACCAGTGACACCAAAAGATTTGAGCTGTATAATTAGAATTGAATGGTTTACTTTGTCAAAAGCCTTTGAGAAGTCAGTGTAAATTGCATCCACTTGGCCACCTTCGTCAACCACTGCCATAACCTCATCAATGTAAGTTATGAGATTAGTATTAGAAGATCTTCCCGTGATAAATCCATGCTGACTTTCAGTAAGATTTGATTTTACTAGGTTATATAAGTAGTGATACACTAAACCCTCAAAAACTTTCGACATAATCGAAAGTATCGAGATGGGGCGATAGTTTTCGATGGAGTTAGGATTTTCACCTATTAAAACAGGGACTATTCTTGTTTCCTTCCATTTTGTTGGAAATACTCCTGTCCTCAAAGATGTATTATAAATTAAAAATAAAGGAAATGATAAGTTCGTTGCACAGCGAGATATAAAAATTGGATGGATGTTGTCCGGGCCTGCACCCTTAGCAGTGTCAATTCTTTTTAACTTTTTTTCTATATCGCCTTGCGAGAGGAAGATGTTTCCCGAAAATGAATGCAACTTAGGAACTTTGCAGTCTATTTTACCATCATCCGGCTCATACGCCGATGAAAAATGACATGCAAACAGATCTGAGATATCTTGCCTACAGTCTGCCCTAACGTTACCCAGAAACATTGATGACGGATATGAGCTACATTTCTTGCGGATATTTTTTATGTAGGTCCAAAAATATTTAGTATTAGTTGAGATTGCACTTTCTATTAATTCAATATAATCATTATAGCATTTATTTATGAGTTTATCACAATCTTTTCTTAAATATTGAAAGTCTAATTTGTCTAAAGGATTATTATTTTTTTTTAATTTTAATGTGGCATTTATGTTTTTTCTTAAGAATGCGGATGAGATTATGCGAAAACCATACAGGATATGATCTACGCCTCTTGTGAGTTTTTGGAACATATTTACGGATTATTTCATAAAGCATATTATAGAACCTATTGACCATTTCATTTACATTATCAAGACAGTGTTTAAATTCATCAAGCCAATTCACTTTATCCAGGGCCGCTATTATGTTTTCATAATCTGCTTTGAAGTAATTATAGGCGCTTTTTGATGTATTATGTTCATTAAAATTATTGAATGCTACGGCAACAAATATGTCTAGAGGAGGGTGATATGAATCTACATTGCGTATTGGAGAATGGCATTCGCGAACATTTATTATTTTACTATTACTTAACACTAGATCAAGTACGTTGCCTTTAATGTTTTTTATGCCATTGAACTGGTATAAGGCATGAAAATTTATGAAATCTATTAAGATGTTATTAAGTGAGAAGTTATAGTTCGAGTTTGATAAATTACAAGTAGTGTCGACGCCACTTTGATTAATGAAACTAGACCAGGAAATACCAGGTAGATTAAAATCTCCAAAAATTATTGTGGCACAATTATCACTTTTACTGACAGTGAAGACTTTGTTTACTTTCCCGACAAATGTTTTAAGTATACTGCTGTCGGCCGGAGGAGGTATATAAACTAAACATAAGTTTAAAGTTTTAAAGTTTTTGCCTGAGTTTAGTTCGATGGCTACCCAAAGATCCTCACAGTCACTTTCCCAGTCCAGACGACGACGCGAAATCAAATTCTTTGAAATGCCAATGAGGACACCACCACCTGTCTTTTTATGGGAAGATAGCGGACATGTTTCTCGATCACGCCTAAAAATCACGTATCTGTCATCAAGAACTTCAGAATCATATACGCTGCCATTAAGCCAGGTTTCAGTTAATAAAATGAAGTCATAGTTATTGCTTAGAACATTTAGACGTACATCATGCATGCTTGTGTTTAAGCCTCTTACATTTTGATAATAACCTGATAACATAGATAATTTTATTAATATTATCTAAAACTTGCAAATTACAACAGATTTATATTATTGCAAAGAAGTGAGTAAGTCTACATTTTTAACATAAATATATTCAGAATTATCTGATTTTCGTACAAAAACTCGACCATTTTTTACCCAGACATATCGATAGCCAATTTTTTTACATTTTATCCTCGCTTCGGCATGCAATGCTTTAATAGCAGGGGATAGATGCTCGCATATGTAGACCGGTTTTATATCTCCACTAATACCTAGATGACTTGTATTTAATTTATCTCTATTGCTAGCTGCCTTCTTGTTAAAAGATAAGACTGCTGCTAGAAAGGTATCTGTCACCCTAGGTGTAGAAAACTTGACTAAGGTAGACCGGGGGCGTAAACTATCCTTATTTAGTTTCATAATCCTCGTACAATTTTGTATGTCGTGGTCAGTAATATTGCACTTTACAGTGGAAGCTATCTGTTTAACTACTGTTATTAAGTTCTCGTTTTTAAATTCGGGAATGCATTGAATTTCAACGTTACATGCACGAGACTGTTGTTCCAGTAACGATAGTCTTGACTGTAGATCAGTTACGGAAGAGCGCAATGCTTTGTTTTCTTGTTCAAGGTTTTGAATTTTTTCTATTTTGTTAGTCATTTCAAGCTTGACATCCTCAAATTTCTGTTCTAAAAAACTAATTGATGTATTAATGGAAGACATATTGTCAAGCACCACATTTATTTTAGAATCAATTTGCTCAATAATATTTGCTTTAAAATCGTCAAGAATAGACACTAACTCATGCCTGATAATGCTTCTTACTTCCGATAGACTTTCGCTATTCATTGTATCGCGCAATGTTCCTGCTTCCTCACGTCTAACAGACATTTGACAGTTGTCTTGAGTTTCGTCCACTGGCTTTGGTACACTATTGTAAGATGGGTTATTTCTTATTGGCGTGGTTGTGTTGTCGGATCTTGGTCTAGAGCAAGCAGGGCAGAGCCAACTGTTTTTATATTCGCTCGTCAATTCATTGTACGGAATCGTTGTGGTACTTACACATGCGTAGTGATAATTTTTCTTGCAGTTTTGACATTTAATCACTTCTTTAGAGTTAGGCAACCGTAAGCAACATTCTAACTTATTTTTCGACATTATGAGTAGGTTCAGACTTCTTAAAGCTTATTTACTGTGAATATTTAATAGATTATTTCAAATGTTGTGCTCGTAGAAAAAAAAACAAAAATCTTAGAGAGTCGCCTTGGGTTTGAACTCAGGTGCCTTGCGTGCCAGAGCTATTATGCACCGCAAGTCCATTGCAGCCGATGACTAGATGTTTTAATTAGCGCTTTAAGTTCAGAGATATGTACATATTTGCAGAAATGTAGAATTAGATTTATATATTTTTTTTAAACACTGTCACTTCACACAATATTATACAATGTTACGTATGTACATAAATGATATCAACACATTTCACAGTCGTGATTTAACTTATACCTCACTGACATTGTAAAGTTCACAAGACAAAAATTCTTTATCATATTTATTGATTTAACTAGTGCACTTCATTATTAGGTTGTATCAATAATTCAGGTCCAATAATGATCACTTAAATAGTCTTAATTGTATTTTTAAAACAAAATTATTCGCGGAGCTAATGTGGATACTACTTTTTCCTCCTACCGCCGTTTTGTTGGGTTTTAGTGGGTAGTACTGGCTTTATTACGCCGGTGAGTCCCACACCTCGTGCGTAAATGCATTTCCCAACGTTAAAAAAAATAATAAAAAAAGAAAAAAGGTTGAAAGGCTAAGGCTTTAGCCTTCTTCGTTTGGTCTTTATTTTATTTCAAACCCAGAACCCCTACCATTATTAGTACTTTATATTAACTTAAAATTCGGTGATAGATCTGTTTCATTATTTGAAGATCATTTTGGCTCATGGAAGTGACATTTTGACATTTCTAAGTGTCGAAATGGCAGTAATGTCACAATAATGTATGGAAATGTTGTAACTTTAAGTCTCAATAACTCTTGACTCTTTCGCTTCCTCAAAATTAATTTGATATATTTGGACTCCCTATTACCTCCCCTATCCAAAAATACCATCCACTCCAGGGGCAGCGTTCCATATCCTAAACTGCAGCCTTTTTCTGTTCGTGTGTTTGTTAACCTACTCCTCATAAAGGAGTAGACCGATTTTTATGAAATTTTGTGTGTATAGTTCAATGGGATCCTGGTTGGTTTGAAAATACAAATGGACCTAGTAGGTGGCGCTGCAGTTTGTGTGCCACTGATCATCTCCAAATCGGCAGGGACGATTTTAATGATATTTTTGGTGTATGTTCGAGTGGGTCCCTGCAAAGTTTGAAAACACAAATAGACCCAGTAGGTAGTGCTGCAGCCGGTGTGCCACTGATCACATCCTAAGCGGCAGCAACGATTTTAATGATATTTTTTGTACTAAATATGGCAAAAACTATTAAAAATCGCTATCTTGAAAAAAAATATCAACAGCAATTTGATTCATTGAAATAATTCTAAAAAAGTTTATTTATGTGCTATTTAGATATTCGAGAATAGATGTCGCCTTATGTGTTTAAAATACGTAGTTTTAATTCCAAAAAATTGAATATACAGATATGAGCTTTCTATGATTTTATTAGAATTACTACTAAATTACCCGTGTTCAAATTATCAATAAAATAAACGTTTTTTGGCATTTTTTTATTGGTCAACTATTTTGTAAATTTTATCCATTTTTTGTATATAAGGCCTCACATTTTTACAATAAAACATTTTAATCATTCTACGCATTCAAGTTATTACAAGTTCCCTTTATTAAATCCCAACTTGTAAATACTTTATTCCTAGATATACAATACTAATAGAAAAATGGAAACTAGATGACGTAAGAACATAGTACTAAGCACTCGGAGCTATTTATAATAGAGAAGCCCAAGAGGGGATTTTGTGCGTTACTCGAGCGCGTCAGAAACACATATGGAGAGAAAACTTGCACCTGTAATGTACCCTTACCGAATATGAACCCTTAATATAGGGGGTGCGTTGAGGGCAGCCGTCAGATTAGTAAAAAAAATCGATCCTCAGGAAAACTCGAGCACTTCAGATTAAGACAAGGTAAGTTAAGTAGGTACATGCAGAAAAGTGTATATTTCAATAAACTGACAATATGAGCGTGGCATAAGGAAATGAGTGAGTCACGGAGTTGTACAAAAAATGTCACTTCCAAAATACTCGAGTGCGATTGATTTATTTTTTTATTTTGAGAGAAATCCTATCGGGACTACGAAAATCATATAATCTGACGATTTTCATGGGGCGATGTAGCTAAAACCACCAGTGTAGGATGAAGCCAACAGATGTTGAGAACTATGTATTTCCCACTCCACGCCTCTCTTTCCTTCTTACTGTATCTCTATCTCTCATTCTCTCGCACTGTCCCCACACTACCGTCTGCCGCCATGATGCCACCTTAGCTGATCACAATAACGTGTTTGGTTTTAAAGATGGGTTACTACTGATTTTTTTCAGAATTATGTAATACATATTAATATATTCGTCTGGCAATATTATAATATTGTAACTAATACTTCAATAATAGTGATATTTATCTCAGGTGTGTCACTCATAACTGTATTCTTGTTCAATATTACTTTTAGTAGGTTGGTTACTAAGTATTTAATATTGGAACTAGTATAATAATATAATCTGTGATATTGGTAATAAATTTTATTTGCCATATAAGGTAATAAATGAATGTGTAGGTAGTAGGTACATTATGAAATATATTTTTTTCAAATTGTCAGATAAACAATATCCCTCCATATATTTGTCAGATTACTGAACAAGTTGAACCGTCTGTATAAAAATCTTATGCGCTCGAGTATTTCAAGGTCACATTTTTTTTACATTTTCTAAAATTGCTCATGACTGTTGGTCACGTCTAAATCGTCAGTCATTTGAATAGGACACTTTTTTGGGTTCACTTAACATTCCCTCTGAATATCTGACACGCTAGAATAACTTTTTTTTTCTACCTCGTTTTACGACCACTCCCCCCACTAGTTAAGTTAGTTTGATGACATGTTTGGCTCAGTTTGTAGTGACCCTACTTGCTGTGCCGGCGGTCACGGGTTCGAGTCCCGCTGGGGGCATTCTTTTGTGTGTTGAGCACGAATGTTTGTACTCCAGTCATGGGTGTTTATATTTATAACATGTATGTATTTAAAGTTATATATACGTAGTGTATCAACTATCTATCTATCTGGTATCCATAACACAAGCCTCGTACCTTACCATGGAACTAGATAGCGCTGTGTGTTACTTTCCCAACATATTTATTATTATTTATTTATTATTATTATTAGTAAATCGTCAGATTTATATCTCTTGGTTATCAGAAAGACAAAACGCGTATACACTATAGATGTCTGACGCGCTCGAGTATTTCCATGTGACTGAAACCTTACAAACTAATTGGTAGTATTTATTGATAAAGATAATACGAGTATATCAGATAGGTACTTATGTGCCATTTCATCATCCTACAAATTAATTAAATATTTTTTTGAGTAGACACCATCTCTTCTTTACTGTAAAGCATTTGGCACGTCGAGAACGAAAAAGATAAATAAATCCGCAAAAATTCCGAAAATTAGTTTTACTTTAAAATTATTTTAGTTAATCAATATCAATATATATTATATATATATATATATATATATATATATATATATATTGATATTGTAATATACGTCCTTAAGGCATGATTTCCGGGATAAAAGTATCCTACGTCCTCCCTAGGGTCTGAAACTATCTTAGTTAGTTAGGGATGGACATCAGCCCCGAAATGAACTACGGGCGGTTCATCAAGTCTAAGGCTAATGTCGCTGCGAGGAAAGTTGGCATCCTTGCAAAGGTTCGACAGTATTTCACGCCGGGACAGCTTCTTGTTTTATATAAAGCGCAAGGCCGGTCGTATGTGGAATACTGTAGCCACATATGAGCTGGTGCTGCGAAATGCCATCTGTCAGCCTTGGACTCGATTGAGAGGCGTGCTCAAAGGCTTATAGGTGACCCTACGCTGGTAAACGCTAACTTGCAAAGCCTCGATCACCGACGTAGGGTTGCCAGCCTTTGTGTATTCTATAGGTTACATTTCGGAGGGTGCGCAGGAACTACATGAATTAATTCCCCCATCCCCTTTCCATCATCGGACAACCCGACGAACGGCTGGTCTCCATCCTTATATCGTGGACATTCCACCCGTCCGCACGAAGCGTTTCGCTACGTCATTTATTATACGTACGGCTAAGGATTGGAACAACCTGCCTGCGTCGGTGTCTTCAAGGCAAGAGTGAATAGGTGGCTACTGAATTAGTGCGACTTACCATCTACGACTGCGTTACCACTTACCATCAGGTGGAACGTAGTCAAGCACTAATTCTGAATAGTATAAAAAAAAAACTACGTCACAAGCTCACAAACTGACAAACTTTACCACTTTATTATATTAGTATAGATTACACACAATGCTTAACTAGATACCAACTTTTTTGACAATAGGTAAGTGAAAGGTTAAAAAATTTACAAAATGCACATATTAAATTGATTTGAAAACAAAAAGTACGTATTTCCTGCTAATTTTAAACGTAAAGTATTTTAGTTTTAACAAATTAATGTTATACATTAACATGCATAATTTCAGTTAATTTGACAATGCAAATTTTTGGACTAATCTTAACCTTTAACTTCCAACTATTATTTAACAATATTACTACTTACGAGGTAGGTAAAATGTACAAAATATAATATAAATAAAAATGAATTGCCAAATATATGTAAGCCAATTAATTCAGAACGGCTGCGCCTATTTGGCTAATTCTTTTTTTGTCATATTTGTAATTGTAACAAGGTTCTTATGAAAAAAATATTTAAAAAATTGTACGGAAAAGTGTAAAGTTTGGGTTAAAAAATCGCAATTCAATTTTTTTGTTTCGTAGCTTCTAGAAGTGCCTTTGGGCACAATTTTCTTCGCCAATGTCGCGTAGAGTGGAAAAAGCACGTTACATATAGAATGACTGGGTAAAAAAGGAGAAAATAACAAAAAAATAAAAACCGACTTCAAACAA